AGTTTTGACGGGGGGGGGGGATGCAAATCGAAAGTTTGAGGGGGGGGGGGGTACAAATAATTGTAAATTTGCTCCCAAGGGGGGCGCCAAATTGAAAGTTTGTCCCCGGGCGCTGGGAAGGGTCGCTACGCCTCTGCTCTGTAACACAATTTCCTGTCAATTTTTCGTTTAATAAAAAGTCATTTTCTCTTTAAGCTACCCCCCCCCCCCCCAAACACACACCAATTTTAATAATTATTTTTGGCTTTATTGCGATTACCTTTCGTGGCATTAAAAATGTGACTTTTTTTCTTTACCCGGCCCATGCCCCGTATCGTGGCATAAAATATAAATATGACCACGGAATAGCATCACCTAAAAATATTATATTTCCTGATAATTTAAAACACGACCAAATTTCCTAAACAAGCCACTATAAAATGTGGTATATCTTGTGGTTAGTATTAAATAGTATGTGCGCGATTTCATACAGTTTTATATGCATTACAATCAGTGACGGAACTAGAAAAAAAATGGCCACCCCGCAAAAAATATTTTTAGCCCCCCCCCCCTATATATATATATATATATATATATATATATATATATATATATATATATATATATATATATATAAACATAGGATACACATTGCTGGCGTGTTTGGGTTTTGAAATAAAATATTTGTATCTATTAAAACAAATTACAACATCATGTCATGTGTGTAAGTGCATTAGTCTGTTTTGTGAAAATCAGTCTTATTTTATCTTTGCTGTTAGGCATCTTAACCTCTAGTCGGTCAAAAGAATATAAAACATGAAAGCTTTGTATAAAAAATGGTGTCTCGTGTTATGTCTATTTTTATGTGTTTTTTTTTTTTTTTTGTAGTTATATTATTAATTTTAACGTACTTTAGTAAGTACTTTATACAAAAAATAATAGTTAAGAGAAGTAATTGCTTTTTAATTTGTTTTGTAGAAATCTATTAAAAGTGCTTTAGTAAGTACTTTAAACAAAAAATAATAGTTAAGAGAAGTAATTGCTTTTTAATTTGTTTTGTAGAAATCTATTTAAAGGAGCTTATGAGCACCCCTATGTGACTATTTAAAAAGGGAAATAAGCTATGGAAGGGGCTTGAACGTTTGCTTATCTTTGATAAGTTTGATTGTAGGAGAAAGAGGACTCGGCTTTCACAGTTTTTTAAAAACAAAGGGAAAAGAATATACAAAAGCGTGGGTTGTTGTCTATAGAATAAAGATAAACCAACCGCAGCTATGGTAATCTTTTTTTACAAAACAACCATCAAGTCAAAAATGCAAGAAAATTATTTTTTTAACTATAAAAAATTATTATGGTCGGCTGTGGGCCCCTAAATGGCGTGCCCCCCCCCCCCCCCCCCCCCCCCCCCCCCGCATTGCGGGGTCTGGCGGCACTGTAGTTCCGCCCCTGATTACAATGTTTCAAAAAGATTGTTTTTAAATTTAATATTAATTTGTCTAAGTTACCTCCTATTTATGCATTTTGAAATTCAAGGGAAATAACCTTTAATTATGTTTCCATCATTTTTTAAAAATCCACTGCAATTCAGTTGTGATCAAATAAAAATGACAATTAAAATTCTTTATTGTATCAAAATTTTTTATAGGTTCTCTGTCCAAGTGACTATACTGTTATGATTTGTAGAATTATAAATTGACTCTAGTTTAAATTGAAAAACACTCACTGTTTTAAAGTTTAAATTTAATTAAAAATAAAATTTGTCTAATGACAGCGATTTCCTTGGCCCTTACTGCACACGATACAACAACTTATACATTACATAACAAATTACATTACATATTAAAAGTACTGTAATAAAAAACTGATTTTAATATTTTGCTAACAGTAGTTTTAATATAAACATTGACACAAACAAAAAAAAATACATTACATAATGTAAAAAAAAACATTACATAATATGTGCTTTTAAGTCGACCTATGTCCTTTGTTATCCAAAAAACAACTTTCTCCCTACACTCCCTCCTCCCTACACACCCCAAGCCCCCCCCCCCTCCCCCCTACCCCACTCCTTTTTATCAAATTTACAAACATTTATAACTTTTTACCTTCCGTATTGTGTTGTGCTTTAGTTTATATTCATGTTAGATTTACTTTTATTTATTTACTTCTTTCTAATTTATTGCTTGCCATCTTAACGTTGCAGCATTCTTGTACTATAATGCGCTGCTCTTGTTGTTGTGGTTGTTGTGGTTTAGTTTATTTGCATAGAATTCAACTTTCGCTACTCTTGTTTAAATGGTATTTGGATTAAGCCAACAGATAATTGACTGATGTTTTGTCGTTGTAATTAATCAGACAATTAAACCACGAAAAGAAAGAAATTATGTTGTTGTTTTCTGTACCGTCGGCACGACAGGTGGTGATGAAGGGCCTTCATTTTGAAGACTACTTTAATGTTATTACCTTCAACGTTGGCTAGTTTGAGGTTGTGGATTAATTCAGTAATCAGTGCACTTCTACTAATTGCTCCTATCGCATGCTAATTGATGTCTTTAAAGCGTTAATGAGCTAATATAAGCTTTGAACATACCGCCTCCCAACATACATTAATTTTCACTTTATTGGACTTCACGTATTGGAATTAAAATGTCTTTAGATTTTCAGCTCCCTAGAAGTTTAAACATTGCCTTTAGCTTGTCTTTCAAATATAATTTAGAACAACTCACTTTGTATTGAATTCCAATCAAATATTCACAAAACAGGGTTTTGTCAAAAACATATATATATGTATATTATATATATATATATATATATATATATATATATATATATATATATATATATATATATATATATATATATTCCTGCCTAAAATCTAAACTCCAGAAACAGTGTCTATATTTTGAATATGCATGTGCATAACAATTAACATGCGTGTTTTCACCAAACCATGTACGTGTATTCGTCTACCTAATGTATATTCTCCTATGTATTGACGTATATGAATTCACCTACCTAATGACATTTACATGTATTCACCTATCTAATGTCGTATTCACCTATGTAATGACGTCTATGTATTGACCTATGTAATGACGTATATATGTATTGACCCACCTGACAATATTTCCTTCTTTCAGTACATGACGTATATATGTATTGACCCACCTGACAATATTTCCTTCTTTCAGTACATGACGTATATATGTATTGACCCACCTGACAATATTTCCTTCTTTCAGTACATGACGTATATATGTATTGACCCACCTGACAATATTTCCTTCTTTCAGTACGTGACGTATATATGTATTGACCCACCTGACAATATTTCCTTCTTTCAGTACATGACGTATATATGTATCGACCCACCTGACAATATTTCCTTCTTTCAGTACATGACGTATATATGTATTGACCCACCTGACAATATTTCCTTCTTTCAGTACATGACGTATATATGTATTGACCCACCTGACAATATTTCCTTCTTTCAGTACATGACGTATATATGTATCGACCCACCTGACAATATTTCCTTCTTTCAGTACATGACGTATATATGTATTGACCCACCTGACAATATTTCCTTCTTTCAGTACGTGACGTATATATGTATTGACCCACCTGACAATATTTCCTTCTTTCAGTACATGACGTATATATGTATCGACCCACCTGACAATATTTCCTTCTTTCAGTACATGACGTATATATGTATTGACCCACCTGACAATATTTCCTTCTTTCAGTACATGACGTATATATGTATTGACCCACCTGACAATATTTCCTTCTTTCAGTACATGACGTATATATGTATTGACCCACCTGACAATATTTCCTTCTTTCAGTACATGACGTATATATGTATTGACCCACCTGACAATATTTCCTTCTTTCAGTACATGACGTATATATGTATTGACCCACCTGACAATATTTCCTTCTTTCAGTACATGACGTATATATGTATCGACCCACCTGACAATATTTCCTTCTTTCAGTACATGACGTATATATGTATCGACCCACCTGACAATATTTCCTTCTTTCAGTACGTGCCCAAGCTGACTGGTGCCCTTATGGAGGAGATAGAGAGAATTCTGGGTAACAAGCCCCACCCCCGGGACTACGGCAGGTGAACAAACTACTCACCCCGCGTCTAGCTCATCAAGTCACTCACTCACACACACACTCACACATGTAACACACACAACTCACCCATTTTTTTCTCTTACACACACACACACACATACACAAGCACACACGTACAACACTGAAACTCCCAACATCCCTTACTTGTACCTTACACTCACCTACACACGTGAACCAACTATGTACTCACACACACACACACACCATCAACACACAAACACACCATCAACACACACATTCTCCCTGATATTAAAAACATACCCAGCATACTTTTGCACTGCATTTTTTCCTGTAGTCAAATTTCCTCTCAAACATCAAACCTTCTTCGAACCCCCCCCACCCCCTTATTTCCCCCCATACCTATCCAATACATACACACAAAAACCTAACCCTAACCTTCCTTGGTGATTTGTTTCTATTAATAGTATGCTGAGCATATGATAACCAATTTCTATCATATTTTGACGGCACCTCTAATTCTAATTTTCAAAAATTTAAATTTTCAAATAACATTTTACTGATTGTATATGTCTATAGTAAATTATTATAACTAATGTTCAATGTACATATTAGACAATTAATTAATTAATTATCGATTTAATTTATACACTAATTAAATTGTGAATCTTTGGCTCGATAATACACTATTTGTGTGATTGTTCACTTCTGGGCATTGATTACATAATCCATATTTAACCTAATCAGCTTAAATGTTTTTTTTTAATTAACTGATACTAGCAGTGCAAATAGTCACTTGATGAAATGGTTTATGTAGGTATATGTTATTTTGGGCGCACGGCGAATGTGACATTACAAAATGTGACAAAGATTTTAACACATGTATGTTGTTGGGCTATGTAAACAAACACATTTCCCTGTGAGTTTTGTCACATAGTATCGTTTGACAGAAGTGACATATGTCATTGTCAATAGATGACATGTCATCGTATGACAGTACCACCAAGTGACAGTAGTGACAAGTGGCAGTGTCAACAGATGACAATATATGACAGTGCCCACGTGTGACGGTAGTGTCCGTGTCAACGTCTGACAGTGCCATAAGACAGTACACACGCCCCCCCCCCCCCCCAGAAGTACGCAACAGTTTCAAAAACTGAATAATGTTATTCCAGGCAAAAGGTCAAATATAAACTTTGGATTGAACTTTAACATTGCAGACCTCGCCCAAGGTCAGTAAGTGTTTGTGACTAGTTGACAACACGGGTCATTACTTGACATGTAGTCATCAGCTGTCAATCATCGTCTCTAGCCCCGCCCAGTTCACATGCGCACAAACTCAGATCTAAAAATAGAATCTCATGTCTGTGAATGTAAACAATGTGTGACGTTGGTTGCGTGGCTCTTACTTCCGGTTTGTCGTTTGTATTAAAAAATCGGATGTTGTTTTTTGCGGGGTAATTTTCTTACCAGTGTCTGACAATACTCTTCCAAAAATAGGTTTGTTTGGTTGCTATTAATATGGTAACTTCTTTTCTACTTTCTCGTATATACTTAGTATAGTGAAAGTCTTGGCTTTGGATTAGGAGATAAGTTAGAAATGTGATTATCGTTAAGGTAATTAATTGATCTAAGTTAACAGCACCTAACATTCCATTTTAAAAAATTACTAGTGCAGTTGTATTTGCAGACACTGGTATGAAAAATATGCCGGACTAATCTTTGCCATTGTAGAGAAAACCCATATCCTTCCACCCCTCGCCCAGAATAATGGTGCATTCCATGCATTGTGTGATTGGTTTGCTTGTACTATTTAATAACAGCCCGTCTGATTGGTCAGTTTTTTAAATCTCCAAACCACTTGGACATGCTATAGTTTTTTAAATGTAGATATTTTTAGAAACGTCAATCAGCATTTATTTCACTTGGCCTATTGCAATGAAGGATCAGTCCAACCTGTATTGGAAGGAACGCCCATGACACCAATGTGGAACTTTATTGAACTGAACTGTAATGAAAACAACGGTATCAAATGGAAGTTAAACCAACGGAGCTGTATTGAACTGAACTGTAATGAAAACAACGGTATCAAACGGGAGTTAAACCAACGGAGCTGTATTGAACTGAACTGTAATGAAAACAACGGTATCAAACGGGAGTTAAACCAACGGAGCTGTATTGAACTGAACTGTAATGAAACAACTGTATCAAACGGAAGTTGAACCAACGGAGCGGTATTGAACTGAACTTGTCACAATCAACTCTGTTCATTGGTCAAGTTGGATAACGATTTCTAGACTGCTGGGACTGGTGTAAGACAGTGTTCAGTTAGATGCTGTGTTTTTTGTGTGTTACCTTCTGATGTGATTCTTCTTCTTGGTTTATTCGACAGATTTTCTAAACCATATTTTTCTATGGTGATACACCACACATGTTAAATATTTTATTTTCATAAAAAAGGTTTAAATACTGTGAACTTATGTTTTTTTTTTTTATTTTAATATAATCGAAAGCGTGGTGGCATTATTAGAACTGTCTCCCCAATTATGTGTGTTAATTAATATTTGTGTTAATTAATATTCTATCAGCTTAAAGAAATTATCACATTCGTTATTTTTAGTAAGTGTTTTTTTTTAAATGACCATGTCTAAATTTAGAATTCGGACAAATTTGTCCGCCCATAGCTGTTTTTTTTTCTCCGGTAACGTGGGCTGCTGCTAATTGTGATGTTTTTATCTAATTAATTAATGAATTATTTTCAATAGCATATAACTTATCTTGTGATATTTTAACCCTAACAACATCAAAGCGAATTGTGATGTATTGTTGTATAGAGTTTTAGAACATTGTCTGACTTTGATTGTATTTTGTATGTTGACATATGACATATTGGGCGACAGCAGGGTCAAGTATGTGATCTCCCCCCCCCCCCCTCCTCGACCCTCCTCGATCGTCATACTCATTGAATATTTCTCTAAATGCTTGAGAATTGAGGTAGAATACAAGGACCGGAACATAAGTTATATAGCTTCTAAGAAGTTTCGAGCAAGGAGAATAGACGTTTTTTTAAAGCATTAAGGTTTTTGCATCAACCCACCCACACCACCCCCCCATAAACAACTCTCCTGCGGTCGCCCAAAAAAAAACAAAAAACTTTTTCAAATGTTTTTTGGAATTTTTTTTTCTTTAAATTAAAAAAAAACAATCTTTGTCAATGAAATAATTTATATGACTTTATTGACATCGATGATTTTTTTTTTCCTTTTTAAACCCAGTCTGATCGTTTTAGTATACAGTTATCTTTCCCTCACTCGTTCATTGCTATGTATAAATATTTATTAAATAATATAACTGTATATAAATCAAATATTTAGATACAAATACTAACTTAGCATTTCTACGACTTATAAATGGCTGTACTATTCTAGGGTTTATTTCTTCAATAATTATATCCTATAATTATACAATATTAAAGGCAGTGCCGTATAACGTTTGTTATGTGGTGGTATATATTTATGCAAGAATTTTTTTTACATATGACAATGCTCCACTCATTTCTATTTACCGTAGTTCACCTAATCAAAGACCAATGGTGCTCCAGATAAAACATCAGTACACGTCTTCATAATTCATACATTTTTATAAGAATAAGTACGGTATCTTCCAGCCAGCCTTATATTCTCATCCTCGCCGCCATCTTGTAAATGACGTCATGGTCTTATTTATAGCGCGCTTCAAACTTATTTTTGCCACTGCTAATTAAAAGGTCTTGATTAAGCATATTTATAATAAGCATTAGTTTCAACTTCTGTGGACATATGATTAAATTTATGTGGACATATATTTATAGTTAAACTTATGTGGATATAGGTTTATAGTTAAACTTATGAATTATATTTATAGTTAAACCTCTGTGATTGAGTTCAACTGTCTCAGTGGGTAGTTGGTAGAATGGGTTGGTCGTATACCGAGTTAATCGTATACCGAGGTGGTTGTACGTATACCTAGTCTGTCGTTTACCAAGTTGGTCGCATGGCGAGTTGGTCGTATACCGAGTTCGTCGTATATCTGGTATGTCGTATATCGAGTTGGTCTTGAAACCGAATGGTTCGTATAACTGGTAGTTCGTATATAGTTGGTCGTATATCGAGTTGGTCGTATATCGAGTTGGTCGTATATCGAGTTTATGCTCAGTTAGTCACATAGCAAGTTTGTTGTATATCTGGTAGGTCGTATATCGAGTCGGTCGTATATCGAGTTGGTCGTATATCGAGTTGGTCGTATATCGAGTTGGTCGTATATCGAGTTTATGCTCAGTTAGTCACATAGCAAGTTCGTTGTATATCTGGTAGGTCGTATATCGAGTCGGTCGTATATCGAGTTGGTCGTATATCGAGTTGGTCGTATATCGAGTTGGTCCTATATCGAGTTTATGCTCAGTTAGTCACATAGCAAGTTCGTTGTATATCTGGTAGGTCGTATATCGAGTCGGTCGTATATCGAGTTGGTCGTATATCGAGTTGGTCGTATATCGAGTTGGTCCTATATCGAGTTTATGCTCAGTTAGTCACACAGCAAGTTCGTTGTATACTGAGTTGGCCGTACACCGAGTTTGTCGTATATCGAGTTAACCGAAATTAAATATTACACATATTTAGGCCTATCTGCTTTTTAAATGAACCGTTGCGAAAAGTTAAACGAAAGATTTATCCCATAAGTGAATGCTGGCTGCCTTTTCGGATAGAGTAAACGGAGATTTTAGAGAAAGGGTCGGTTTGAACAATTTTCGTTCTTTGTTGTAAAATTGGAGCGGATTTCCTTCAAGTTCAACATAACTATTACGTGTCAACTTTATATGCGCCATGTAGGCCGTTGACTCTTATTTCAGCCTGCTTTTCTTTCTGGATTTGCTTCCATAGCCTTTGATCAACCTAAAACAAAGTACAAGGCAGCAGTTGTTTGATTTTGGAGTTGTCTCTCCTAGATGGGTTGCTGTCCCCAGCTGTCGAGCCTCATCTGCCCGCAATTTTTAAATGCTATTTGGAATTCATGGGCTTCGGTTATAAATGCATTACCGTATGGCTCTGTTTTAAGCTCGGTTATAGAGGTTTTACTGTAATTCTCAGAGCTAAACTCGGTTCTAGATGTTTTACTTGAAGTCTCTGAGCTAAACTCGGTTATAAAAATGTTACTTGTAAGTATCTGAGCTTATCTTGGTCACAGAGGTTTTACCTAATGAGTTAATTAAATCACGTTAAGATTATGTGTTTATTAGCCATAACTGGATACCATAATACTATTTTATTGTTAACATGTCAGTTACATGACATACGTTAACATGTCATTTGGCTACATGACATTGTTTTTGTTAAAATGTCATTTGGTTTTTTAATGTTTCCTGTAGGTAGTAAAAAGTCAGTTAGTTGAACACGTGTTCTGATGACATGACATGTCATTTGGCTACATGACATCTGTTATCATGTCATTTGGTTAAAGACATGTGTTTACCAGTTGATGACAAGACATGTGTCAACGAACAAATGACATATGTTTGTCAATATGCCATTTGGCTACATGTCATTGTTAACTTATCAAATCACTACGTAAAATTTGTTAACATGTCATTTGATTATATGACATCATCTAAATGATAAATTCAGCAATCAATGTCCATTCCTTGCTTGACCTGTACCACAGAAGTGTTGGGATCGATTTTTACCAATAGAAATTGGTGTGTTGAAGATTGTGTAATTGAAGTGGGTTTTTTTTTTGTGTAACCAATGATTTGTGTATATCGTGAAACCAAATTTAAAGAATTAAAAACAAAAATCACTTATCCAAAGCTGAGCGAAGTCTTGTTTTTTTTTTTTTTTTTGGTGGTTGATATTGTATCGTAATCTCTGGATTTACATGGATTAAAGAATAATATTTGTAAGAAGCTGGTTTGTATATTGTTTAAAAAAATTGTATTTACATACTTTGTGTGATTGTATCTATATTCAGGAGAAAACAATATAAGAAAATTGAAATTTTAAAAAATGTTTCTTTTAAAGTAAAATAAATGTTACATAGCAACATTTAACAACAGCGAAGTAAAAACATAATGAAAATTATTTTGGACCATAACTTTCATGTATATAATGTAATTTATATATGTATGTATATATATATATATATATATATATATATATATATATATATATATATATATATATATATATATATATATATATATATATATATATATATAATTATTCATTATTTTTCAATTAACACCATATTGCCTGTCAATGGCACAAATATAAATATTGTTATGCATGCTACTATATTGTATGTTTTTGTGTACTTGGTATTTGGTTGTACAATAATGACTCCTGTAATCCTTTGTTTTCCAGTAATTAAAATCCCAGTTTATCTTGAATTAATTACACGTTCAAACACATCTACTGCTATATACATAAAAGAAATGATTCATTACAGTTTGTTTCTTTTTCACCTCTTTTGAAAATTCTTTACAAAAATAATTTTCTTTTCATAATTATCACTTTTAATTAATTTATTATTACATTCATCAGTATAAGTTAAAATAGTTTTTTTCATTAACCTCTTAAGTTTTTACTCCCCCCCCCCCCCCATCTGTAACAAAATGGGTTTTCTTGTCCCTTATGTTTTGAACACCCAGCCCTCCCTTACACGAGAGTGGTGTGGGGGGGGGGGGGTGGTGGAGGGGTAGAGTTGTGTTAAATGAAGCGTGGCATGAAATCAGTGGACCAACTGCTAGTCTGTTGTTTGTTCTGTGGTGGTGGTGGGGGTGGTGGAGGGGGGGGGGGGGTAGAGTTGTGTTCAATGAAGCGTGGCATGCCATCAGTGGACCAACTGCTAGTCTGTTGTTTGTTCTGTGGTGGTGGTGGGGGTGGTGGAGGGGGGGGGGGGGTAGAGTTGTGTTCAATGAAGCGTGGCATGAAATCAGTGGACCAGCTGCTAGTCTGTTGTTTGTTCTGTTACAGTGTGTCTAGACCAGCCTCGCCCAGGTAGGAAGGCATCTCCTCTGTGTGCTGCTTTGTTTCACCTGCATCTTTGTTTCACCTGCATCTTTGTTTCACCTGCATCTTTGTTTCACCTGCATCTTTCTCACCTTTTGGTTTCACCAGCATGGCGCCTGTGTATCTTTAGACACGTCGATCAAACGCCTCACTAATCACTATGTTAATTTCAACTTTAACTCGCACAGCCTGAGGGCACTTTACATGTCTATTAAAAATTTTATTTTATTTTAACTAATTAACGTAAACTCATTAGTTTAAAATAACTACCTCTACCACTGAAGTTTTAATACACTTAAAAAATTTAAAAAAGTAAAAAATAAAGATTTAAATAAATAAATTTAAAAAAAAATTAAATTGTAATTTATCTATGCTAGTACTTCTTAAGACTACTATACATTATTCATTTAAATTCGAGACATCATATTAAAGCTGTAATCTGTAAGATATCTATATTTACTTTTTTTTTACATATTTCAAATGCGTTTTAGTTTTACATTTTTTTAAATTGTTAATCACATTTTTTAAATCAAGTTTCTCACTAACTGTGGCATGCTTTCTCCTAACCCAAAGCATTTTCAATGAGTGCTGGTCGTTACAGTTTAGTGTTTGACTCTACTGACACACATTCAAACAAAATATTTTCACATTTTCCATTACAGGGAAACGAGGCACGAAAACACACTACACGGCAATACCTAAATAAAAACACACTATACAGCAATACCTAAATAAAACACATTACACGACAATACCTAAATAAAAACACACTACACGGCAATACCTAAATAAAAACACATTACACGGCAATACCTAAATAAAAACACACTATACAGCAATACCTAAATAAAACACATTACACGGCAATACCTAAATAAAAACACACTACACGGCAATACCTAAATAAAAACACACTACACGGCAATACCTAAATAAAAACACACTACACGGCAATACCTCAATAAAAACACAACATACAGCAAAACGAAAACACACTACACGACAAAAATGTAAACAAACACTCTCTCTGTGCTGTCTTAGAACTTGCTGACATCAACACGAGTTATTGCCTCTACGCAGATTTTTGAGACACATTGCTCACAAAAAAGAGACACATAGCTCTATATCTAAACTTGTAAATAAAACCATCTCCACACAAACATTGCTTCAGACAACCAAAAAGTCTCGGTTAAAAACAATTGACACTAATGAAACTCAGGGCACAAAACAACAACAGAACTGATTTGTTTTAATAATAGTATTAATAGGCTTGAAAAGCTGGTTCCATAATGGTTGTTGCCAGAAAAATGTGTTTTTTTCTGGCAAAATTGAATATTCTATAACTTTTGTGAAATAAGTACATAAAGACTTCGGTTTTATTAAAGCTAGAAATATTCAAACAAATAACTACTAGTAATATAATAGTAATTCAGTTAACACTTTTACTTGGATTAGTAGAGTCAGGGTGTTGTGGTGATAAGGGATGCTATATTATTTAATATAAATAAACTACTGGCTATTTCTCGAAAAACAAATGCTGCGACTTTCATCGTTTTACTCTTCCTTATCACTCCGGTTGACTTCAAGGAGGAGTTGAGGGCGGTTTTTTTTTTTAATATATGATTTTAAAAAATAATTCTAAACGGCTTTCGACAGCTATTATTGAATACAAAAATATGAAAATAAGTGTAATCGATGGTTCCCAAACAGCTTTAACTTTTACAAATGCAAATATAATTTAAACGCTTGCTATATTTTCTAAAGATTTTTAAAAAAATAGTATGATTACATAGACTTTTCAAGCCTATTGAGAACAATCCCACAATGCATCATAACACCAGACGTTCAGATTATAAACCAACACCCCCTCCCCCCCCCCCTACACACACACCCTCCTATCCCCAGCATGTTTTTCACCCATGGTTCTGGTGACCCACTAAAAAACTTCCACTTAAACCCCTTGGAACCCTCTTCACAAAAACTTAACACATACCCCCCCCCCCCCCAACAAAAGTTTTCTATAATCCCTTTCCCCCTCCCCCCCCCCCCCCCCCCCCCACCACGCTCACAAAACACCTTTCCATACTCACCCTCACAAACTTATGAAATTACCAGACCGGAAAACTTAATCTTCATCAAAACATTTTTTTAAACAGCTCTTTCATGTTATCCATCATTTCATGAGTTCAAGAAAAATCGATAGTCAATTAAGTCTTTAGTTTTTTTAATCCCTTAAACTAAAAATATTTTAGTTCATCATACATTGCAATCATGTTAAAAACTAAAAATAAAATATACAGATGTCATTGCTCACCCTTAACCTCTCCCCCACCCCCCTCTCTCTACACGCGCATTAACGCTCACACATCATGTACACAAGACCAAACTAATCCGACCTCCTCTGCTCCCCTCCCCCCACCTATCTCTACACGTGCATTAACGCTCACACATCATGTACACAAGGTCAAACTAATCCGACCTCCTCTGCTCCCCTCCCCCCACCTATCTCTACACGTGCATTAACGCTCACACATCATGTACACAAGGTCAAACTAATCCGTCCTCCTCTGCTCCCCCCCTCCCCCACACCTATTTCTACACGTGCATTAACGCTCGCACATCATGTACACAAAGTCAAACTAATCCGTCCTCCTCTGCTCCCCCCTCCCCCACACCTATTTCTACACGTGCATTAACGCTCACGCATCATACATGTACACAAGGTCAAACTAATCCGTCCTCCTCTGCTCCCCCCTCCCCCACACCTATTTCTACACGTGCATTAACGCTCACGCATCATACATGTACACAAGGTCAAACTAATCTGTCCTCCTCTGCTCCCCCCCACCTATCTCTACACGTGCATTAACGCTCACACATCGTGTACACAAGGTCAAACTAATCCGTCCTCCTCTGCTCCCCCCCACCTATCTCTACACGTGCATTAACGCTCACACATCGTGTACACAAGACCAAACTAATCCGACCTCCTCTGCCCCTCCCCCCATCAAGCGCCGACCACAAGCCCAAGATAAAGCTCAAGAGCGACTCGACCCACCGGCAGTTCCTCAGGAACTTCTCACTGGCCAAAATATTCCCCTGGGGGAAGACCTGAGCCGGACCCAGCGCCAAGGTGTAGCTTGAGCCTGTCCCGCCTAGAGGATCCTATTTAGCTAACCTCGGTCTAAAGACCAGGTCGACCTCCACTTATAGCACTGTGGTACCGTACGTCGAAAGTAACGTTTGATAACTTTGGACTTAGTTGAATCAATCGGCATTTTCATGTACATATTTTAGTATGGTGCATTTCAATTATTATTTTGTATAAAATTTGATAATGAACTACAATAGTCTTTATTATATTTTTTTTTCTTTCATTGTTAGTAAATTAAGAGATTTATTTTTTTAAATAGTTTAAGAGTTATGGAAATACTAACATATTTTTTCTAAACCTTTATCTTGACAACTAGCTCTTTGTATATATACATATTTCACAAAGGCATCAGCAATACACATACACGTATACATATAAACAAACATACTGATTTGCCTTTTGGTGTAAGCATGCAGCTTTAATAGATAGAAAAAATGAATGTTCCACAGAATGCTTCAAGGAAAAAACTTTTCAAAACATTTTCATGCTGTTAACAAAGAGGGCGTAAGAAATTATTCATTGTGCACGGTTTAGTGCTAAATGGTAACAAACACACACACTCAAAAGCCTTGACTTAAACACACCTACACACAATGAAACACACACACACACACACACACACACACAAATAAAACACGCACACACTCAATTACTCACACACTGTAGAATAGGCTTATTGCTTCCAGTGTTTGCTTAGATTTTAAACTTAGATCTTGAACTACATCCTAATTAAATATAACATTGCTAAAAGAGTAGGTTTCTTTGCCTCAAATGATTTGAATTTTTCTCACAATACGTCACTGTTGCTTTGTATATTAATTTTCTTTTGTGTAAAAATATGAACGTATTTATTTATTTGATATTAGTTTGTATCAATTGCAATTTTATTTAGTTTTAGCTGCACAGTAACAAAACTAGAATTTTAGAGTTTTGAGATTTATTTATTTTTTCATAACAAATTCAAGAGATTTTCATAATTATTTTTCTAATTAAACCCTCAAACAAATCGTTTATTAAATGTTACATAATATATCATTGTGAAAGATTTTTCTTTTTTATTTCTACCTTTCTCATTTTATTTAAAGAAAAAAAATTAAGCAATCAAAGAGAAGTAACAAGTAAAATTCTGTTAAAATAATACGAAACTAGTTGTCTTCTCTTAGTTAATGTATAGTGCACGGCTAGTAAAATTTACTAACAGAAAATATTTTCTTTATTATTCCCCTTGTATCAGTAATTATTAAATTTAATTTGAACAGTATAATTATGTAGTTGTTGTTTTTTGCTGTTGCTTCAAATTATTAAAATTAATATGATGTGATTTTGTTCACACTTTTCATTGTCTACTACATCCTGGCTACGAGGGCCATGCACTATATTGTCAGTTGGTACTGAGATTTTTTTAATTATGCCAAAACTCGTTAGTCAAATTTAAATTTAATTTCGTCTTAAAGGGCATCAAATCATTTAACTAATTTAATTACCGTATTAATATTAAAATTTATAAATGATTATAATGAATCCCTTTAAACAAAATCTCCCCCCCCCCCTCCCCGCATTTACTTTTAAAGACGCACTCGGACATGGCTTATATGTGTAGTTAGAAATGTAGCGCATAGGCAACACAGCATAGAACACATAGAACACATATGCTTTATAACAACTTGTTTCATAATTTTTTGAGTACATTTTTAATATTCGGCAAAAGACACAAATGTGTAGAGGTTGTTGAGTACTTGGGTCAGAGATGACGAACATCAACAGTAAGAGAGATTTTTCAAAATTTGTTTAAGCTCTGGTTACTGCAGAATACAGGTAAGTTATGGAGTTATCAGCATTCATATCACTCCTTACTTCAACTGGCGCGGGTTTAAACCTCAGCCTAAACAGTTGTATTCAATCACAAGTCTAGCTTTACAAATCATTTACTTACAATCATTAAATATATATATATATATATATTAAAAAAATGTTCATTTTACATGACAATACACAGATATTAAACACACACACACATATACATGTATATATATATATATATATATATATATATATATATATATATATATATATATATATATATATATATATATATATATATATATATATATATATATATATATATATATATATATATATATACAAGGAAACCTCAGTGTCCGCTCAATGAAAAACTCTTGTAACATATAACTACACGACATTCCTTCTCTCATAGCATCCGACCAAAGTCAAAGTCAAGGAAATCCTCAAGGGGAAGAAGAAGGATCGTGTTTTAAAGCTACATGTGATACAGTCAGCTTAGCTGGGGTCAGTCTGGCAACGCTTGTCACATTGGTCAGCAAGATGACTTGATAGGATTCAAACTAAACTAGACTAAATTGACCTATATCAATTTGACCTATATGAAATCGAGCTACATCAAATTGACCTACATCTAATTGACCTATATCAATTTACCTACATCAAATTGACCTACATCAAATTGACCTACATCTGGTTGACCCGTATTAATTACACTTTTTTCTCAACTTGAGCTTTTTTAATTGCACCATATAGCTTAGAGGCTGTCACTGTCTACGTCAAATATTCGACTGGATCTAACATAACACTTCTTATGGGAATTACTTCCACACCTTATAGACCTACTACCACACCTTATACTTGCAGAGGAAACACAAAATGTAGACCTATTAATAAGTTGAGATCCAACAACGAACAAAACAAAAAAATTACTTACCACAGCGTCAATCTCCAATCAACTAGGCCTAACATTAACTGCTGTAGAAAGGTTCTCACTTGAAATCTGTTTCCGTCCTTGGCGATACGCAATATCAGACATGACACTGACATTCGACTGACATCAAAGACACATTATCTTGTTAACGTTGATACCACCCAGATTCTGATGGTCTCATCTGAGCAAATTGGCCTGGGTTTCTTCTAGGACTGAACCCCCACAGGGTTGGGTTGTTGGTTGTCTAGTACAGTCCACACAGGGCTGTTGGCTGTCTAGTGCTATCCACATAGGACCCTAAACCACGGAGAAAGACTGTTACATCAAGACCTGACCGAAGCTTATAACAGTCCACACGATCAGCTGATCTTCAATGTTCATTGTTTTGTTATTTGTTGATTATCATTGTACTATTTATTTTATTTTTATTAGTCATCTGCAATTTTTATTACTATGAATTAAAATTAAAGACACATTTTTAAATATATTATCGTCTTCCATAGTATTGTTGTTTTATTTTTACAATCTTATTATTTCAAAATGTGTTCGGGAAAATCTTATCAAATGTTGAGACATTTCTTATATAATACAGCGAGTTTCCGATACATGAGAAATTTCGTGTTAAGTTTCCATATTTTGATTTACATGAAAGATTGGGCCTTTTAAAATAAACACTGACTCAAAATCAAACCCAGAACTTAAAACCTTCGTGATTTTAAAAAATTGCGACGAGGATGGGATTCGAACCCACGCGTGGAGACCACTCGGCCACCTCGTCTTACATTCTGCTTAAAATCCTGGTGAACTTTTCAGCGCATATATTTGAACTTGATTCGTGAGTTCGTTTTAATGTTTTCTGGTATTTTCTGGTGCGGCTGGGGACATTGTGGGAGATCTAGATTTTGTTTTATTAGGAGTGGAGGGAGGGGGGGGGGGGTAGATATTTTGGCGAATCTCTGCGTATTTAAATTAAGAACATGCAAGCAAGTGCCGTCTTCCCACAGCTAAAACAACACGGTGGCTCACAGAACACTGTCATTGACCCACAAGATGCGACTGGTCAACTCCAATGTGAAACCAGTGCCACCATTTGGGGCAGAGACTTGGATGATTACCAAGACAACCGTTGATAATGTCCTGATCCTTATCAACAGCTGGCTTACATCGATACTCAGGATCAGCTGGCCCGATACAATCAACAACACAGACATTTGGGGAAAAACTGGACAACGTTCTGCTGGTGAAGAAATCAGGAAGGGAAGATGTGGTTGGATAGGGCACACTCTATACAAGTATTCCGAGGCAGACGCTAAAGTGGATTCCACAGGAAAAGCACACACTGAACAACTGGCGACGCGACTTTGAGGCTGACGCTACAAAGATGGACTACACCTGGAGTCAAGTTGCGAAGATGGCACAGGACAGACGGTTCTGTGTATCTATGGTTGACGGCGACGCCCATAACCTACCCGGTGTGATCAACGAAGAATGGTTATGAAATAGACTTTTGTGGAGTCTAGATTATTGGGGAGTCTAGACTTTTGGGTAGTCTATACTTTTGGGGAATCTAGACTTTTGGGGAGTCTCGACTTTTGGAGAAACTAGACTTTTTGGAGTCTAAGACTTTTGTGGAATCTAGACTTTGGGGAGTCTAGACTTTTGGGGAGTCTAGATTTTTGGGGAGTCTAGACTTTTGGGTAGTCTAGACTTTTGGGGAGTCTAGACTTTTGGGTAGTCTAGACTTTTGGGGAGTCTAGACTTTTGGGGAGTCTAGATTTTTGGGTAGTCTAGACTTTTGTGGAGTCTAGACTTTTGGGTAGTCTAGACTTTTGGGGAGTCTTGACTTTTGGGGAGTCTAGATTTTTGGGGAGTCTAGACTTTTGGGTAGTCTAGACTTTTGGGTAGTCTAGACTTTTGGGTAGTCTAGACTTTTGGGTAGTCTAGACTTTTGGGTAGTCTAGACTTTTGGGTAGTCTAGACTTTTGGGTAGTCTAGACTTTTGGGTAGTCTAGACTTTTGGGTAGTCTAGACTTTTGGGGAGTCTAGACTTTTGGGGAGTCTCGACTTTTGGGGAATCTAGACTTTTGGGGAGTTTAGACTTTTGGGGAATCTAGACTTTTGGGGAGTCTAGACTTCTGAGAAATCCAGACTTTTGAATCTAAACGTTTGAGGAATCTAAAAACTTCAATGTGGATCTAAACTTATTAGAGGAAATAAACAACGCACTCTAGTATTTCTTCTAGACAGCGCCATCTATCGTTGACCGAAATAAGCACTATCTGTGTTACTTTATATTTGTCAATCGTATTAGTATAAAAAAGTTAACGAGAATCGACGAGGATGGGATTCGAACCCACGCGTGGAGACCACAATGGATTAGCAGTCCATCGCCTTAACCACTCGGCCACCTCGTCCTTGATATTCTTGGTGCTTTTTCTGTTGCTGGGGGTTACAACATATTGATTTGATACAAAAATTCAGCAGTTAGTTGGATGATTACAGATTACACATGTAAATACCATGACGAGGGTATCTCAAAGCTGAACTCGAATTTCAAGTCATAAAATGAAATTAATCATTACAAAACTACATGTATAGAGCAATAGTTAGACGTATAGTTGTCTTAAATTATCAGACGAGGTGGCCGAGTGGTTAAGGCGATGGACTGCTAATCCATTGTGGTCTCCACGCGTGGGTTCGAATCCCATCCTCGTCGTATGTGGATATTTTATTTTTGTAATACAATTTACATAGAAAAGCGTTTGTTTGGAAATAACATCCATTCATGAGTAAAATTGTAATTCCCACTAATGTGTCAAATAATTTTTAATTTTTCGTATAGAAGAAGAATTGTAATCGTGCACAAAAAAATCACGTAAAAAAATTGAAAATTTTCACCGTTTCACACCTCAGTATTGCATTATATATTATGAAGTAAAGGGGACTTATTTTAATCGCGCAAAAATTCTAAATCCAGATTTTTCGAAATTTCAGCGTTTTACGCGTAATCGAGTTGGAAAAACTGGGCTTTGCTATTCTGTCAGTGTATGTTTGTATGTATATATGTATGTCTGTAAACACGATAACTTGAGTACCGCAACAGTTAGGTTGGTGAAATTGCATGTATAAGTTTTGTATCAAATTTGTAGTTCTGTTTTAGATATTTCCGTTAATCGGAAGTTGAACTTATTCTACTTTAGGTTTTCCAAAAGCCTATAACTTGAGTACTGTTTCAGATAGATAAACGAAATTTCACATATAAGTAAAAGATCTAATTCTCTACCTTCTCTCAAATTTTGAGTAATTTCCTTTCACCGGAAGTATTTCCGATTTCTCAAAAACGCAAATGAATTAATAAAGTACTAATAATATTCCGCACTATTATACACATAATGTTTGCTGTTCACTTGGTGCGCAATTCTTTTTTACGAGAGATTTTATTCTATTTCTAAAAGTACGTAAAAACTGATTAAAAGCATGTCTATGTCCCGAGTTGCCATCCCGGTAGTGTTATATATATACAAGAAAGTTTAGGGAGATCACCCCCGCTTTATTTAGTGCAAATTTTGAATCAAATACATTGAGTTGTAAAATTTAGAACTAGATTTTTATACAAATCAAAACCAGAACTTGAAATTTGCACCATAAAGATATAAATAGAAACATGAATACAAATAAATGGAAGATAAATGTATATCCCCGTTCGATGGAATGAGCACTTTGCTTATTTTAAGCTCATCTATATAAGTACTTCAGTAAGGTAAAAACAAAGTTAACGACGAGGATGGGATTCGAACCCACGCGTGGAGACCACAATGGATTAGCAGTCCATCGCCTTAACCACTCGGCCACCTCGTCTACGGAGGGCGGATGTTTACAACACACTGAATAGCCAATAACTAATACACTCGCTGATAAGATAACATGGGCCAAGCAAGTCATGATAACTCATGCACACGGGACGACATATGTTAACTCAATCTAAATATAAACTCGTGTCAGCGGTGACTCAATGGTCTATTTACTTATCTTTTTCTTTTTGTTTTATTTTAATTACTAGAGCCTAAGATAGACAGCTGTTTAAAGCTTTAAATGAAAATTAAAAAATGAATGTTGCTAACAGAAAGAGGACCATTCACCACACACGAGAGCCTACTTGACTTGATCAGTGTACAAGGAAACAGTTTCTCGTAGAATTAAGCCAGCATTGATTCGTTAGCGAGTGTTCGACTTTTCTTGTCGGAAATCTGAACTGAAGGCCTATGTGGTATGTGGACGACATTTAGAATTTAACAACTGATTTTTAAATATTTTTGTTGGCCTATGTGGACTACAAATAGGATTTAACAACTAATGTTTTAAATATTTTTGTAGGGCTTTACCCAGCTTCTGTTGAGTTTATGGTGTAGAAACATTTTCTAAATGTTTATTGTTTTGCGTAGTTTTGCTATTTTTTTCACGAACTGATCTGTTTGAAAGATGCAGTATACTCTGTATATACAGTAAACAGGGACTTGTTTGGTGTGATAATTACTTAAATATTTTAGTCTTCTTTTCAACAATTTTATCTGGCAACTCAAATCAGCTGTTTAAAAGCTGCACTAAAAAACGCAAAGTAAAATAAGTATGCTAAAACATTTTGATACTTTAAATACAAAACGATGAACAGTTGGTATGACATGATTATTTATAAATAAATTTATTTTATAGAAACAAAGTAAATGCATTGTATAGGACAGTAACACAATAATCAGGGGTAGTTATTAGGTGGTGCACTCAAAGACAATTCGTTGTTTATTTTGAATTTTCTTTTTTAGAGTTATCTCTCTTTGGGCTATTAATAATTCTCTCACATGACATCAGAAAAACAACAACATGAAGCTTACACCGCCGGATGAGTTCTTTCATTGCCAAGAGGCAGATCAAGAAACAGACGAGAGAGTATTTTTTATGCAGGCTCTGACTGGTCCATTAGAAGATTCACACATTTGTAAGCCATCCCTTGCGATAGAATTTAGTGCAGTTGTTTCCCTTCCTGACAGTCGATCGGTTTCGAATCGTCGTCCGTTTTCCCAGTAGAGTTGTCTGGGCATGGCGCCCTTTTACTACAGCTGTCTGTTGTTGAGGTTCCACTGTTGTGATGTCTGAAGCCTCGTGCGTAGATGGTTTCGTTGGGTACTGATTTTGGCTGAGGGACGGGTATTGAAATAGACTGAGTAACGGGTATCCAGTTTTTACGAAAGACACGTTCAGAGTACATAGGAGTGACGGGTACTGAATTTGCCTGTGCTATGGGTAATGATTTTGCTTGAGCTAAGGGTACTGAATTTTCCTGAGCTACGGTTAGTGATTTTACCTGAGCTGCGGGTACTGATTTTGCCTGAGCTACGGGTACTGAATTATCCTGAGCTACGGTTACTGATTTTGCCTGAGCTACGGGTACTGAATTTTCCTGAGCTACGGGTACTGATTTTACCTGAGCTACTTGTACTGAATTTGACTGCATTACGGGTACTGAATTTGTTTGAACTACGGGTACTGAATTTGTTTGAGCTACGGGTACTGAATTTGTTTGAGCTACGGGTACTGAATTTGCCTGAGCTACGAATACTGAATTTGTTTGAGCTACGGGTACTGAATTTGCCTGAGCTACGGGTACTGAATTTGTTTGAGCTACGGATACTGAATTTGTTTGAGCTACGGGTACTGAATTTGCCTGAGCTACGGATACTGAATTTGTTTGAGCTACGGGTACTGAATTTGCCTGAGCTACGGATACTGAATTTGTTTGAGCTACGGGTACTGAATTTGCCTGAGCTACGGTTACTGCATTTGCTTGTGCTAAGGGTATTGAATTTACCTGAGATACGGGTACTAACTTTGGCTGAGCTCCTGGAACTGAATTTATCTGAAGAATGGAAACTGAGTTCATCGGAGTGATAGGCACTAGCTTTTGCTGATTGCCGGGTACTGAATTCGGCTGAGTGAGGTCGGAGAGCTGCCCAGGTATGGAATTTCTACAGGAAGTAATCATCAAATTTCTTCCCCGATTTCTGGCTTGAGCTTGGCCTTGAACTTGACCCATCAGATTGTTGATGGACAGGCCTAGCCCCACCTGCGTGATGACGTCACCCCCAGTCCCCACCCCCGTCACACTCTCGTCCACCTTGAGCGTGTAGCAGATCTTCGACTGGTCCGTCCCGCCCCCCATCACATCGCTTGTAAAACTAAACCCCCCGCCCCCGGCCAACCTGTACACGTTTCCACCCGACCACTTGCCCACGTTGGGTCCGACCCCGTCCCTGACGTTCACCCTAAGGTCGCACCCCGTGTTCGGGACTCGACGCCACGCCTTCTGCTTGAGGTTTCTCCCCCCGCCTCTAACACAAACAACACTCCGAGCATCGGCTGGCTGTTCGGCGTTTTCCGCCAAGTCTTGTTCAATCCCCACGTCAACTTCGGGAATCTCCGTATGCTGTAGCTCAGCTGGCGCGCTGGGACGGGTGTGGGGGTGGCAAGCAGGGGCGGGGCGGAACAACAAGGACCGGGGCTGCCTCTGCCTCTGCTCCAGCGCCTCGTTGATGTGGCCGACGGCGGACGAGTAGTTGAGCTTGCTCAGGTGGTTGAAGAAGGCGCCGACACACTGGCAGAGGCTGGATTCAGCCGACAGCTGGATGGTTAGTGTTTCCGTGGACCTGTCAGGCGGGAAGAGCAACAGCTTCAAGTGTCTGATATATATATATATATATATATATATATATATATATATATATATATATATATATATATATATATATATATATATATATATATATATATATATATATATATATATAGGCCTATATATGGTTATTTATTTAGTTATTTATTTATTGTGTGTGTACTCATTGAGCCAACCGTGGAGCGATCTTCTCCAAACGAATTAAGGGGCATATTTTCATTTTTAAGAGCGCTATACACTAAGGATACGCTGGGCTACATCAATCGATGCTTAAATCGAACCAGGGCGTTCTGTGGCGCCTTGGTTGTTGTGTACGGTTGGGTATCTTGAGTTCCTCAGCGGCTATCTGAGCACCATACACTAAGGATGGAGTAGGCTACTGAACCGGACACCTATGCAGTAGTGTAACCAGGTTCTGGTCTGTCCTTTAAGTCGAGATTTTGGCTTGTCCATTATGTAAAGGTTTTGGCCTGTCCATTAAGTAAAGGTTTTGTCCTGTCCATTAAGTACAGATTTTGGCCTGTCCATTAAGTAAAGGTTTTGTCCTGTCCATTAAGTAAAGGTTTTGTCCTGTCCTTTAAGTAGAGATTTTGGCCTGTCCATTAAGTAAAGATTTTGGCCTGTCTATTAAGTAAAGATTTTGGCCTGTCTATTATGTAAAGATTTTGGCCTGTCTATTAAGTAAAGATTTTGGCCTGTCCATTAAGTAAAGATTTTGGCCTGTCCATTAAGTAAAGATTTTGTCCTGTCCATTAAGTAAAGATTTTGGCCTGTCCATTAAGTAAAGATTTTGGCCTGTCCATTAAGTAAAGATTTTGGCCTGTCCATTAAGTAAAGATTTTGTCCTGCCCATTAAGTAAAGATTTTGGCCTGTCCATTAAGTAAAGATTTTGTCCTGTCCATTAAGTAAAGATTTTGGCCTGTCCATTAAGTAAAGATTTTGGCCTGTCCATTAAGTAAAGATTTTGGCCTGTCCATTAAGTAAAGATTTTGTCCTGTCCATTAAGTAAAGATTTTGGCCTGTCCATTAAGTAAAGATTTTGGCCTGTCCATTAAGTAAAGGTTTTGACCCGTCCATTAAGTAAAGATTTTGGCCTGTCCATTAAGTAGTGGATTTGGTCAGGGTTACCTGGGCGTCGAGTTGTTGGACGAGCACTTGTTTCTCACGGGGATCTTGCTCAGCTGCTGCAGTAGCCTCTCCTGCTGTGACGTCAGATCTTCTGGCAGCTCCAAGTCCTCCCCTCCCTCCGGGCCACTCCCCAACTCCCCGGGGGGTTCCAGGCTGTCCCCGGCGTCTGGCGTCACAGAGGGCGGGTTCTGTGAGGGTGTGGTCAGCTCGTAGCTACAGTGGAGCTCGGGGGCGTCCAGCTGGTGGTAGAAGGGGGCGGAGACCACCATCTGGACCATGTTGGGCCCGGCCAACAGGGTGCCCTCGATCTGGTTGGCGCCCTTGATTCTATTGACCGCTTCATGCGACGTGTTGGCATTCGGGCAGATCAGCCAGTCGGAATTTGCCAAATCCTGTAAAGATCACAACTAGGGTATCAGCTAGTGAAGATTTTATGTGACCTTGTTGGTGTTATTATAATAATGTAACGATGTTTTGATGACTTATACTGTGTGTTTATTTATGTAAACAACATTCATCCTCCCCATATCAAGGTCTTCGGTTCACAACAAAAAAACGCGATGTGCGGTGTGTTTTATTTGGTCTGTTATTTCGTTTCTAGAACTTAATTATACCAGTCTCCTAGTGTTGGTGCGAGAATTGACCAACAATTATTAGTTGTAGTCTTACTTTGATTCGTTTGGCCAATAACACTTTGCCTTAAAGTGGGCTTAAAGATATGGTCGGCAAAATATGTGGACTATTTTGACTCAGCAAGTAACTGAATCATCTTAGTTTACGTTACGATACTTTAGATAGGAAAACTAGCCCATTTGATGCAAGACGAGGTGGCCGAGTGGTTAAGGCGATGGACTGCTAATCCATTGTGGTCTCCACGCGTGGGTTCGAATCCCATCCTCGTCGCTATTATTTTGTATTACTTTCTTTTATTTGTCTTTTTAAACAAATACAATTTATGGGATGATTTTTATCTAAAAGATTACCCAGAACTTAATTTAAAATATGAACATGCTTGGGTTTAAAACGATTACCAGAGCTTAATTAAATTGGATGTTTATGATTTCAACAGCAAACGTGGCTGACCACTGACCTTCTCCATTGCGTCTGTCACCAGCCGCATCATGGCCAAAATCTTCTGGATGGACTGAGCTTCCAGCTTGAAGATTCGTCTCCGCTCATAGCAGGCATTGAGCCAGGCCTCGGAGGTGGCTCCTGTCATCAGAGTAAATAGAGAACAAGTTTGGACATATATATATATATATATATATATATATATATATATATATATATATATATATATATATATATATATATATATATATATATATATATATATATACACATACATACATACATATATATACATACATAAATATACATACATATATATACATATATATATATATATATATATATATATATATATATATATATATATATATATATATATATATATATATATATATTTATATATTTATATATTTATATATATGTGTGTGTGTGTTTGCACTGATAGATAGATAGTATTCATTAGATGGAAATTCTACTTCTAGCTATTTCTAACCCAACTTACCATCAAAAGTTGTACATAATCCATTTTTGTTGAAAGCACTCACTAACCTGAAAAACAGAAAATCAAACTTAGTCATCCTGTCACTTTCTCTCACTTTCTCATCCCAATATAAGAATTTTTAAAAATTAAAAATATTATCGACGAGGATGGGATTCGAACCCACGCGTGGAGACCACAATGGATTAGCAGTCCATCGCCTTAACCACTCGGCCACCTCGTCTACATATTGAGAAAGTAAAAGTTCGTAAAAGTAAAACCACCAGCACGTTACATTGGTCGAGGCTCTATTTAAAGTAACGCAGCAGATGTTAATCCGATTTAATCCAGATCCCGCTCGATGTTGAAGATATGCTAATGAGGCAGAGATTGTAGTATGCGATGGAGAATATCAGAGCTAGTATGTCAAGCTATGGTTAACTATAAAACGGTAGTTTGTATGTATCCATATTACTGTTATGTATTGTTATATTGATGTAATGTTGTCCAAATTAGATTCCTAGTATTAATTGTATTATGTGCACTTTTCATGATAATATAAAAAGTAGGCCTAGCATGTAGCATTATGTGATACCCGCTGTAGACCTATTATCAGATTTCAAACTGTTTAGTTTCCTCAAAATAGAGTCCTTGCAAACACGTTACTGTGGACCTGTACACCGCGATGGCGGAAGTTTACATACTGAACAATCCGTGACGTCATATGCAAGGGCTCTATATGTTAGGAATGAAGTGGGGGTGGGGGAGAAGGTGTATACTTTTGTTGGACAATTGTTGAGAAAAACTTTTAACGCAAAATTTATAATAACAAGATATAAATCTCAAAACGACAAAAAAAATTACAAAGACAAAACATCAAAATAAAAAAGTTAAAAACCTTAACACGACAATAAACAAAGCAACCAATCAACACTCAATATTCTGCATGCCATCACAATAAAAAAAATAAACCAATCAACACACTCAATATTCTGCATGCCACCACAATAAAAAAAAATCAACCAATCAACACACTCAATATTCTGCATGCCATCCGTCGACAGTTTCTGCTCCTCAATGACGTCAACTGGGGGCACGCCCTCTCTGGAGGATTTCTTCAGATCGAGGCTGGTCTCCGATCTCATCTCCATCAGTGGCTGCAGGACCGGACATTTCAGTCTTGTTAGTCAAATCAATTTTTATAAAAACCTGAAGTCTACAATTGAAACATATGGCAACCAATTTTTTAAAAAGTCAGCCACGCCCACTAGCCAGTTAAATGTTCCAAAAGTTCAACCTGCCACACCCACTAGCCAGTCAAATGTTCCGAAAGTTCAATCAACCACGCCCACTAACGACCCGTCAGACAAGAACCAACCTTTGGCTGTGACAAGCGGACCACCTCCATAAGTCTGGACTTCTTCCAGCGTTCATTCAACACCATCCCTCTGGTCAAACGGCCCATCTCCGCCATCTCCTTCTTCACCGCATACGTCACCGACTGGAAGCGACACAAAGAACAAAATTATTACATCATATTGGCTGTAGTGTTGTGGTATAAACACCTCCTACCTATGGGAGCTACCCCCACACACCCATCCGTGCCTGTGGGAGACACTCTTCTACGCACTCGACCTGTTAGAGACATCTCAAACAACTAAGCCCCCTACCTGGGGGAGCCGCAACCACCCTTCAGCGCCCCCTACCTTTGAGAGACGCCCCGCCCACCCCTACCTGTGGGAGCCGCCCCCTACCTGTGAGAGACGCCCCACCCACCCCTACCTGTGGAGACGCCCCACCCACCCCTACCTGCGGGAGCCGCCACAAGAAGATGCAGCCGTCCACGGAGAAGGAGATGATGTGCTTCATGTTGTGGGAGAACTTGACGCCCGTGATGTTCTCAGCGTGTCCATTGATGGTCCTCAGCATCACGCCGGTGCTAAACTATGGCGAGGTCAGGTGGGGGTTAGTGGCGTCAGGCAGTGGCCAGGTGTTAGTGGCGTCAGGCAGTGGTCAAGTGTTAGTGGCGTCAGGCAGTGGTCAAGTGTTAGTGGCGTCAGGCAGTGGTCAGGTGGGGGTTAGTGGCGTCAGGCAGTGGTCAGGTGGCGGTTAGTGGCGTCAGGCAGTGGTCAGGTGGGAGTTAGTGGCGTCAGGCAGTGGTCAAGTGTTAGTGGCGTCAGGCAGTGGTCAAGTGTTAGTGGCGTCAGGCAGTGGTCAGTTGGGGGTTAGTGGCGTCAGGCAGTGGTCAAGTGTTAGTGGCGTCAGGCAGTGGTCAAGTGTTAGTGGCGTCAGGCAGTGGTCAGTTGGGGGTTAGTGGCGTCAGGCAGTGGTCAAGACATACACGAGACAGACATGAGACAGACATGAGACAGACATGAGACAGACATGAGACAGACATGAGACAGACATGAGACAGACATGAGACAGGTGTTTACCTGTAGCAGGTTGATGGTCTTGTTCGAGCAAGCTGTCAGTAGAAACTGACCCGAGGGGTCGACCTGAATTTTGATCAGCTGACCTCCACAACTGGGGCACCCCCTTGAGATACGGAGAAGTAAAAAAATGGCTGAGTACCTGTCGGGGTGTTTCCTGGACATTCCTCAAAGGGCGAGTATTTCTATAGTCGTCTGCGCTCAACTTATAATCCCAACTTGTAACTCTTAACTTGATTAGATTTCACTGATCTTCCCGCGTCCCATTCTATACACCGCCCATGCCACATCTCTACCTCACTACATCACCTCACTACATCACCTCACCACATCTCCACCTCACTCCCCACACCAGAGGCGTAGCGACCCTTCCCGGCGCCCGGGGACAAACTTTCGTTTTGCACCTCCCCCCCCCCCCTCAAGCTTTCATTTTTATTTTTCCAACCCATTTTGGCGCCCCCTAAGGTCGGCGCCCGGGGACATATGTGTCCCCCCCCCTCGCTACGCTACTGCCCCACATCAAACCACTCCCCACTTCACCCCCGTATCTCCCAAAAAAACCTGTACTACAATAACTTAACTCCAATGGTTACCTAAAACACTCAAGGAAGACAACTCAACCATTTGTTTACCTAAAACACTCAAGGAAGACAACTCAACCATTTGTTTACCTAAAACACTCAAGGAAGACAACTCAACCATTTGTTTACCTAAAACACTCAAGGAAGACAACTCTACCATTTGGTTACCTAAAACACTCAAGGAAGACAACCATTTGTTTACCTAAAACACTCAAGGGAGACAACTCAACCATTTGTTTACCTAAACGAATTGTTTTCCACCGAACTCATGATGCTGTAGATTCGAACCAAACGGTCCTGACAAGCCAAGGCCATCAACCCTGGAAGTAGCGAGATCAAGCCCAAGTTAGAGAAACAATATCGATACAGTTCTTCAAGTCAAAATGACAGTTGTCATTGGAACGACATGTTCCAATACTTGGATCATGTCTGCTTTCTGGCTTAACTGTAGAGTTTCCATGAATGAAACCAGCACTAAAGAGAAGCTGAAGATTGTACTCTAGGTTAGATGTTCGGCTGACTACATAATTCCATTTCTTTGGGCTGGGTGTTTCCCTTAAGTTAGGCTGACTACTAGTGATTGTTCTGGGACATTAACGATGGTTGCTCTAATAGTTTTTACCTGACCAGGGGTGAATGTCCTAACGAGCGTTACCTGACCAGGTGTTAATGTCCTAACGACCGTTACCTGACCAGGGGTCAATGTCCTAATGACACTAACCCGTACAGGGGTCAATGTCCTAACGACCGTTACCTGCCCAGGGGTCAATGTCCTAACGACACTAACCCGTACAGGGGTCAATGTCCTAACGGCCGTTACCTGACCAGGGGTCAATGTCCTAACGACCGTTACCTGCCCAGGGGTCAATGTCCTAACGACCGTAACCTGCCCAGGGGTCAATGTCCTAACGACCGTTACCTGCCCAGGGGTCAATGTCCTAACGACCGTTACCTGCCCATTGGTCAATGTCCTAACGAGTGTTACCTGCCCAGGGGTCAATGTCCTAACGACTGTTACCTGACCAGGGGTCAATGTCCTAACGACAGTTACCTGACCAGGGGTCAATCTCCTAACGACCGTAACCTGCCCAGGGGTCAATCTCCTAACGACCGTAACCTGCCCAGGGGTGAATGTCCTAACGAGCGTTACCTGACCAGGGATGGATGGTAAAGTCCATGACCGACTTCTTCTCCACGATGGCCCTGACGGGTCTGAAGGTGAATCTGTTGGTGTCCAGGTAGGCGCGGACTAGCACGGACATGTCAAGGCTGCTGGTCACCTAGGTCAAAGGTCACACGGTAAGGAACTTACTGTGTGTGGGTTGTTTAAAGTACTAGTATGGTAATCACAATGGGAACTTACTGTTTGTGGGCTGTTTAAAGTACTAGTATGGTGAATCACAATGGGAACTTACTGTGTGTGGGCTGTTTAAAGTACTGTTATGGTGAATCACAATGGGAACTTACTGTGTGTGGGCTGTTTAAAGTACTGTTATGGTGAATCACAATGGGAACTTACTGTGTGTGGGGTGTTTAAAGTACTGTTATGGTGAATCACAATGGAATTTATAATGGCGATCTTTCCGACGATGATGAGAATTAATTGAAATGACATCGTATTTACAAGTAAAATAAAATAAAAAGATAATTCGAGTTTGATTACCGGAATAATTTACATTGGAGAGAATGGGGGGGGGGGGGGGGGGGGGGGGGCTTTAAAAAACTTAACTATAACGAAACTTTATACTTGGGGGTCTATATACATGTCTTCAAACAATATCATTAAGAAGTGAAAACTTGTCGAAGCGGGTTTTAAAAAAAACATTACCATCAAGAGACAGCGTGAAATGTGGGTAAAGTTAATGGCGGTTATGGTCGATGAGTGGTCATCTAGTGTGGTCAGCAGCTGGTAGTCACGTGATGCGTCCATGACGTGGATCATGCGGTCCCGACTTCCGCTGGCCAATATCTGGAATTTGACAAGTCAGTCAACTGGAATAGGCCCTAACTTCAAACTCAAACTTTCCCCCCAACTCACCTTGTAACCCATCCACCTGTAATCCCCCCACCCACCCACCTGTAACCCACTTACCTGTAACCCACCTGTAACCAACTCACCTGTAACCCACTTGTAACCAACCCACCCGTAACCCACCTACCTGTAATCCGCCCACCTGTAAACAACCCACCTGTAACCCACCTGTAACCAACTCATCTGTAACCCACCTGTAATCCCCCCACCTGTAACCCACCTGTAACCCACCTGTAGCCACCCACCTTAAACCAACCCACCTGTAATCCCCCCACCTGTAACCCACCTGTAACCCACCTGTAGCCACCCACCTTAAACCAACCCACCTGTAACCCCCCACCCACCTGTAACCCACCCACCTGTAACCCACCCACCTGTAATCCCCCAACTGTAACCCACCCACCTGTAATCCCCCACATGTAACCCACCCACCTGTAACCAACCCACCTGTAACCCACCCACCTGTAACCCACCCACCTGTAACTCAGCTGTAACCCACCTGTAACCAACTCACCTGTAACCCACCCACACACCTGTAACCAACCCACCTGTAACCCACCCACCTGTAACCCACCCACCTGTAACCCACCCACCTGTAACCCACCCACCTGTAACCACCCACCTGTAACCCACCCACCTGTAACCAACCCACCTGTAACCCACCTGTAACTCACCCACCTGTAACTCACCCACCTGTAACTCACCCACCTGTAACCAACCCACCTGTACCCACCCACCTGTAACCAACCCACCTGTAACCCACCCATTTGTAACTCACCCACCTGTAACCAACCCACCTGTAACCCACCCACCTGTAACCCACCCACCTGTACCCCACCCACCTGTACCCCACCCACCTGTAACCCACCTGTAACTCACCCACCTGTAACTCACCCACCTGTACCCACCCACCTGTAACCCACCCACCTGTAACCCACCTGTACCCACCCACCTGTAACCCACCCACCTGTAACCCACCTGTACCCACCCACCTGTAACCCAGCCACCTGTAACCAACCCACCTGTAACTCACCCACCTGTAACCCACCCACCTGTAACCAACCCACCTGTACCCACCCACCTGTAACCAACCCACCTGTAACCCACCCACCTGTACCCACCCACCTGTAACCCACCTGTAACCCACCCATTTGTAACCCACCCACCTGTAACCCACCCACCTGTAACCCACCTGTAACCAACTCACCTTATGTTTGCTTGTAATGGAGTACCTGAGGGCAGTGACCTCAGCCTCGTGCGCCAACATCGTGGCTTTGGTGATCATCGTGTTGGCGTCGTAGATGCACACCCTCCCCTGGCGGTTACCTGTGGCGATGTCCATGCCGTCAGGACACACCTGGAGCAGACGACAAACTCGGCTGGTTCTAGACATTGTGTGAGTGGGTGTGGGAGTGTGTGGGTGAGTGTGGCTGAGTTGGTACGTGTGTGAAGTGTGCACATGTGTAGGTGTGTGTGTGTGAGTGTGAGTGTAATCCCCAACCATGTTGTATGGAACAGTATCCCTACACCCTCCTCACATCTACCTTCACACCTACTCCCACAACCTACAACCACACCTACCTCCGAATCCACTCCCACGCCTACCCTACCCTACATCCACACCAACCCCACCCCACATCCACACCAACACCCACCACAAATCCACACACCTTTACCAGCACACCTACCCAACACCTACCCCCACATCCACTCCTACCCCAACACTTACCCTCACATCCACCCCACACCCACCCCACATCACACCCACACCCCCCACACATCCCCACCCAACACCTACCCCACCACATCTACCAGCACACCTACCCCCACATTCACCCTCACACCTACCCCCACATCCACCCCACATCCACCCTCACACCTACCCCCACATCCACCCCACATCCACCCTCACACCTACCCCCACATCCACCCCACATCCACCCTCACACCTACCCCCACATCCACCCCACAATCCACACCTACCCCACATCCACCCTCACACCTACCCCCACATCCACCCCACATCCACCCTCACACCTACCCCATATCCACCCTCACACCTACCCCCACATCCACCCCATATCCACCCTCACACCTACCCCCACATCCACCCTCACACCTACCCCCACATCCACCCCACATCCACCCTCACACCTACCCCCACATCCACCCCACATCCACCCTCACACCTACCCCCACATCCACCCCACATCCACACCTACCCCACATCCACCCTCACACCTACCCCCACATCCACCCCACATCCACCCTCACACCTACCCCCACATCCACCCCACATCCACACCTACCCCACATCCACCCTCACACCTACCCCCACCACACTGAAGCACTGTTTCCCGTGTCTCTTTAGTGGTGTTACTGTTGACTCTCTCGTCTTGCTCTGCTTGCGAGTTTTGCTCTGGTTGGTTTTGGCCACGTCCATCTTGTTGCAATACACTATCTTCAAACACTCGGCGCTCAAACAGTTCCTGAAAACAAGAATCTTTGATTCCATACACGCGCTGGCTGGGTGCTGGTATAACTGTGGGCCTACCATCCTACCACTGTGGGCCTACCATCCTGCCACTGTGGGCCTACCATCCCGCCACTGTGGGCCTACCATCCTGCCACTGTGGGCCTACCATCCCGCCACTGTGGACCTACCAACCTGCCACTGTGGGCCTACCATCCCGCCACTGTGGACCTACCAACCTGCCACTGTGGTCCTACCACCCTACCACTGTGGGCCTACCATCCTGCCACTAAGATGTGGGCTTACCATCCTACCACTGTGGGCTTACCATCCTGCAACTGAGGGCCTACCATCCTGCCACTCTGGGCCTACCATCCCGCCACTGTGGGCCTACCATCCCGCCACTGTGGGCCTACCATCCTGCCGATGCGGGCCTACATCCTGCCACTGTGGTCCTACCATCCTGCCACTGTGGGCCTACCATCCTGCCACTGTGGGCCTACCATCCCGCCACTGTGGGCCTACCATCCTGCCACTGTGGGCCTACCATCCTGCCACTGTGGTCCTACCATCCTGCCACTGTGGGCCTACCATCCTGCCACTGTGGGCCTACCATCCCGCCACTAAGATGTGGACCTACCCTCCCGCCACTGTGGACCTACCATCCTACCACTGTAGGACTACCATCCTGCCACTGTGGACCTACCATCCCGCCACTGTGGACCTACCATCCCGTCACTGTGGGCCTACCATCCTGCCACTGTGGACCTACCATCCCGCCACTGTGGGCCTACCATCCCGCCACTGTGGACCTACCATCCCGCCACTCACCGTTTGAGGACACTCTCCTCGCAGATTTTAGCGCTCACGTCCCACGCCCTCAGGGTGCCATCTGAAGACACGGAGATTAGGGCGCCGGGGGGCAGGGCGCCGCCTGCAGACCCCTCCTCACATTCAGTCTCCAGGGTGACGGGGTAGGTTGTCAGGTCCCACACACAGCCTCGGTGATACATAGAGGAGTACCTGCAACATATGACATTACATAGAGGAGTACTGGCAACATATGACATTACATACAGAAGTACCTGCAACATATGACATTACATAGAGGAGTACCTGCAACATATGACATTACATAGAGGAGTACTGGCAACATATGACATTACATACAAGTACCTAGAACATATGACATTACATACAAGTACATAGAGGAGTACCTGCAACATATGACATTACATACAAGTACCTAGAACATATGACATAACATAGAGGAGTACCTGCAACATATGACATTACATAGAGGAGTAACTGCAACATATGACATTACATAGAGGAGTACTGGCATCCTATGACATTACATAGAGGAGTACCTGCAACATATGACATTACATAGAGGAGTACTGGCAACATATGACATTACATAGAGGAGTAACTGCAACATATGACATTACATAGAGGAGTACTGGCAACATATGACATTACATAGAGGAGTACCTGCAACATATGACATTACATAGAGGAGTACTGGCAACATATGACATTACATAGAGGAGTACCTGCAACATATGACATTACATAGAGGAGTACTGGCAACATATGACATTACATAGAGAAGTACTGGCAACATATGACATTACATAGAGGAGTACTGGCAACATATGTCATTACATAGAGAAGTACTGGCAACATATGACAATACATAGAGGAGTACTGGCAACATATGACATTACATAGAGAAGTACTGGCAACATATGACATTACATAGAGAAGTACTGGCAACATATGACATTACATAGAGGAGTACTGGCAACATATGACATTACATAGAGAAGTACTGGCAACATATGACATTACATAGAGAAGTACTGGTAACATATGACATTACATAGAGAAGTACTGGCAACATATGACATTACATAGAGGAGTACTGGCAACATATGACATTACATAGAGAAGTACTGGCAACATATGACATTACATAGAGAAGTACTGGCAACATATGACATTACATAGAGGAGTACCTGCAACATATGACATTACATACAAGTACCTAGAACATATGACATTACATACAAGTACCTTGAACATATGACATTACATAGAGGAGTACCTGCAACATATGACATTACATAGAGGAGTAACTGCAACATATGACATTACATAGAGGAGTACTGGCAACATATGACATTACATAGAGGAGTACCTGCAACATATGACATTACATAGAGGAGTACTGGCAACATATGACATTACATAGAGGAGTAACTGCAACATATGACATTACATAGAGGAGTACTGGCAACATATGACATTACATAGAGGAGTACCTGCAACATATGACATTACATAGAGGAGTACTGGCAACATATGACATTACATAGAGGAGTACCTGCAACATATGACATTACATAGAGGAGTACTGGCAACATATGACATTACATAGAGAAGTACTGGCAACATATGACATTACATAGAGGAGTACTGGCAACATATGACATTACATAGAGAAGTACTGGCAACATATGACATTACATAGAGGAGTACTGGCAACATATGACATTACATAGAGAAGTACTGGCAACATATGACATTACATAGAGAAGTACTGGCAACATATGACATTACATAGAGGAGTACTGGCAACATATGACATTACATAGAGAAGTACTGGCAACATATGACATTACATAGAGAAGTACTGGTAACATATGACATTACATAGAGAAGTACTGGCAACATATGACATTACATAGAGGAGTACTGGCAACATATGACATTACATAGAGAAGTACTGGCAACATATGACATTACATAGAGAAGTACTGGCAACATATGACATTACATAGAGGAGTACCTGCAACATATGACATTACATACAAGTACCTAGAACATATGACATTACATACAAGTACCTTGAACATATGACATTACATAGAGGAGTAGCTGCAACATATGACATTACATAGAGGAGTAGCTGCAACATATGACATTACATAGTACCTGCAACATATGACATCAAACAGATCAGTAGGCCTACCTAGAACATATGACATGACATACAAGAGTATATAGAACATATGACATTACATAGATGAGTACCTATAACTTATGACAGAAGATAGATGAATTTCAACGATATGACATTACATAGGCTAGTGCATTCAACCTTATTAAAAGACAACCTTTTCGTTAACCCCCCCCCCCCCACCACCCTCCGGCTTAAAGACAACAGCTGTTAACTTTATTCTCTCCCCTGCCTACACCCAGTTGTCCCCCCTCCTCCTCCCACACGTTAGCCAAGACATGTTACTTCCCCCCTCCCCCACACGTTAGCCAAGACATGTTACATTTCCCCCCCCCCTCCCCCCACACGTTAGCCAAGACATGTTACTTCCCCCCCCTAACCCCCCCCCACACGTTAGCCAAGACATGTTTACCCCCCCCCCCCCCCGCGTTAGCCAAGACATGTTACCTCCCCCCCCCCCCCACGTTAGCCAACACTTGTTACCTTCATCCCCCACCCCCACGTTAGCCAAGACATGTTACCTACCCCCCCCCCCCCCCCACGTTAGCCCAGACATGTTACCTTTTCTTGAAACACCTGACGCCATCTTCAGACACCGCCTGGTCCCGCCCCCAGATATACAGACTGTGATCGTCATACACGACCGTCAGGTTCTCGTGCACGGGGTCAAAGGTCAGGGCCCGGGTCTCAGGGTACTGGACGCTGGAGTCACGCTCTGACTCGGAGTCTTCGTCAGAGAGCTCGGTGGTGTAGGGCTGGGTCACCTGGACAAAAGTGGGAGATGTTTATCTTTAGTCAGTTATTAATAGAGTTCAGCTGGATGTAGCATTGATTTTTCTATAGTTTGCATGTTTATTTCATGGTGTCACCCCCCCCCCCTTCCTTGTCGGGATCGTTATTATGTAATGAGCAATCATGGAGGAGGATAATGGAAGTGGCAGCAAGGGCTGCTGGGTTTACGTGGGTTCAACTAAAGAGAGTTGTCAAAAACAGAGTCTGGTGGAGAGGTGTGGCTGCAGAACTTTGCTACTACAAAATTTTACAGGACTTAGACAAAGTAAGTCAAACATAAATAAAAAGGGATTTTTGGAAAAAACAAGTTAATAAAAAGTCTTGTGACAATTTAAGCGCAATTTCCTTATGTTATCCATAACAATTTTAAATCGAGATAAATCATATATTCAGCAACGGTGCCCAAATATTAAAACGTTTATATCAGTATTTGACTATGATTAAAACCCGCCCTCTTGTTTGTAAACATTAGCACGTGGAAAAAAACGAGCGACGCGTAGCTCGCCTCTCTCTCTCTCTTGCCGCTAAATCTTCCTAGGCCTACACGATGCTCAGTTTAAAAATTCTTAATTAATTTTTTGTAGCCGTACGAAAGGATATTTTTGAAAACTTTCTTTGGCAATATTGTTCTAAATTATGGCAGGAATCAATTGGTAAATGTTTCAAGTCGCTAAGTGGTCTGGTTGCCGAGATATGGGCCAAAAACTGCATTTTTTCGAGGTTTTTTTACTTTTCCGGAAAATCCAGGAAGGAATTCCGGGAATTTTTTTGGCCTATGTTCATCCTCGGAACTTGCTTAACAATTTGCTTTTGGAACTAGTCCTCGATATTGCTTCGTTGAGGAGGAGATACGACTTAAAGCTGCGGACACACATCCATACATCCATCCATCCAGAAATGACGAGTTAATAATCGCAATCCCCCAGTATGGAAATTGCGCTAAAAAAACATTGGGAAAAAAACGACAGGGAGCGTGGCTAGATTAGTTGCGCTCGATTGGCTACCTTGACCCTGACCCTAGCCATAATCTTTGACCTGGTGATGCCAACTACTTTAGCCTAAAGCTTTATCCAAACCCAAACACATAAACGGAAGCCGCTGAGCACCTCATTTCAAAGAAAACGCTGCAAATTGTCTAGCTGTGGGAATAACCTTGTAATTTCACCTGTGCAATGTCAAGGCCTAAGTTGTGAGGTCGAGGTAAGGTCAAAATGATCTGGAGGTCAAGTGCTTGAAACATCCTGACAGTGCCCTGCGCCCCCCCTACAAAGACACACTTGTCGTCTGCGTCCAGACAGCACGCCTTCTGCATGTTGACGTTGACCCATCTCTCCAGAAGTCTGTTCCTGTTGATCTGGCGGTCAAACAAAACATGTGAGGTTTTAAAAATTTGAGGTCAACAGATGGTCAGTTGTGGTGTGCTTAAACCTTTCCCACTGATAGCTTTTGCGATTCACTTTTAAATATTTTTATCAAATTTTTTAACAATTATTTGTGTGTGTGTGTGTGTGTGTGTGTGTGTGTTTACTTGTGTGATTAGTTTCAGCTTTAAAGATGCCAAGTCATTCGTTTAGGGATCGGCTAGAGATAAAGTCATTCATTTTTGGCTGTCTTACATCGATGTCGTATTTTCCCTCCACAGAGTCTCTTTCTGGTGTGTCTTCTGGGGGGGGGGGGGGGGGCACAGTCACGAAGCACGTTCGCCCCTCTCCTCCCCCATCCCAAACAACCCCTTTAACCCCACCCCCGAACGAAATTGGTAAAATATATACTTTGTATTGAAAATATATATAGGCATACTTTAACCAGCGTCCGCTTCCCACCTCCCCCCCCCCCCCGAAAGTTTCAAGTGTTCCCCGCCCCCCATCCTAGAAAAAAATGACTGAAAAAAAACACCGTTCCTGACACCATAACACACCTAGCAAATTTAGTACATATGACACCTGACACAATTACACACCTAGCACGATAGCACCATTACACACCTAGTAAGATAGAACACCAAACACCATCACACACCTAGTAAGATAGCACAACAGACACCATTACACACCTAGTAAGATAGGACACCATTACACACCTAGTAAGATAGGACACCATTACACACCTAGTAAGATAGGACACCATTACACACCTAGTAAGATAGAACACTAGACACCATTACACACCTAGTAAGATAGGACACCATTACACACCTAGTAAGATAGGACACCATTACACACCTAGTAAGATAGAACACTAGACACCATTACACACCTAGTAAGATAGCACACCATTACACACCTAGTAAGATAGGACACCATTACACACCTAGTAAGATAGGACACCATTACACACCTAGTAAGATAGGACACCATTACACACCTAGTAAGATAGGACACCATTACACACCTAGTAAGATAGCACACCATTACACACCTAGTAAGATAGGACACCATTACACACCTAGTAAGATAGAACACTAGACACCATTACACACCTAGTAAGATAGCACACCATTACACACCTAGTAAGATAGGACACCATTACACACCTAGTAAGATAGAACACTAGACACCATTACACACCTAGTAAGATAGAACACTAGACACCATTACACACCTAGTAAGATAGGACACCATTACACACCTAGTAAGATAGGACACCATTACACACCTAGTAAGATAGAACACTAGACACCATTACACACCTAGTAAGATAGCACACCATTACACACCTAGTAAGATAGGACACCGTTACACACCTAGTAAGATAGAACATAACACACCTGACTCCATTACACACCTAGTAAGATAGGACACTAGACACCATTACACACCTAGTAAGATAGAACATAGCACACCTGACACCATTACACACCTAGTAAGATAGAACACTAGACACCATTACACACCTAGTAAGATAGAACATAGCACACCTGACACCATTACACACCTAGTAAGATAGAACACTAGACACCATTACACACCTAGTAAGATAGAACACTAGACACCATTACACACCTAGTAAGATAGGACACCATTACACACCTAGTAAGATAGGACACCATTACACAGTTAGTAAGATAGGACACCATTACACACCTAGTAAGATAGGACACCATTACACACCTAGTAAGATAGAACACCATTACACACCTAGTAAGATAGGACACCATTACACACCTAGTAAGATAGAACATAGCACACCTGACACCATTACACACCTAGTAAGATAGAACACTAGACACCATTACACACCTAGTAAGATAGAACACTAGACACCATTACACACCTAGTAAGATAGGACACCATTACACACCTAGTAAGATAGGACACCATTACACAGTTAGTAAGATAGGACACCATTACACACCTAGTAAGATAGGACACCATTACACACCTAGTAAGATAGAACACCATTACACACCTAGTAAGATAGGACACCATTACACACCTAGTAAGATAGAACATAGCACACCTGACACCATTACACACCTAGTAAGATAGAACATAGCACACCTGACACCATTACACACCTAGTAAGATAGGACACCATTACACACCTAGTAAGATAGAACATAGCACACCTGACACCATTACACACCTAGTAAGATAGGACACCACTACACACCTAGTAAGATAGAACACTAGACACCATTACACACCTAGTAAGATAGAACATAGCACACCTGACACAGGACTCCTGATATCGCTATGACAAAGATATAGAAGCTGCTACAGCCTCTCCCACACACCACATCACAAAAGCAATTGTCCTTCAAGCTGTCCATAATGCCACACCGTGTGGGCAAGGGGATGGGGCAGGGGTTCTCAAGTTGACTGAAAGTAACAATTTCAAGACATAAACTTATATATATACTTATATATATATATATATATATATATATATATATATATATATATATATATATATATATATATATATATATATATATATATATGTGACTAGGGTAGGCCTAGCCACTAGTTACAAATATGATAACGAACGAGAAGCCGCGACGCAGTATGAAATCTGACGCAACCATAACAGGTGGCTTATTGGATCGGTCTGATAACAATCTCAAAGGCAACGCGTGCTATTTTGGGAAACGGTACGAGAAGTTTCAGACGAGCTGTCAACTTTGATGGATGGGACGCAGATGTTTTAGTGAATCGGACGGTACGTCAGAAACTGCGACAGTAGTATTCGGATACATCGATTACAAGTATCGATTACGGAAATGGAGACAAGTACGACTACGATTTCAAGGCATAAATAGGAGGGGACGGCAGAACTCGTTCTCTCTTCCCGTTTCGAGGCTCTTACCTCTTTCATCGCTCGCTTAGATCAGTCAGTCTGTGTGACTATGTCAAGTCGGTTATAGAACGGGTTAGCCGTATTGTGTTAAGAAGGATTATAGACATGTGGATTCAGTTATATAAAGCCTAGTGAAGGACTGTTAGGGGTCAGTTGATTCAGACTATTATTGAGAAGCATTCCTGTTGATTTATTGTGTTATTATGAAGCATTTCTTGATTCATGTAATAAAGGATCAATAGCGAACCTGCATCTTGAGTATCTATACTGTGGTCAATGTTGTCTAGAATGAGTGGTTAAACTCGTTAACACGTGGCACTACAGACAATTAGGTCTCATTACATGTGGCGTTGCGAGCATGGTAACTGTTGGCTCGTTACAATTGGCGTTGTCGGCAGGATAAATGTTCGCTCGTCACATATATATATATATATATATATATATATATATATATATGAGTGTATATGTGTGTTCACTTAACCAAACATATTAACATGAATAACATTGTACATATAACGAATGAATACGTTGTATATCTAGGTGTATTTTACTTTGTATAGTTCCGTAGATTGTCCATGTTGTAAAATTTGACGTGGCGGTTTCCGACAGTCACAAAAAAACTGCTGTCTTCGGCGATTGTCATGGAGTAGATTTCATCTGATGAAAACACAATTTACAATTTACAAAAAACAAATATTTAAATGGGGTGTTTATCCAACATTGATTGCTTGAAGCACATTTTGAAAATTTAGCAATCTTTGCAAAATGTGCTCCTTTCTGCCCCCCCCCCCCCACCCCCTCTCAATTAAATCTTAAACAGTACTTGATGGATAGCCTTATTTCTGGTTGTTTGTGTTAGATCTAATTATAGTGAGGTTTATGTTTAGGTTTAGGCAAGGATAAGAGTGAGGTACTGTTTTCGAGCTTATAAAGAAAAACAAAGTAAAATCCCGCCTTCAGATCAAATGGTTCATGGTGCAGATGAACTAGAGTTCATGTGTTTCTCTGATATACAAAGGGATAGTGTGTTCAGCACTATGTTCAACTGACAAAGAAAGTGCTCCATATGAAAATGGCTAGAAAGTTCTAGAAAAATTGACCCGCAAATTTGTTCAGTGCCCCTTTTGAAAGTGAGAAAGTTCTAGAAAAACTGACCAGCAAATTTGTTCAGTGCCCTCATGACCTTGCTCGGCCACGCCCAGACGCTGATCATCATGTCATGCGCGTCACCAACGACAATGATCTCACGCATGCGCGGCGTGAAGGATAAGCTCGCGATGCCAACGCTGTGACCCCGGAGACACGCGACCTCTGACCTGAGTTGGGGGATAATGAATGTTAGTTTCATCCTTCTTTAGCTGTGCAAACAATAAGAATATACATACATGACCTGAATTGGGGGATAGTGAATGTTAGTTTCATCCTTCTTTAGTTGTGCAAACAATAAGAATATACATACATGACCTGAATTGGGGGATAGTGAATGTTAGTTTCATCCTTCTTTAGTTGTGCAAACAGAGTTGGGGGATAAGGAATGTTAGTTTCATCCTTCTTTAGTTGTGCAAACAGAGTTGGGGGATAAGGAATGTTAGTTTCATCCTTCTTTAGTTGTGCAAACAGAGTTGGGGGATAATGAATGTTAGTTTCATCCTTCTTTAGTTGTGCAAACAATAAGAATATACATACATGACCTGAATTGGGGGATAGTGAATGTTAGTTTCATCCTTCTTTAGTTGTGCAAACAGAGTTGGGGGATAAGGAATGTTAGTTTCATCCTTCTTTAGTTGTGCAAACAGAGTTGGGGGATAAGGAATGTTAGTTTCATCCTTCTTTAGTTGTGCAAACAGAGTTGGGGGATAAGGAATGTTAGTTTCATCCTTCTTTAGTTGTGCAAACAGAGTTGGGGGATAAGGAATGTTAGTTTCATCCTTCTTTAGTTGTGCAAACAGAGTTGGGGGATAAGGAATGTTAGTTTCGTCCTTCTTCAGTTGTGCAAACAGAGTTGGGGGATAATGAATGTTAGTTTCATCCTTCTTTAGTTGTGCAAACAATAAGAATATACATACATGATTAAAAAGTAATAACTAAGTGACATTTTAAACAGTTTCTTAATGTAATACGTTTTTAAAAGCCTCGTCGGCACTCGGAATGTGATATAATTGTTTGACGATTCCCAAATGTCTGAAAAAATTGTGCGCAATTCCCTAATGTCTGAAAGAATTCTTTGAAAATTCCCAAATATCTAAAAAAAATATTGTTCGACAATTCCCACATATCTAAAACAATTGTGCGACAATCCCCAAAATTTTGAAAGAATTGTGCGACAACGCCCAAAAGCCTATTCACCAACTCACTTTTGAAACACATAAACGTTGCGAAGATCATATCGATCAGATCGAATACCAAAATAAAACTAAAAAATCTGAAAGATAACAATTGTAAAATGTGCCAACCAAACAGAAAACAAAATGACATCCGGGCAACACAAGACACCACTCACTTGCGTACTAGGTCCCAGACACGGACTGCCGGTTGCAAGCCGGACTCTCCGGTCAAGACGTAGCGGCCGTCCGGCGAAAACTTGGCTGCCGTGACGCTCTTCCTGGGTGTGTGGAGTGTGGCGACCTGCCTGTGTGGGAGGTAGTGTGGTAGTCAATGTGTGGGTGGGTGTGTGGGTGTATGTGGGAGGGTAGTGTGCTAGTGTGCTTGACTTGGTTAAGAGAGTGGTGTTAAATATATGGGGTGGGGAAGTAATGTGTGGCCTATAACTGTAACTGAGGTCCCGATACCACCCACCCTCCACTAGTAGAGAATGTCAGCTTAAGTCTTACACTGGCGATTCTTGCTACCCCTGGAGCCTCCCATCCACTCCATGTTGCCCTATGTATTTGATTTCTTTATAGGCACGTGGATTTGCTTCCATAGCCTTTGTCCATCCAAGAACAAACTACAAGGCAGCAGTTATTTCTTCTTCTGCATTAATTAAAATAGTATTGGAAGAGATTCCCTCCAACACAACTAAGTATAGATGGCAACTGGTTATGCGCCCTTTAGGCCGTCGACTTCGATTTCAGACATAGCCTTTGTCCAACCAAGAACAAACTACAAGCCAGCAGTGGTTTGATGCAACCGACTCGACCACGCCGACCCCGGCAATTATTTGATTTTTGGAGTTTTCGATGAGTTGCTGTCTCCAGCTATCGAGTCTCATCTGCCCGTGAAATCGAACTCAGGACTTTTTGGTTTAGCAGCCACGAGCTTTGCTTTGATTTAAATATATTTCTTACAAATGAATGCTTTGCACTTGGCGTTAAACTGGCAATTTGAGAGGAGCTTAATAAAGTAGGAGAACTAATGTAACAAAAAAATTATTTGCCTCGAATTTTTAATGGCGTATTTTTTCGTATTCGGATTGGATTAAGTATATAGGAGTATCGATACGTACTTATTCTTGACGCTGTCCAGGAGCACGAGCACACAGCCCGCCGGATATGCCACCAGCCCAGATGCCGGGTGGCAGGTCAAGGCCGAGTTGGAGTAGACGGTCATGCCCAGCACGTGCTCCAGCTCGATGGTCATCTCGCTCTCGTGCGCTTTCTCTGTCTCCACCGCGGGGACCTTCTTCCCTCCCCTGCCCCGGCCTGGCTTCTTCGGACCTGGACTGTCGCCATCCATATCTGAGGGAGAGGAACGGGGGGGGGGGGGGGGGGTCTTAGCGTCTACTCCTACCCTCATCTGCAGAACAATGGGCGTTAGGTGGGGGGGGGGTGGAGGGGGGTCATAGCGTCTACCCCTACCCTCGTCAGCAGAACAATGGGGGTGCGGGGTCTTAGCTAGCACTTAGTTGTATCCTTGCAAAACATTTCTATGGTGGGGGTAGTCGGGTTACATTTAACATTTGTTGAGAATTAGGAGTATGGTTGCAGCTAGCAATGCTCATTTCGGACATTTTTCTACGAAAGAGGAGGGGGCACTTGTTAAATTATATATTTTCTAAATTAATATTTTTTTCTATTTCGTTCGGGGGGCGGTAGATGTGTCTCATGAGCACTGCTCCCCAGTAGCGTAGCGAGGGGGGGGGGGGGGGGCGAAAAGTTTGTCCCCGGGCGCCGGGAAGGGTCGCTACGCCTCTGCTTCCCCCCCCCCCCCCCCCCCCCCCCTTTCCCCACAAAGAGATGTCCGAGAAAATCTATGATGTCTAGGGTAATTGTATAAACTATGTTTTTGATTGTCCTAACCCTTCATCAACCCTGACCCTGACCATAATCCTGAGCTTAGCAAAACCCACTGTAAGAAATAGTTTACTGCATTGTCCTACAGACTTAGCAGAACCAAAATATGACTAACGCTGTTTATTTTTTAACTCAGTACAATAATATTTCCCGAACGTTGGTGGCTATCATATCCTTGTAAAACAATTTTATATGAAAAGCAAAGCTAATTGAATTTATGGTCAGTATGTTGACCTATTGGGCTGGCTGTATCACGTATACATAGGTGTAAGTCCTATATCAATTGTAACATATGTGTTTAGAAATATTAAAACTCTTTAAAAAAACTTGTCTTTAAAACAACGGATACAAATCTAGGACTAAATATAGTAACTAGACCTAGATTATATTAAATTATATTTCGGATGAAATCTATACACTATACATTGTTTATACTACTTTTCGGGAAATAGCTAAACAATAATAAATAAAAATTAATCTTTTTAAAGCTTACTTGGGTGCAGGCCTAAAGTTTACTGTAAGCCAACGTTTGTTTACTTTTTCACGCAAGCCCCACCGAATGTTTATTTACCTCACTTACATTTTGATGTTTCTACATTCGATATTCTATGGTCATAAGGAAATATTTAGTGTTCTGTCATTTTATTTCATTTTCATCTTTATAAGTAAAAGAGCGAACTCCTGTATTCCAAAGGTGCCAAACGGTGCTAAAATTCATAACAATTTTTTTTTTAACTTAATAAGATTCGAAGTAATGTAAAATATTTCAAAGCCTTAATAAGCAACAAAACGATAAAATATGCTTCTATTCGAAACAATGTAAAAATACTCCATAAATATAGGCCTAGGGGCATACGTGGGTTTTTAGGGGGAGGGGGCGGCGAATCCAGAAAAGGCGCCATATGTATGATACAGGCTTATATATATATATATTTCGCCTCGAGGTTCAAGCAAAATTTTGAGATACGAGTTATAGGATCAACGGGTTTCACAATTCAAGAAAAAGAAACACCCCAATTCTTCGTGGATGGAAGAAACAAACTTGATAGGTTTTGTTTTATTGAATGACACATTCTGCATGGATGGAAGAAAGAAACTTGATAGGTTTTGTTTTATTGAATGACACATTCTGCATGGATGGAAGAAACAAACTTGATAGGTTTTGTTTTATTGAATGACACATGCTGCATGGATAGAAGAAACAATCTTGATATTTTAGTAGGTTTTATTTTACATTACACGGCCTGCACGCGAACGTGAGTAAAGCAGAGTTTCTTCCAGGCATATCCTGGTAAAACGTCTACACCCCCCCCCCCCTCCGCCCCAAATAAAATTTAACTTATGTAAGAGAATATGTACTTTTACCAGTGTGCCCCCCCCCCCCCCCTCCCCGGAAAAAAATATTCCGCCCCCCCCCCCCCCTCACCCGAAAATTTTCAAGTCGTCCCCCCCCCCCTCACGCTGGTAAAAAAAAAGTCCGAAAGAAACACCGTAGTAAAGCGTGGTGAAAATAGCAAAGACCAAGTAGGCTGATTTCCGAACTTTATAAACTTATCTCTTTACATTCTCCTTTACGTTAATGATAATGTTTCTTTACATTTTTAACGTATAAAGTATAAATACATTTTTCGTATTGAAAATACGTAACAAAAACAACTGGGTGGCATTTTGGGGACAAGAACGGATAATTGCCATTTCACGTATATTCAATGGAGAAAGTTGCTTTGAGACACAAACAATTAAACCTATGATACGACCAGAAGCGTCTCGAGGCGGGGACTGGGGGTGCGCACTGCACCGGATGACACTATTGGGGGGGGGGGTGACACCATGGCGAAAAATGTTAAAGAAATAAGTTTTTTGCCAGTTCAACTAATTATTTATTAGAGTTAATCCACTATAAATAAATGACTATAGATAAACATCTTTATTATTAACTGTGAATATTTTAAAACTATCACCGGTGTGGGGTAGAGTGAGTGGGAGGGGGTGGGGTGACACCAAATGCAAAATTACAGAGGGAAAAAAGCTTTGTCTAGTTTTTTGAATCAACCGCCGGAGAAGGGGTGATACCAAATTTAATAATTTACGGTGAAAACTACCCAATTTGCTTATGAATTAATAGGTGGATTGTGCGCATAATTGACCCCATATATATATATATATATATATATATATATATATATATATATATATATATATATATATATATATATATATATATATATATTATATATATATATATATATATATATATATATATATATATATATATATATATATATATATATATATATATGGGGTAGAACAAATTAAAGTCGTATTTCGAGGTTTTGAAACTTTCAAGGGGAGCGAACGACAGTAGGGGAGATAATGCCTCCCTTTAATACTATTCCGTATACATAGTCTTCTTAGTTATGTTTTACATGTACGCTTTAATATATTATATTGAATAGTTGTACAACATAAATTTGTCTCTTTATAGATTAAATATATTATTTACATACATTTTAACATTTTAAGCAATGAAGTATGTTGATAAAAACTAAATTGTTCTAAAAACAGTATTCTTATTTTAAAGAACCAAAACAGTAATCACGATGTTGGTACCAAAAGTCTGCAGATCAATGAGTACTAGATCTAGATCTAGATATAAAAATGTTGAAACAAAGAAGGCTCAATTTGCTTTAAGTCTAAATCTAACAAAGTTTTTTAAACAGATCAAATTTATTCATGTCTTTGAATGAGGTATCTCATTTATGTGAAAAGTTTTTTTTAAAAAAAACACATACACCAATTTGTACGATTAAAGATTATAGATATTTAATATTAATCTTTATTTTTAAATATTTTATTTTTAAAAACCGAATTTCGAAAAAAAAAAGCTTTTGGCTTATTTGGTAAATATTATTTGGTAAATATTGGATTTAGCCACACAGCCGCAATTTCACTGGTACACCCGCTGTCTTGGGGTACCCAATATGGCGGAAGAAGATTTAGAGTTAGATAGTTGGGAAGAACAAGCCGATAGTGGTGTGAGTAACCGTTATTAAAATTTAATTTTATTCAGAGTTATAGACACCACAAGTAAGGATACCAAATAATTTACAATTTTGAGCATACTGATTATTTATACTTTGGATTGTGGGCCCAACAGACAAGGCAGTGCTCTCTTTCCAATCATTCAGTGCTCAGTGGTGACAGAATTGTGACAGTCATCGACTCATTCACTCAAGTCAAATTCACTGGCATTTCAGTGCATCCTAGATTTCTAATATTAGTAATATAGATCTAGTCAGAGGCGTAGCGACCCTTCCCGGGGATAAACTTTCGATTAGCAACCCCCTCTCAAACTTTCGATTTGCACCCCCCTCTCAAACTTTCAATTTCAATTTGCACCCCCCTTCAAACTTCTGATTTGCACATAGAGATCTATGTTCCCCCCCCCCCCCTGCCCCTCCATCGCTACGTATCTGGATCTAGTGTAGGCCTAATTAATATTTGGCCTATTTGTAGGTCCACTTCAAGAAGGTAACTTTCTACTTACTTTAATACTTAATACTTACGACTCTCTGAGTCTCTAGAGTACAATGAGGCCAAGGCTATTCTGCCCAGCTGACTTAGTATAAATACTATAATAGTTAGATTTTATAATAGACCAAATACTAGGGCTATTCCCAGTCAGCTATTATTCCATGCAAAATACAACTGGGGTAGTGGATAGTATTTTACAATAACAAAAGCATTTATCGTGACTAGGGAATGAGGTATAGATTAAGAGAGCAGTGCTATTTTTGTGTCATATTTTATAAGAAAAAGTATTAGGCCCTATGGTTTAAGTTTGGTAAAGTTAGTATTTGTTCATAGCTGTTACATAAATGATCAGTAGTCTACTCTAAATCTAAAGTAATATACCAGGGCTTAGGCCTAATGGTAATTTTAAATTAATTAGGCCTATGTAGGCCTACAAGTTTAGACTTTAGTAGTTCACAGTGCTATTCAACCGTCAATTTCCATTTTAAAATTCACATAGAATAATTAAATATGTGAAATAGCTTGACCATTTGAAAACGGTTATTATTCTTATTGTTTCCAGTTTCCATTGCTATTTTCTTAAGTTTTTTTTATCTTTCTTAGCAAAAATCTTGGGGACTAGTCTTTTTTTTCATGTGCTGCAAATATCATTAGTATGCCTGCTATCATAAACAAGAACAAATTAAGGAAAGTAATCCTTTCAGAAATTACGACAAAAACATATGAAATTGAAATGCCTCTGATGGGTGTGAACCCACAATGTCCACGCATTATTCCACTTACACTTGACCACACAGCTCTTGACGTAAATGACTAGGCCTAGTCTTGTTTAATTGAAACTGGAACAGAGAAGTGTCAGATTTTAAACTTATGACATTGGCCAGGCTTCAGTTTTATATCATCAACTATGCAAAATGTAATAAAAGTATCGTAGGTCTTTAAAATTAACCCAAAACCAAACCCAACTCTAGACATTGATTTAAGCCTAACCCAAACTCAAACCCTAGCTGAACCTTAAGCGATGACCGGGTAGTAATGTCCTACTGGGGAGGGAGGAGAGGGGGTAATGCCCTGTTCCCATACATTTACTAACCATGGCAGTATTGTTTTTTGTTTTTCAGATTCTCGACAAGAGACTAGAAGAAATGTCTCTAGATATTAAAAGTAAAGAGAATGAAAAAAGAAAGCAGTATGTGGAAAGTATTACTAGTCTGTAGGCTTTAAAGTTAACTTTTTAAAAAAAATATCAAGGTACTTGAAAAAAGTGCTTTGTTATAATTTTTAATTACAGAAAGGCAGTAGAGTAGTGTATTATTTGATTTTGAAGGGCGATCAGTAAATGAGTAATCTGTAATCTATTATTTTTTTGTAGTCTATTTTTAATTAACTATGATTAAACATGTAATAATGGTTAATTAAAAACTCAGCAAACAGAAGACATGAAGCTACCATTGTTATTTTCCCGTATTGATTTTGAATAGTAATGGTTATACTCGGAGAACTAGAAAGGACATTTGAATCAATATTTATGTCATAGACTATTTTCTCTGATACTGCATATAAATAAAATACTTAACTAATATTTGAAACTTGCCAATGTATTTTATATCTTGTTTGTAAATTTTTCCACATGTGCTATTCTTCAACAGAACACAACATTTAGTCTCTACCCCTAGCCCAATTTTAATAGAAGAAAGTGGAAAGACACAGTACCAGCCCCAGGTCCGTATTTTGCGCAGAGAACCAAAATCACCATCCAGTCCGCCAAAGAAACACACAAATAATATAGGGTTAGTTTTTCCTAATATCTTTTATTTTGTATAGTGTTTTTTTTTAGTTGACTTGTATTGTTTTTATAAAAAATAAGTGGCTATTACTGTTATATGTTTGTAAGAAGAATGATCACCTAATAATTGAATTTCCAGCCCCTCCTGTGTCACAGGCTCCTCCAAACATAATAAATCACTGCAGCAAAGAGAGGCTGAGTATGCTCAAGCTAGGATGAGAATATTTGGTTCACTTCCACCAGAAGATGATGATGATGATAATAATGAAAATATAGACAATTTTTCTAGAGGAGATGATGACACTTTAGATAAAAGCAGGTAGAAGAAAAATAAAGTTAACTTAAGAAGTCATGTTTGAGAACCAGTAAATAAAGGATATGGTTTTTAATATTGTGAATTTATTAACTGATGCCATTTTTAAAAAAAAAAACTATTTTTAATTTCAGCTCTCCTCAAATGATTAAACCTGACCCTTCATCTCCCAGGGTATCCATTGTTCGACAGCCTAGAGGTCCTGATGGTACAATTGGTTTTAAAAAGGCTGATCCAACCTAGCATTAGTTAAAAAAAAAAATTTTCCTTTTTTAGTTTGATGTGATGTGGCAACTTCCATATTCTGGTACTTTGTGCTAATCTTTACTTGGCTTGCCTTTTGTAAGATTTATTAGTCTATAGTTTTATATCATGAATTTTCATAATAAAAAAATTCTAATTTTGAATTTTAAAAAAAATGGTTTCAAAATTTTTTTAAAGCCAGTTTGAGAATTTGTCTCACCACATCAAAATGTATGTAAAAAATTTATGACTGTTTTAGAAAAAAATACTTGATAATATATTTTAAAGAATTGTATACATGTATAAATTCCCAGAAAATATCTTTGTAAGTTGACCAGTTGACCATAAGAACTACTGGCATCAACATTATTGATTAGGATAAGCTGGCTAAAAACCCCTAAATGGATTAGCACTGTAAGTTGTGACAATACAAAGGTTGACGTGAATTATCTGTGTAGTATTATTTTATAATTGCATCAATTATAAATTTTACCCCTGGAGAATGTATAAAATTTATATTTATTATTCTTTTAAAACTGGAAATATTTTATTCAAAAGACTATTATTTTTAAACATGTTTTCAAACTTCCAAAAATCTTTAACTTGTCTTGGCTTATTCAATTATTTATTTAAAGTAACAAACTTTTGAACAGATTGAAAGCATATATGATATAAATAGATATTAAGAACACATTGTGTGTTTAAAAAAAATATACGTGACTGTGTTAGTCATGTCAGACATCAGCAATTATTGGCGTATGAAGATAATTAGTCATGATAATGCCATAATCAATAATTGTTTGCTGTGTGAAACATGTTTGTTGTACCATCTGTAGGTAGCAACTTGTTATGTCATGACTGGTCATACATTTCTATAGCTGCCAGCTGTTTGTCTAAACTATTTTAACAAGAATGTATGATCAGACTCTAGGTATATGTTCAAAATCTTTTAACAAACACTGTTTTTTAATTGATTTAATCGAGACTTAAGCTGTCAGAAAGATTTGTTTCTTGTTTAAGTGATTCAATTTGTTTTAGTTCTTACAAGCCGTTTTTAAAATCTTACAATTTCCGGTGCTTCAATTATAAAATGAAAATAATTTATTTAGCGTTTATTTTGTCTTGAGTGTAAATAAACGAATGAAAAAAGATAAAAATTATGCTGTAACTTATGCGAAGGGAAGGCTGGATAAAGTGATGGTTGTTTAAATTAAATGATATTTATTGCTCTTAGTCTTATCCTTGTGTGGTTATTTTGTTTTAAAATATGCTCTGTTGTAAATTCAACCACAAATGCTCCTACAAGGACACAATACTGAAATAATGATCTATGTCTTTAAGCTGAATGTTTTGTACATAATAAAAATAAACCCACCAGTGGTTACCTGAACCTACTTAAATTTGGTTGAAACCAGTTGAGTCCAACTCTGATTTGAACCACTTTGTTTTTGTGCTCCCATCTGTTAGCCCTACCCACATCCCTGGTTTAACATGATCATTTTGTACGAAATATTTTGTTTGCTGTATAGATCATACATCACAAGTTGGTCTTTAATGTGTGGTTTCTGTTTGTATTTTTTTGTAAATTATTTAATGATTCTTTTCATTGTAAACTATTTTTTAATTCATTCATTTCCTTAAAATATTGTTAATTAATATTTTAAATTTTCTAATTTTAATTCAATCAGAAGTGTAAACTAAAATATAAAATAAACACCAGTGGTTGCAAGCATCTTCTTTTTAAAAAACTAGTTCTATTGTGAGACTGCAACAAAAATAAGAATATTTTTAAAATGTGATTTTAAAGCTAAAATAAAAAATTAGATATTTCAACACCCAAGAGCTGTAATTTTAAAGCTAGAATAAAAACATGAAATGACGTGAGAAAAATGAAATATTTCAACAACCCAGGGGATGATTATTGTGACAAGGTGTGGGCTGGTCCTACTCTGATGTAGGAGAGATTCTAACTTGTGTGTTAAAAGTCTTTTTGATTTAGGTGTTTTAATTTTGTTAAAATTGGTTATGGGGGGATGGGTGGGAAGGAATGACTTGTTTAAATAAATAAAGGATGTGGTGGAACAGTTAAAACATGAGTAATATTTAGCAGAAATTCTGAGTTATTTTGGTAATGATCTTTCTCATTTCCTAATGGTTTTGGGCTTCAAGGTTACAAGGAAAAAATTATAAACTATAATGCATTGTCTTTTATTCTTGTAAACATGAAGGTTATTACCAACATTAGTTATCTGTTCAACAGTACTAAACAACAAAACTAACATAGTCATCTGTTCAACAATGCTACAACAAAAAAATCTCCCTGCCTGTTACTAAAACATCCAGATGTCCTTCTATATGTTGCCATTACTGATACATGCAATAACTCATTGTCTTACATTATATTCACGATTATGATAAATTAATTTAACATTCATTCATTTAAAAATGACAAATGTATTATATTAATTGTAAAAATAAAAGGTAGTTATTACTTGTATATAAATAGGTCTATAAAAAACTGTTGATCTTGAGTGGATGGAAGAGTAACTAATGCCTTTAGGGTCAACCTAAAACCCTTCGTAACTTTTTTATTAACCATAAAATTTGTGGGGTTAGTTAAGACCTACCCCATCATAACATGAAGTATTTTAACTATAAAATTTGTGGGATCTATTAAGATCTACCCCAAAATAATATGAACTATTTTATTAAGTATAACATTTATGGGGCTTGTTAAGACCTACCCCATCATAACATGAACTATTTTATTAACTATAACATTTGCCTGTGGTGTTTGTTTAGACCTAAGTGTGAACTAATGCAGTTTTGTGAAATAATTTTTGTGGCCATCTTAAGGACTTTTCACAAAAAGTGCATTGGAATTGTTTTATACATATTATAAATATAAAATTTTTGCCTTGCTCTTTCAAATATTTGTGCGTACTTGTCAAAGGTTAACTGAATCTTTTTGTTGATTTCTTTTGTTGGTTTGTTTGATTAGCATTTTTTAATTTATAGTAAGTTATCTGCTGCTATTTTAAGTCTTATAAGTAGTTCCCACCCTTTTCCCAAAATTAACTGTTAATGGATTGATTTTAATTTGTGTTGTCTCTTTAATTAGAACAAAAATATTGGCCAAAGTTTTAAATATTTCTAACAGTATTTTGAATCAATGTTTTGATTTTAAGCAGTGAGGCTGAATTTGTGTACATGTAGATTAAACTCAAGTTTTTGAATGCGTTTCCATTTTTTTTGTTTTCTGTTAATTGGATAATTTGGTAATCAGTATCTTCATTCAACAGGAAATTTTTTACATTTGATTCCATCAACACAAGTGAAAACAAGAAATTATTAGCACACTTTATTATTATAAAGAAAGAAAGAAAATAATACAGAGCTCATGCAATACATTGTTTCCAGTTTTCAATGATCTTTCAGTTCACAGCCATTTAGTCTTGTGTCCTGTACATTTGTAAGCTGGAGGTAAAACATGCATCATGCAGCAATGAAAAAATATAAATATGGTAACATGTTATGTTGGAAAGTACAGCTGTTTTTTTTTTTCTATTAGTGATAATTTTCCTAAACCAATGAGGACTAAATGGCACAAAAAAAGTGAAGTTTTTAAAGAGAAAATTTTAGTAATTATTGGGCTTGATTAGCATATTGTACCAGCAGTCAGAAAAATCTAATATTCTACATCTCTATTTCCAAACCATGATACATGAAAAAATTGTGTAAATAAACAGTAGTATTGCTATAAGTGAAGACTACGAATCAGATCAATCAGATTTTAAACAATTATCTGAAGATGCTGTTTGATTCAAATCAACTTAGAAAAAAATTGAATGGCTTAAGTTACTGCCAAATGTACTATCACAGTTAACTTTTAATATTCATTGTAAAACAATTTAACAACTTCGGTAAACAATTTTCAAAAAAAGAATAGTGCATACACAAATATGCAGAGGACTATTTCTAGCAAAACTAATATACTTGTACACAAATGAGTGCTATATTAATACAGAAAAAATGAGTCTAAAATACTGAGTTTATGTTGGCAAATAAGTATGTAGAAGTGGCATCAACAAAATTTCTCTAAACTGAACATTGTCAGAAGAGTGCAAAAAATATCACATTCAAAAGGTTAATGCTGATAAAATAAAAATTATAAGTAAATTACAATAATGTAACATAAAAGAATTATAAGGTGGTTATATACTTGACAACAAAAAAGCTAAGTAACTTGCAACATGCATTCATGCATTGTAGGTGGTTTGTGCTTACACAGACAGTGTTACAGGTGAAAACAGCTGAGCTGTTGGAAATACAAAATTTTATGTGTGACTGGCACAAAAAATTACAAAATTTCATTATTATTTTTTTTACATTTTAACTAGAAATAAAATAATGGTGGAGATTTTACCAATCCTCCACATGTTAAAAAAAATATATATGCATACACAGACAAAACTGCAGATCTTAAAGTTAATGTCTTTATCAGAAAAATTTGAATTAAAAATTTTGAAAAAAAAAACGTTAACAATACTGAATGTCAAATTTGCTGTAAAAAAGAAGTCAACAAAAAAAATCCTTTAATGACTTGGACGGAGTATAATCGGAATAACATTGACTATTTCAGTATCAAGCAAAGTAGATTCTAAAAATCAACCGATTACAGATCATTTAGTCTAGCATGAAATCTAGTAGTATCTGCTTGCATACACTAGATTATTCATTGTAGTGCCACTCATGGTGGGGTTAAACTATTCATGTTCTCTGAACAATCAACCATGTAATTATTTTTTTGATTCTATCTCATTAAAATGATGACTTAAGGAAATGATACTATTACAAGTCAGATGTAGACATATGGTTGCTTACATATCACAGACTGGTGTAGGAATACATTTGATTTTACTGAGCATGATCATGCGTAGTAAGGCAGTGGCTGAGGCACTACTTTCTAGGACAAATCTCTCTCAAGTGTTTACCCCATTCAAATTCTATTTTATGAACTATCATTATGACTGTTTCCAATCAAGCTCAATCTATAATAGTCTGACTAAAACTAAAACACATTTTTAGGAAAAAAAGTTGAGACAGTAAATAAAACAAAATTTTTTTACATCAACTTGATTTGGAGATTTTTTTAAAAAACCTAAATAGAGAATAAAGTGTTATGAATCTGTTTAGGTCAGCATATAATGAACTAAGATCTATATCATCCACCTTAACTTCATCTTGTGGAACCAGGTAACATTTTTGGAATGATAATTTTAACTGAGCAACTTTGAAACAAGGCTGGAAAATCAGCATAAAAATTCTAGTAAAAAAACTTTAAAGCCATAACCCAGCATCATAGTTTTCATTGAGAAATTTTTTTCGCTAAAACAAACTAAAGCTATCAATGGAAAAATAAACAAACTACAAATTGTGGTTGGGGTTTAGCTAGTGTTAGGGTAGAGGTTAGACTCTGCTTCTAATGTCAACTAATGATCAGGGCACTGGGAATGTTATCAAAGCTACTGTTTCAGCTTGCGTCTGAGGATGGGACTGAGGGGGACAGAGTGGTACTGGGGAGTGGAGGTGAAGCCCACCCTGCCAGGGGACATTGTCCTAGCGGGGGACCTGCGGCGAGGGGTGAAGCTGCGGCTGTAGCTCAGGCTCTCGTCCAGCCTGCGAGTCTCCTGCTCCAGGAGGATGGGGTCAAGGTTGGGGTCGTGGATGATGTTGGACAAGGAGGTGTCGAGGACTGAGCGCAGGTCCTTCATCTCCTCCCCAGCCCGGGTGGACTTGGTGATGTACTGCTGGCGTTTACGAAGCTCCTGGGCTATCTGGTCCTTAAGGAAAGCATTCTGGGAAAGATAGAAGACATTGTTAAAATAAAGTCAAGTGTGGTCACATATTTTTTTTTATATAAAAATTGTAAAAAAAAAATAATGAAAAGTTATTCGACGTCAGCAAATACCTGTTCTTCAAGCCCTTTGACCTTTTGTCTGTGGGCCTTCTCCCGAGCTTCTAGAAGTCTCTCAGCCTGCTGCTGGGCACTGCGGAGCCTCTCAGTTTCCATCTCAGTTTCAGCTCGGTGGCGCGTGGTCAGGTCAATCAGTCTAGAGTTTAAGTGAAAATAATTTTATAGACCTACAGGCATATTAAAAACATTTTACCAGCAGGTTAAATATACAATTATCATTATTTAATAATTTCTTGCTTTTGGATATGGTTGTTCATCTTAATTATTAAGGCCTTCATTTACTTGGAATATTTGTAGCTTTTTTTTTATTCCAGGAATGTAAATTATTTAAATTAAACAACCATAATGTAGCCCTAGTTTAAACAAGTATTGGAAAGGTCATTTGGTAGGGATCTGTAACATTGGTTACTTGTAAAGTAAATTAATGATGGTCATTTGGTAAAGGTTCAATTTGATACAAAATAAGACATTTTTAAAATTGCAAATACACTAAACAGTTTAAGAACTTGACTAGAATTCTTTATAATATAATGTAAGTTAAATATTTAAAAAAAAAAGGTTTGGCAAGAAAACCTACCACTAGTGATGTACAACAAATCTATTATCTCATCAATGTCAACTATTAAAACATGACATCAGTTTAAAATCTTTGAGTGAACATACATAAAACTATAAAGACCATGCCAAGTGAATTCAAGCATGAAAGGTCTGTATAAATTCTGACAGACCACATTAAACTACAACCACCAAAAACCAAAAAATATAAGCTCAGAAAGATTAATTTAACACACCACCAACAGGTATTTTAACAAACTACCACCAATACATACACAGTACACCCAAAAAATACAATAAAAGTGTATAAACCTATGATCATATAATATTAACCAACTACCACCAATACATACACAAAGTGTATAAACCTAGGATCATATAATATTAACCAACTACCACCAATACATACACAAAGCGTATAAACCTAGGATCATATAATATTAACCAACTACCACCAATACATGTTTGATGTATAGCAAGAAGAGACCATCACATTTTCATGCAGTGATAAACAAGAACCATAATCCAGTGAATACAGAAGTGATGGGTGATGGTACCTGCGTAGGTGATCCATGTTTAAGTCAGACAGGCTGAAGGAGCATGGGACATAAATAAAACTAGTTGACAAGAAATCATTTCAGCCCACAGGACTCTGGGTCTAATTGTGATCATTACACAATTTTTATAACCAACTAGTATACTGTAACACTATCAAACCATCTAGCAGGTGTTGGTACATTATCCAGTTGAAAAGAAAACGTTAACCTAAGATCTCAAGTGTTCTTGATATTTGGAGTCTTGTAATCTTGTGTCTTATTAAATTAACTTAGAAATTAAGTTACTAAAAAAAAACAGTAAACAGATTTACAGAATTGTGAACTTATTCCAACCCTTGTTTCACTGTAAAAAGATCTACTTCAGTCCATAACTTATCATATGTAAAATCTATCAAGAGGAACAAGCTTAAGAGTCCCCAGGAACTGACCTCTGGGCGTGGGCTTGCTCAGCCTCAGCCAGCTGTGCCTGCAACTCCTGGATCTGGCGCTGTAAGGTGATGTTGTCCTCTTCCAGCCTGGTCAAGGTGCGGTCAACATTGTCCTTGTTGTAGATGGACTTATGGGCCAGTTCTTCTGTCTGAAGTTTTTCTCTCTCAACCTGGTGCACACAGTTCATTTTATTAATGTTAAGGACACACATAACAGGTGAGTACATTTAATGTCAGAAATACATGACAGAACTCAAATGTCTGGAGATGTAGGTTTGATTAGTTTGAGAACTGAATTAAAATAATTCATGAAGGTACGTTTTAATTCATGCTTCACTAGAAAAATATTTAAAAAGCTGCCCCATTTCTGAATAATCTAGGTGGAGAAGAAAAATGTATTTATGAAAAGATTTAGAAAAATTTTTTCTTTTTAAAATCAAGCAAACAGTAAAGGTCAGGTACCTTATCCAAGGTCTTGATCAGGGCTGTCTTGTCCTTCTCCAGTCTCATGGTCGACCTCTCAATCTCTCTCTTCTCTGTCTCAATGCTGTTGAGTGTTCTAGAAAGGGACGCCACCCTTTCTTGTAAAGCTTGCTTGTCTGCACAGATTTTCTGCAGTCTCTGGTTCACCTCTTGTTCAGATTCTTTCCTTTGCTCTAGCAGCTGTGGATGGAGAAAGACACATAATGTCAGTGTATGTTGGAGAAAGACACATAATGTCAGTGTATGTTGCAGATAGACAGTCAGTGTATGTTGGAGATAGACACATGATGTCAGTGTATATTGTAGCACCTCTTAGGGTTATTTATTTAAACATTTTATTCTCAGTAGTGATGAGTTGTGTTATGGTATTTGGTTGAATTAATTGTATTGTATGGTGTATATATGGTGTTATATAGTTAGTAACATTATAAATTCTATATAATAATGATAACTATTTTGATGTTTTGAATCTACTGCTAATGTTGTATATTGATCTTCTAATTTTGCTATCTATAATGTCAAGGTGCTATCTATATTGTCAAGGTGCTGTCTATATTGTCAAGGTGCTATCTATATTGTCAAGGTGCTGTCTATATTGTCAAGGTGCTATCTATATTGTCAAGGTGTTATCTAAATTGTCAAGGTGCTGTCTATATTGTCAAGGTGCTGTCTATATTGTCAAGGTGCTATCTATATTGTCAAGGTGCTATCTATATTGTCAAGGTGCTATCTATATTGTCAAGGTGCTATCTATATTGTCAAGGTGCTATCTATATTGTCAAGGTGCTATCTGTATTGTCAAGGTGCTATCTATATTGTCAAGGTGCTATCTATAATGTCAAGGTGCTATCTATATTGTCAAGGTGCTATCTATATTGTCAAGGTGCTATCTATAATGTCAAGGTGCTATCTATAATGTCAAGGTGCTATCTATAATGTCAAGGTGCTATCTATATTATCAAGGTGCTATCTGTATTATTAAGGTGCTATCTATATTGTCAAGGTGCTATCTATATTGTAAAGGTGCTATCAATATTGTCAAGGTGCTATCTATATTGTCAAGGTGCTATCTATACTGTCAAGGTGCTATCTATATTGTCAAGGTGCTATCTACATTGTCAAGGTGCTATCTATATTGTCAAGGTGCTGTCTATATTGTCAAGGTGCTATCTATATTGTCAAGGTGTTATCTAAATTGTCAAGGTGCTGTCTATATTGTCAAGGTGCTGTCTATATTGTCAAGGTGCTATCTATATTGTCAAGGTGCTATCTATATTGTCAAGGTGCTATCTATATTGTCAAGGTGCTATCTATATTGTCAAGGTGCTATCTATATTGTCAAGGTGCTATCTGTATTGTCAAGGTGCTATCTATATTGTCAAGGTGCTATCTATAATGTCAAGGTGCTATCTATATTGTCAAGGTGCTATCTATATTGTCAAGGTGCTATCTATAATGTCAAGGTGCTATCTATAATGTCAAGGTGCTATCTATAATGTCAAGGTGCTATCTATATTATCAAGGTGCTATCTGTATTATTAAGGTGCTATCTATATTGTCAAGGTGCTATCTATATTGTAAAGGTGCTATCAATATTGTCAAGGTGCTATCTATATTGTCAAGGTGCTATCTATACTGTCAAGGTGCTATCTATATTGTCAAGGTGCTATCTACATTGTCAAGGTGCTATCTATATTGTCAAGGTGCTATCTATATTGTCAAGGTGCTATCTATATTGTCAAGGTGCTATCTATAATGTCAAGGTGCTATCTATTTTGTCAAGGTGCTATCTATATTGTAAAGGTGCTATCTATATTGTCAAGGTGCTATCTATAATGTCAAGGTGCTATCTATTTTGTCAAGGTGCTATCTATATTGTAAAGGTGCTATCTATATTGTCAAGGTGCTATCTATATTGTCAAGGTGCTATCTGTAATGTCAAGGTGCTATCTATATTATCAAGGTGCTATCTATTTTGTCAAGGTGCTATCTATAATGTCAAGGTGCTATCAATATTGTCAAGGTGCCCCAGCTTACATTGTTTGACTGTCTGATCTGCCCCTCCAGCTCTGAGCACCTGACTTCCGTGGCTGCCATGTCACCTTGGATAGCCTGTAGCCTGTCCATCAGGATGTGGTTCTGTTTCTTTGCATCATTAAGGGCTTGTCTGATGGTAGGAGAACACAATAGTTTTAAGACAAGGGAAATAAAGGGCAGCAACTCTATTATCTCCAGGGGAGTGAACTGCAAATAAGTTTCTGGTAACTACACATTTTTACTGTGATTATCTACTGAAGATTTTTTTATAGAATAGTAAATAAACACTTGATCTAATATTTGCTACTGGTTGGTTATCAAGACCAGTATATTCAAATTGTCAGTTTTGCAAATAACTATGATTAATCCTCACGGCATTAACCTAACTGCAGCTACCATTTGTATTAATCCCTTAAGCCCTGTACTGAAGTAAGATTAATCGGAGATATTGGCATTACAAATTAAATGAATAATGGACAGGAACACAACTTGCAAAGCTGGTGTTTATAAATCTAAGTAATTCTCATGCATGGTAATTATTTAACAAGTAGTTATAGAGTAAACTCTCCAAGATTGTAGTTGTGTGTTAAATTGTGTTGCCCTACCTGGTAGCCTCAAGTCTCTCCTGAAGGAGTCCCCTGTCATGTTCACTAGCAGCCAGGTTCCTGCTCAGTTTGTTGACCGTCTCCTCAAGATCGTTGATCAAAGCATTGCTGTCAGACAAGGACAAGTTCAAGGCCTGCACCTGAGGACATACAAGTTCTGGGTTAGTGGGGGACATTTGGTGACATGTTCTGGGTCAGTGGGGGGACATTTGGTGACATGTTCTGGGTTAGTGGGGGACATTTGGTGACATGTTCTGGGTTAGTGGGGGACATTTGGTGACATGTTCTGGTCAGTGGGGGACATTTGGTGACATGTTCTGGGTTAGTGGGGGACATTTGGTGACATGTTCTGGTCAGTGGGGGACATTTGCTGACATGTTCTGGGTCAGTGGGGGGACATTTGGTGACATGTTCTGGTCAGTGGGGGACATTTGCTGACATGTTCTGGGTCAGTGGGGGGACATTTGGTGACATGTTCTGGGTCAGTGGGGGGACATTTGGTGACATGTTCTGGGTCAGTGGGGGGACATTTGGTGACATATTCTGGGTCAGTGGGGGGACATTTGGTGACATGTTCTGGGTCAGTGGGGGGACATTTGGTGACATGTTCTGGGTCAGTGAGGGGATATTTGGTGACATATTCTGGGTCAGTGGGGGGACATTTGCTGACATGTTCTGGTCAGTGGGGGGACATTTGGTGACATATTCTGGGTCAGTGGGGGGACATTTGCTGACATGTTCTGGTCAGTGGGGGGACATTTGGAGACATTTTCTGGGTCAGTGGGGGACATTGGGTGACATGTTTTAAATATCACATTAATTAAAGGATTAGCAAAAGTTGTTATAAGCTGTGAACTGACCTTGTCCTTGGACTTGTGACCTTCATCTTCTGTTTTGGCCAGGTTAGTGGTCAGACGGTCAATGGTCAGCTGTAAACTTTGGGCTTTAGCCTCCAGATCTTGGATTTGTTTCATCAGGTTCTCTGTGCGATCTTGTAGCACCTAGCATTTCATGGGATCATACAGTTAGGCTTTTCAAATTCATAAACAAAATATTCTATCAACTCTAAAGGTACTGCATTAGGCAATATAAGATGATTCGCTTTTAATTTGTCTATGAAGGCAGAAAAAACACTCAAATTAAGAAAAAAAAACTAACAGCATGTAATAAGGACAGAGGTTTTGAATGAATGTGACCAATAAAGTGACTAATTCATCCTCTATTATATAATTTACTTCCACAAGCACACAAGTATATTTAATTACAACAAATTACTAAAGAGCTTGTATGCATACATTATCACACATCCTATCCACTGATTCAAGAATTTGCATCAAGAAAATCTATGACTGTAGATATAATCAGTCCTACACCAGATGAAATTAAATAATCTCTGAATTCAATGGAACATGTGCACTACAGCAAAGTCAATTGCTGTAGCTCAATTATTAATGATCTATAAATAAATGATGTCCCCCCCCCAGTGGAGAAAGGATTCCCCATCTCCTGCTAATCAGGCAATCAATATTGACATGTACTGGCCCAAAGATTTTGATTGGCTGGGTTTCTAAGCACTGAGACACAGCAAATCTGATTGGCTACCTGATTCTCTGTCTCCTTGTCATTCATGGCCATCCTCATCCTCTGCAGTTCCCCTTCCAGCGCGCGGCGGTTGAGTTCTATTTTGGTGCACCTGTTCTCAGACTCGTCCAGGCTGATTCTCAGCTGTTTCTTGTCCTCATCCAGCTTGCACTCGTTCTGCTTCATCTTCGCGATCTTCTCCTGTACAGTCAACAGCAGTGGTTAGAGGAACAATTTAGTTCTAGGTGGTTAGAGGAACAATTTAGTTCTAGGTGGTTAGAGGAACAATTTAGTTCTGAAGGTGGTTAGAGGAACAATTTAGTTCTAGGTGGTTAGAGGAACAATTTAGTTCTAAGTGGTTAGAGGAACAATTTAGAAGGTGGTTAGAGGAACCATTTAGTTCTAAAGGTGGTTAGAGGAACAATTTAGTTTTAGAGGTGGTTAGAGGAACAATTTAGTTCTAAGTGGTTAGAGGAACAATTTAGAAGGTGGTTAGAGGAACCATTTAGTTCTAAAGGTGGTTAGAGGAACAATTTAGTTCTAAAGGTGGTTAGAGGAACAATTTAGTTCTAGGTGGTTAGAGGAACAATTTAGTTCTATAGGTGGTTAGAGGAACAATTTAGTTCTGAAGGTGGTTAGAGGAACAATTTAGTTCTAGGTGGTTAGAGGAACAATTTAGTTCTAGGTGGTTAGAGGAACAATTTAGTTCTAGGTGGTTAGAGGAACAATTTAGTTCTATAGGTGGTTAGAGGAACAATTTAGTTCTAGGTGGTTAGAGGAACAATTTAGTTCTATAGGTGGTTAGAGGAACAATTTAGTTCTAGAGGGGGTTAGAGGAACAATTTAGTTCTAAAGGTGGTTAGAGGAACAATTTAGTTCTAGGTGGTTAGAGGAACAATTTAGTTCTGAAGGTGGTTAGAGAAACAATTTAGTTCTAGGTGGTTAGAGGAACAATTTAGTTCTAGGTGGTTAGAGGAACAATTTAGTTCTGAAGGTGGTTAGAGAAACAATTTAGTTCTAGGTGGTTAGAGGAACAATTTAGTTCTAGGTGGTTAGAGGAACAATTTAGTTCTGAAGGTGGTTAGAGAAACAATTTAGTTCTATAGGTGGTTAGAGGAACAATTTAGTTCTAAAGGTGGTTAGAGGAACATTTTAGTTTTGAAAGTGGTTAGAGGAACAATTTAGTTCTAAAGGTGGTTGAGGAACAATTTAGTTCTGAAGGTGGTTTAATAAAATTTGAACCTGAGTCATAATGAAAGTAATTAACTAAGAAATTATTGCATAATGAAAGTAATTAACTAAGAAATTATTGTGTAACAAAACAAAGACATCGCTATTCTCTGACTCACCTGTTGTTGGCGTTTCTCAGATTCTGCTGCGGTGATTGACCTTTCAAGGTTGTTGACCTTGTCGGTCAGGGCCTTGCGCTCACGGTCATTCCTGCGTATAGTTTCCTCCTGCAGCATGAGGGCGGTCTGGGCTGAGGCTAGCCTGCCATCAATGTCACGCTTGCCTGAAAGTCAAGGTCACACGTGTAGCTACCAGCTGTCACAAATTTATTCTCACAACTTACACACAGAAGTTAATAATAAAATAATTTATTAATTTTTAGCATTTTAAAAATATTATTTGATACTTTTCTGAAGATGTTTTAGTAACTGCAGTGTTATAAAACTTTAACAACAGAATTGGAGACTAAAAACTAAACAGAAATAGTTTACAGGCCCAGAAGAAAGTATTTTTACTGTAAATAAGCTTAAATTTTGAATTTTCAAATACTTATAAACATAGTCAATATGTGAACAATGAAGCCATACAAACAGAAGAAATAGTGTATTACAGTAAACATTATGAAATTTAGGTCTTATTACAACTAAGTAAATAGTCAACATGTAAACACACATCATAAACATGAACAAAAGCTCTGTACAGTCAAGTGGCTAAAATTTTATTTTAAACTAAGTCAAAAGTAAACAAACATGCTATGCCCAGCAGAAAATTTCCAAATAGTAAACATGCTTTACTCAGAAAAAAAAAGATGAGTATGGTAATTAAAAAAAATATTTTTTGTACCAACCATCTGAGTGTGGCACTGAGGAGGGTGGGTAAGGTAGTGACACGCCAGGTAATGTACACAACAGGTAAGACATGATTGGCACTCAGTGTCTCAATGGATGCTCTATGTACACAACAGGTAAGACATGATTGGCACTCAGTGTTTCAATGGATGCTCTATGTACACAACAGGTAAGACATGATTGGCACTGAGTGTTTCAATGGATGCTCTATCCACTTAGTTAGTGGAGAAATCAACATGTCTATCACACATTATCACAGCTCTTTGAAATATCAATTTTTGTCTATACATCAAATTTCTTTTTTTTACACTGTAGTCAATCACCAAAGAAATTTATAGCAAAATGTGAATCAAGTTATGGCCCTTAGCAGCCAAAATCCATTTAAAACATGCATCACAACGAATAGATGTCTAAATGATGTTTTGACCTGGTGTTTAGCTTAAAATAAAATTTTAAAAAGTGGGGCCTAAAAGCAATTAGATTCTCATCTCCATCAGTGTAGTTACAAGAAGAAACAGTTTTTATAAAGTAACAAAAATTCTATAGTTAAGAAAGATCTGAAATTTCTTTAACTACACCATTATCACAAAGATGAATACAATCAATATTCATGTTTTTAAATCATAGATTGATACAAAGAAGAAAAATACATAGTTTTTCAGTGACACACTAGCCTAAACAATCAGAAATGTATCCAAGTTAATCCAACTTTTTAAAGAACCAAACTAAAAATAGAGTGAACCAAACTTCAAATAAAAGTGAGCCAAACACAAGTGCTAAATCTGGTCACACACTACACACAGAATGACCCAAGTTAGGTACACAAACAACATTCAAGCCATGCAGGTCAAAGTTCATCAAGATAAGACCACTCTTCACAACTTTTGACAAACAGAACCAAACAGATTGACTGAACAAGTCCAAAGAGTGTATGAAACACTGTGCTGTTTGGCTAGCCAGTACAAGGATATAAAGAACATAGAAACAGGTATGGACAAGACTTGGCTATCACATATCAGGAAATCTTATCTGTTCCAATGTCTGGGGTTACCAGCTCTACACAAGTCTACAGGCTTATGAATAGGGGAGATAATCAATAAAAAATCTATTCAATCCTTTGACACACTTGTGCCATAGATTAATAAAAAGGAAGAAATAAATCAATTCAAGGGAAGTAAGCAATATTAATTTTTTCTTTGGAGTAAATTATCTTGTTCATTCTAAACATACAGTATTATTAAAATGCTGAGTATTTAATCTGCTAGAAACTCATCATTATAATAATTTGTAAGGAAATATAAAAATATTGAATCTATGTTATACTGCAGGAGTTCATTTTTTAAGATCAATAAAATCTGAGACAATCACCAACTCCTGAAGCAAGAAAACAAAACAGACAGAATATTATTTGCCATAAAGTCATAAAGACACCAAATACAGCGGATAATATTCTGTTTTTAGGAATATAAAAAATGGCAGTAAATAATTAACAACTTGCAAACTAAGTAGGTCTATAAAAAAACCTTTTAGGGAACTAATTCTAAAACTTGGGTTAACAATAACTAGCCAGCAACGTTGTGGATTGGGTCAAGGGTTCAAGCTGACCCAATGGTGATACACCTAGTGTAGGCGAGATATGTATCATTTAGCTAGCATATACAAAGCTAAAGATCATGCATGATCAAGAAACAATGAAGTTAGAAAACATGTCATAAAATAAAATGTCTACTGAAGATACGTATGAAATTCCATTATCAAGCAGAGTGAAAATATCGGATGTCCATGTTATTTGCTTGTTTTTAGATAAATTACATCAAACAGCATCAGATAGAAGAAAAGTAATTTAACACAAGAAACAATGAAACACTTATTAACAATCATGCTAATGAACTCATTAAGTAAAGTAAAGCAATGTCTTGTGGGAAGAGTTGGCACAACCAACATAACCCATATTAGTAATCTCAAGTCAGATTTGATGTGATACACTGGAGGCAGCATTAGTGATATACAAGTAATTGTGGGGGAGGAAGAGATTGAGACAAGAATAGATGGGATATAAAATAGACCCTACAGAGAAAACAATTGTGAGACAGGAAATTGTGAGACAGTAATTAATTAGTGAGACAATAATTAACTGGTAAGGCATGAAATAGTGAGACAGGAAATTGTGATTTAGAAGTAGTGATACATATTAAACTACGAGAGTGAAGAAAGGCTGAGTGACAATAAAGAGGGGAGATAAGTGGTAGATAGAGTGACCTGCTACTGTTGCTACACCGGGAGAGAGGAAGCAGAGAACTATATACAGTAAGAGAGTGACAAACATAATCTCACTTCATTCATCATCACAAAAACCTACCACATCTGGTTCCATAAGCAAATAGGAGAGGAGAGCAAATTTGTGTAAAACAATGTCAAAGGCAATTTAGCAAGTTTTATGATAGCTAAAAAACCCACATAAAATATATTGCACCAAGGGAAGGAACTTAGTCATGGAGCCTCAGTTACTACAGAACAGTTAGCAAAAATAAAATTTAAATTTAAAATCAGACTTTTTATCATCAAAATTTAAATGTTTAGAATTTGACTGTATATCTATATTTATGCCAGTCTTTTACATTTTACTTATTAGGGGCATCTTAACAAAACAATATTTCAAGATTTGGTCAATAAATGCTTCAAATGTCTACAATTGACCAGGGCATTTTGTTAAAGTAAAAGCCAAGCATTTGATATTTAAGTCTGCACCTCAGTCTCCACAACCAAGGCCCACCTGACAGGTGCTCTAGCACAGGTAGGCCTTACATGACATGGATTATATACAGGGGGGTTCCAACTGCGTTTCACAAAGAAAGAGTATAATAACAAACATGGGGAAAATATATTGGAAATTTCAGTCCTGAACCAACGCAGATGGTTGCGATGGACTAGGGAAATGTTTACAAAGGGTTAAACAATGGCGTACATGGTGTCTAGACAAACAGCAGATAAGTTAGTGGGGAAGGAAATGATGTCTAGGGTTAGAAAATTTTCTAAGTGATGCTCACAAGTCTATATTGGCTATAAAAACTAACATTTAGCCTGGCTGGTAATCACAATAATGATCTTGTGTGGTACCTCTACAGAAACTAATCCTTAACCTGACTAGACATCACAATAATGATCTTGTGTGGTATCTCTACACCAAAGCCTAGAGTAAAAAATCTAATTCCTGCGTGGGTTGGAACCAAGGACTGCCATGTTTTACAGAGGGGTAGAGAGAAAAGTTTGTTACCTTCCTCAGCCTCTCCCAGAGATTTCTGCAGCATTGTCAGTCTGTTGTCAACCCTCTCCCTCTCATCCTCAATGTCTTTTATCTGGGTGGTCAGGCTTCTCACTTGGGATATGGCGTCATCCTGGAGCAAACGTAGAACAATGGGATATATGGAGGACATAGGATCAATAGAAGAACAATGGGATGTATGGAGAATAGTAGATAAAACATAGAACAATGGGATAGATGGAGAACATTAGATCAATAGAAGAACAACAATAGAACAAATGCAGAACAAATAGATCAAATGTAGATCAATAGAACAAATGTGGGACAATAGAACATATAGAGAAAAGAATATATGGAGAACAATAGATCAACAATAGAACACAATGAGAACAATACAGCTAATGTAGAACATTTAATACAATTTAGAACAATCAAACAAAACAAAAGTAGAACAATACTTCAAAATAGACAAATATAACACATGCAGAACAATAGTGCTAAAGTAGAACATTAAATTTAAATGTAGAACAAAAGAACAATAAAACAAAAAACAAAACAAATGTAGAAGAAGAGACTGTAGATTGTTCTCAATATGCTGATAATGTAAAAACAATAGAGAGAAATAATTTATTTTAGATCTGGTAAATTAAGTTTTTCTTTACACTTCACTGAACAAAGAGTCAAGTAGAACATCCACCACCTGTGTATTCACCCTCTCCCACTTCACTGAACAAAGAGTCAAGTAGAACATCCACCATCTGTGTACTCACCCGCTCCCACTTCACTGAACAAAGAGTCAAGTAGAACATCCACCATCTGTGTACTCACCCGCTCCCACTTCACTGAACAAAGAGTCAAGTAGAACATCCACCATCTGTGTACTCACCCTCTCCCACTTCACTGAACAAAGAATCAAGTAGAACATCCACCATCTGTGTACTCACCCTCTCCCACTTCACTGAACAAAGAGTCAAGTAGAACATCCACCATCTGTGTACTCACCCTCTCCCACTTCACTGAACAAAGAATCAAGTAGAACATCCACCATCTGTGTACTCACCCTCTCCCAACATCCACCATTTGTGTACTCACCCTCTCCCAACATCCACCATCTGTGTACTCACCCTCTCCCAACATCCACCACCTGTGTACTCACCCTCTCCCACTTCACAGAACAAAGAGTCAAGTAGAACATCCACCACCTGTGTACTCACCCTCTCCCAACATCCACCACCTGTGTACTCACCCTCTCCCTCTCAGCACATGCCAGCTGGGCCATGAAGTCACGCAGGGCCATGCGCACGGCCTCTGGGTCGACATCGGAGCAGTCAATCCTGCCTGGGCTCATGCTGCGGCTCCTGTAGGGGCTGCCAGACCTCAGGGGGGAGCCGGTGCGTGGGATGGGGCTGCCTCGGCCCTCGGTGGTCGTGGCATAGGTGCTGTCAAATCCTGCAAGTTAGCCAGAAGTAAGTATACGTATCATTTTATTCTAGCAGAAAATATACGTATAATTGTCATCTTTTTCTAGCAGAAAATGTACGTATAGTTGTCATCTTATTCTAGCAGAAAATGTACGTATAGTTGTCATCTTATTCTAGCAGAAAATGTACGTATAGTTGTCATCTTATTCTAGGAGAAAATGTATGTATAGTTGTCATCTTATTCTAGCAGAAAATGTATGTATAGTTGTCATCTTATTCTAGCAGAAAATGTACGTATAGTTGTCATCTTATTCTAGAAGAAAATGTATGTATAGTTGTCATATTATTCTAGATGAAAATGTACGTATAGTTATCTTATTCTAGCAGAAAATTTAATTCTTTCTAAAATACTCAGTTGTGTTTTCCTACTATTGCAGATCATTTTACGATGACAATATTGCTGTTAAGTATTAAGAGAATTTTTTAAAATTATGGCAGTTTTATGAAGTAAAGATGGAATAGTTTAAATTGGTTCTGTAAGTCAGAAATTTTTTAACCTTTAGTTGGTGACGTGGGCCGAGACCTTCTGGGTGAAGGACTCCTGGATCTGGACAGGATGGGGCTCTTGGACCGTGGCATCTCCATGCGGAAGCCAATGGTGCGTCTCAGGCTGGACACAATGCTGTTCAGTTTGAACTCGATGTCTCGCTTGGCTCCCTCTAGACGGGCTAGGGCGGTTTCAAGAGCGCCAACCCTACCTTCAGCACCACTCAGTTTTAACTAACAAAGGAAAACAGAAATGTAATGGAAATATAGTCCAGTTTTATAACAAAGTTAAGTTTTGGATTCATTTTTTAAAATGTTATTATACTTTTATAAAAGTAATTAATACAAAAATTATAAAAAACAGTCCAAACCTATCTCTTACCAGATTAATATTTAAATAAATATTTTTCTCCAGATCGTCTTACCACATATTTAATTTTAAACAGAATTAATATCATTAATCTGTAAGAAGTTAAATTTTAAAGAGAGTGGCATCATTTAAACAGAATTAATATCATTAAACAGTAAGAAGTGTAATTTTAAAGAGAGTCACATCCTACCCGTAATTCTGCTGACTCCGCGTTGCTGTTCTCGAGTGCAATCTCCAGGTTGCGCCTGTTGTCATCCAGCTTCCTCTCAGACCTGCGACTGTCCTCCAGGGCCAGCTGGTAGTCCTTCTCCTTCATCCTGGCCTCGTCAATCAGCTCGGCCATCTTTCTTTGAAGGTTGGCCAGGTCCTTGCGGAGGGCTTCTCTGGAAGCTTCTGTCTCTACCACCTGGCAACAATGAATGGAGTTGAACATATTTTATTTAGATTCTCAATGTTCAAACTTCTATACAATTTTTGTTTATCCCCAGCATAAAAAATTTGACTAAGCTTAAAAATAAAAAAACAAAACAATTAAGAACAAATGTGAACCAACTTTTTGTTTCAAGTCAAACGAAGTCTTCCTTGACTCCTCTTCCTTCTCTTCATCTCTTGCCACCCTCACTTGGAGTTCAACGACCTCTTTGCCCAGCTTGCTGCGCTCACCGTCTAACATTTTCACCTGTGGATGTCCAAAATAAACAATTTAGCAGGTAAAGATCAGACACCTGTGTGTGTCCAAAACATTTTAGCAGGTAAAGATCATTTCACATAGCCAGTCCAGAGAAAATACTTAACCCAAATAGATGTGATGATAACTTATTAAAGATATGTATTTTAAAAGTTTGAAGTGTTATTTGAATATATTTTCAGGTGTAATAAATTGTTTTGAATGACTGACCTGTCTGCGCAACTCCTGCAGTTCTCGTCTTGCCTCGAGTCTGGCCTTTTCAACCTCACGCAGATTGTTGCGCAGTTCTGTTGCTTCTTTCTGGACTCCAGACTTCTGTTCATTCAGAACTGGAGAGCCGAAATAATAGTGTATTCATTTTAAGATTTTTATTCAAAAAACCAATATCTACACAACAAATTGGTTAAATTCTCTGATAAAATCTAAACACAACAAAGTAGTTTTCAACTTAGAGTCGCAATCTCCAATACTATAACTCCAACCTTGAAAGCATTATATCCCATCATAAAGGCTAAAGAAAAACAAATCCACAATGTCTGGAATATATCTGGAACAAATTCCTTGTTGGTATTTGCTGTAAGCTTCTGTGTGCCAGGCGGAGTGTTGGTGTGTGGACAACATTTTCTAACCACAACACTGTTCAATGGACTGCCTGGTCTGGCTGACTGAGCAATGTGTCTACATCCCCCACCCACCCACTCCACAATTAATTTACATAGTTAATATTGAGTTGTGCCCCTTGATTTTCTATTTTTCCCTCCACATAAAAACAAGTACCAACATGAAAAAAAAACGGATCACTCCCCCACGCTTCACTTTCCTTTCACCAAAACTGCCAGGCTTATGAAAGAGAAAAGTATCAGATCTAGCGCCAGAGAAAATATCAAGTGCCAATAAAGGGAGATCAGGGGAAATCACCAGACAAGAGAACAGTTTTCTTTTCAAACTCACTGACCCGTCCCAAGCACTTTAGATTGATTCACCAGTCTTTTGGCACAACTATTGTTAGAGCAGTGACAGGTTAAAAAAAAGTCATACAAATAGAAATTCAAAGCCCAGTTTTTTTATTACTGTAAAACTATCTAAAAGATAGTCCAGTCAATGTCAAAACAACTTTGAAATCAATCCCATGATCCACTACCACAAATAAGAAAACCTAAGAAGTCACGGTTTAAGAACCAACCCTCAAGTATCTCTGTCCCAGCACACAAGTTCTACAGGTACCACACTAGTATGTTTTAATGATCATTTAGCCTAGTGTCCTGTCCATTAGAAATGTCCTACAACACAAAAAATGTCCTCACCTTCAATTCTCTGCTTGGCCTGTCATCTATTACAACAATTTAGAAATGTCCTACAACACAAAAAATGTCCTCACCTCCAATTCTCTGCTTGGCCTCCTGTATCAGACGGCCCATCTCTGTTTTATCGGCCTCCAGTTTTTTAATTTTGTTTCTCAAGTCCTCAGCTGTTTTTGTCACCAGCTCCTTCTCTCTTATCTCCTCGTTAACAGCTCGTTTGGTCTCAATTATTTCACGCCTCATCTGCTCCCTAATCTCATCACCTGTTGCATTCATTTAATCACATCAAGTTGAATTTTTTAAGTAACACAAGCTTTCAACAAAACATCTATTTAATCACATCAAGTTGAATTTTTTTTGGCAAAGAAACTCATAAATAACACAAACTACAAACAAAACTTTATGTAGCAGACCAGTTGATTCTACACAGAAACTTAAACCTAATCTCCACCAACAAAATGCACCAAATTAGCTTCTTCTTCTTCTTCGTTCTTAATTATTAGTGTTGAAGGGGATCGAGATTTATCAACCAGTGGGTTTTGAACTCGAGACTTTGCTCGAATTTATCAACCATGAGCTTTTTGCCGACTCGACCATGCCTCTAACACAATTAAGCGTTACGTGTCAACTGGTTATGCACCATTGAGGCCATTGACTCCGATTTCAGCCTGCTTTTCTTTTTGGATTTGCTTCCATAGCCTTTGTCCAACCAAGAACAAACTACAAGGCAGCAGTTGTTTAATTTTTGGAGTTGTCTCTCCTAGAAGAGTGGCTGTCCCCAGCTAACGAGCCTCATCTGCACAAGGGTTCGAACTCGAGACTTTTCGGTTTAGCAACCATGAGCTTTACCGACTCGACCACGCCGACCCACCAAATTAGCAATTCCTTTAATAAAATAAATCTATGTAACTGTCCCCTCTAAGAATCCCTGTACCAGTCCCCTCAATAAAAAGATTTCATGTAACAATTAATCCTCCAATAAAATGAACTCCTGACCTTCTCTGATGGTTCTGTTGGAATCGATGAGGTCCCTCCTAACAGCATCTTTGGCTTCCTCTACTACTTTCAGTTGAGCTTTAAGCTCAGCCACCTCACGCAGCAGACCCTCTCTCTGTCTGATTAGCTCTTTGATCTGTGCTGTCAAGTCCTTGACTTCCTTCTCATGGGCTTCACTGGAACATTTCAAACACACAGATAAAGACGTACACTTATTGATCAACATGTGACTGGACTAACATTAAGAGTAAAGAAAGACAATTAATAAGGATGTTTTGGGGTTAGTTCATATTGGTGGTAGACGATATGGTTTATATAAAAGTAAAAGTAAGTTTCCCTTTCAAACCTGACGGTCTATGGGGCAAGTGAAGTAGAGTTCACCTGTTTCTGTGACCTTGGCATATGAAGAGATAGTGTGGTCAGCACTATGCCCTGCCGCCTTTACTTTCCCTAACGTGAGTTAGGTACCCATCAGAGTTGGGTGGACTCAGGGACGGTCTACTGACTTGAACCCGGATTCGAACTCGAGACTTACGGGTTTAGTAGTCTAACTCTCTACAGCTAGACCACTCCGTCCCATATGGTTTATATGCCAAATATAATTTTTTTTTCAAAAGACAGTACTTACGTCATTTCTTCCACCTGCGCCCTGATGTCTTGCTTCTCGGCCTGCAGGTTTGAGATCTTGCTCCTGTCCTGTTCTTGTTGGACCTGCGCCTCACGTCTGATGCGCTCGTACTCCACGTTCAGGTTGGTCAGGTCACTGGTGAGGAGGACAATTTTCTCCTGCAGCACAGACTTCTCTTGTTCCAGCAGCGCGATCACCTGACATGTGGTACAGTTGGTTGTAGTGGGGGAAATAGTCATGTTCATACAGTTGGTTGTAGTGGGGGAAATAGTCATGTTCATACAGTTGGTTGTAGTGGGGGAAATAGTCATGCTTATACAGTTGGCTCTAGTGGGGGAAATAGTCATGCTTATACAGTTGGCTCTAGTGGGGGAAATAGTCATGTTCATACAGTTGGTTGTAGTGGGGGAAATAGTCATGTTCATACAGTTGGTTGTAGTGGGGGAAATAGGCATGTTCATACAGTTGGTTGTAGTGGGGGAAATAGGCATGTTCATACAGTTTGTTGTAGTGGGGGAAATAGACATGTTCATACAGTTTGTTGTAGTGGGGGAAATAGGCATGTTCTTACAGTTTGTTGTAGTGGGGGAAATAGGCATGTTCTTACAGTTTGTTGTAGTGGGGGAAATAGGCATGCTCATAAAGTTGGTTGTAGTGGGGGAAATAGGCATGTTCATACAGTTGGTTGTAGGGGGGGGGGGGGGGGGGGAAATAGGCATGTTCATACAGTTGGTTGTAGTGGGGGAAATAGGCATGTTCATACAGTTTGTTGTAGTGGGGGGAAATAGTCATGTTCATACATTTGGTTGTAGTGGGGGAAATAGGCATGTTCATACAGTTGGTTGTAGTGGGGGAAATAGGCATGTTCATACAGTTTGTTGTAGTGGGGGAAATAGACATGTTCATACAGTTTGTTGTAGTGGGGGAAATAGGCATGTTCTTACAGTTTGTTGTAGTGGGGGAAATAGGCATGCTCATAAAGTTGGTTGTAGTGGGGGAAATAGGCATGTTCATACAGTTGGTTGTAGGGGGGGGGGGAAATAGGCATGTTCATACAGTTGGTTGTAGTGGGGGAAATAGGCATGTTCATACAGTTGGTTGTAGGGGGAGGGGGGGAATAGGCATGTTCATACAGTTGGTTGTAGTGGGGGAAATAGGCATGTTCATACAGTTGGTTGTAGTGGGGGAATAGGCATGCTCATAAAGTTGGTTGTAGTGGGGGAAATAGGCATGCTCATACAGTTGGTTGTAGGGGGGGGGGGGGAATAGGCATGTTCATACAGTTGGTTGTAGTGGGGGAAATAGGCATGTTCATACAGTTGGTTGTAGGGGGAGGGGGGGAATAGGCATGTTCATACAGTTGGTTGTAGTGGGGGAAATAGTCATGTTCATACAGTTGGTTGTAGGGGGAGGGGGGGAATAGGCATGTTCATACAGTTGGTTGTAGTGGGGGAAATAGGCATGTTCATACAGTTGGTTGTAGGGGGAGGGGGGGAATAGGCATGCTCATACAGTTGGTTGTAGTGGGGGGAAATATTCAGGCTCATTCTATACACATGAGTGTCAGTACAGATCAAACTACAGACTAATTGGCTATATTAGTTCAAGATTTTATTACCTGAAGCCAAATCAGTCAAAGCTATCTTACCTGGTGCTACATCAATCAAAGTTTTGATTAACTGTATTAGTCCATACAAGTTGACCCTCAGCGTAGCATATGCCGCTATCTAGTTGTTTTATTTTATTCTTATCAGCAATTCATAATTTGTGGTTTTGACACTACCCCCCCCTCCCCCAAAAGCAGCCATCTATGATGACAGTTTACTGATGACAATAAAAAGATCAAGCAGAAATTGTGACATCCCCTTCGTTTCAAATAGTTTAAGTACTAAATTATTTGCCCCTATTAGCCGTCATTAATTCAACCCAGCTCTACGATTGTAGTCGTGAACCAAAGCTCACCAGACTGGTGGGGAGGGATGGGTGGTAGAGATATGCCTGGAGAGCAAGGGAGGGGGAAGCAAGGCGTGCTTACGTGGTGGTGGTGTTGGTGTCCCGCATGGTCCCCATGTAGAGAATATTATATATATATATATATATATATATATATATATATATATATATATATATATATATATATATATATATATATATGGAGCTCACCTGTTGCTTATCATTCTCCGCCATAAGGAGGGCGTCGTCTCTGTCTCTCTGCAGCATGGCCAGCTCCTGGAGCAGCTCCTCCTTCTGTCTCTCAGAGGAAGTGTTCAGCTCCTCTTTCTCCATGTTGTGTTGGTGGACCAGACGCTCTCTCTCACTGTCAAACTCAGCTCTTTGGGTGTCCTGTTGGGATGGGAGGGTCAAGTCACAGTCTGGCTAAGTCATATCCTGGCTAATCAGTCATGTCCTGGCTAATCAAAGTCACAGTCTGGCTAATCAAAGTCACAGTCTGGCTAATCAAAGTCATATCCTGGCTAATCAAAGTCACAGTCTGGCTAATTAGTCACATCCTGGCTAATCAAAGTCATGTCCTGGCTAATCAAAGTCACATCTTGGCTAATCAAAGTCATGTCCTGGCTAATCAAACCAGTCCTTAGAGGACTCTACACAGAACAAAGTTTTGGAAATAAAGAGACCCTTCTAGAAAAGGTTATAAATGTGAGTTGGCCTACCCTCTCATGAGACAGCCTCTCCACATCCTCCTCATGCGCCTGCTTCTCCTGAGTGAGGGCCAGCTGTGAGTCCCTCTCTAGCTGTTGGAGGCGCTGGTTCAGGTTATTTTTAGAAAACTCAAAGCGTTCGTAGTCTGTAACCTTTTCCTTTTCCAGGCGCACAACTTCAGCTGAAATAGACATGAACTGATGTAGATACAAGAAACATATCACAGCTACATGAGCCAACTATACATACACAGCTACAGTGCTACAGCTGAATGATTACAGCAATAGTGCTGCAGCTATAGTACCACAGCCCTGGTACAACAGCAACAGATAAAGTACCACAGCTACAGTACTGGAACCATAGTACACCAGCCACAGAACCACAGTCACAGTACCACAGACAAAGTACCAAAGTACCAGAGCTACAGTACCACAGCTACAGTACTGGAACCATAGTACACCAGCCACAGTACCACAGTCACAGTACCACAGACACATTACCAAAACACCACAAACACAGTACCACAGACAAAGTACCACAGCCACAGTACCACAGCGACAACACCACAGCCACAGTACCACAGCCACAACACCACAGATACAGTACCACAGCCACAGTACCACAGTCCCACAGCCACACATGAGCCGACACATGAGCCGACACATGAGCCGACACATGAGCCGACACGTGAGCCGACACGTGAGCCGACACATGAGCCCACACATTACTCCACACATTACAAGAGCCCACACATGAGCCCACACATGAGCCCACACATGAGCCCACACATGAGCCCACACATGAGCCCACACATGAGCCCACACATGAGCCCACACATGAGCCCACACATGAGCCCACACATGAGCCCACACATGAGCCCACACATGAGCCCACACATGAGCCCACACATGAGCCCACACATCAGCCCACACATGAGCCCACACATGAGCCCACACATGAGCCCACACATGAGCCCACACAAGAGCCCACACATGAGCCCACACATGAGCCCACACATCAGCCCACACATCAGCCCACACATCAGCCCACACATCAGCCCACACATCAGCCCACACATGAGCCCACACATCAGCCCACACATGAGCCCACACATGAGCCCACACATTACTCCACACATGAGCCGACACATGAGCCCACACATGAGCCCACACATGAGCCCACACATGAGCCCACACATGAGCCCACACATGAGCCCACACATGAGCCCACACATGAGCCGACACATGAGCCCACACATCAGCCCACACATGAGCCCACACATGAGCCCACACATGAGCCCACACATGAGCCCACACAAGAGCCCACACATGAGCCCACACATGAGCCCACACATGAGCCCACACATGAGCCCACACATGAGCCCACACATGAGCCCACACATGAGCCCACACATGAGCCCACACATGAGCCCACACATTACTCTACACATCAGCCCACACATGAGCCCACACATCAGCCCACACATCAGCCCACACATGAGCCCACACATGAGCCCACACATGAGCCCACACATGAGCCCACACATTACTCCACACATGAGCCCACACATGAGCCCACACATGAGCCCACACAAGAGCCCACACATGAGCCCACACATGAGCCCACACATGAGCCCACACATGAGCCCACACATGAGCCCACACATGAGCCCACACATGAGCCCACACATGAGCCCACACATTACTCTACACATCAGCCCACACATGAGCCCACACATCAGCCCACACATCAGCCCACACATGAGCCCACACATGAGCCCACACAAGAGCCCACACATGAGCCCACACATGAGCCCACACATTACTCCACACATGAGCCCACACAAGAGCCCACACATGAGCCCACACATGAGCCCACACATTACTCCACACATGAGCCCACACATGAGCCCACACATGAGCCCACACATGAGCCCACACATGAGCCCACACATGAGCCCACACATTACTCCACACATGAGCCCACACATAAGCCCACACATGAGCCCACACATGAGCCCACACATGAGCCCACACATGAGCCCACACATGAGCCCACACAACAACTCACATTGCAGGTTCTCCTTCTTGACAATGAGCTCCTGGTTCTCCCCCTCCAGCTGTGCCTTCCTGACCTCCAGCTCTCTGATCTGCTGCTGGGCCTCAAACAGGGCGCTCTCCAGGCTGTCCTTGTCTGCCACGTAGGCGGAGATGAGCTCACTCTGCTGTCTGTTCTCTCTCTCACAGGCCGTCACCTGCACAACACACACAACATTCTCAAATCACCTACACAACACACATCTAAATAAAATTCTACACCCATTATTTTTTAAAACTCTATTCATTAGCTTCATCATTGTTCTATTCTTTAAAGAAGTATTGAATTACAAACGGTAGAATGAACCTGAACAATGAAATATGTTTAACAGCCATCTTGAAATTTTAAAAGATGGATTATATTTCTCTAAGTTTTGTCCATAGACACGAAACAATAAATAAGCAAGTGACTGGGTACCTGGACAATGAGCTCTGCCTTATCTTGTGTGAGAATCTCCTTGTCCTTGATGAGACGCTCCACCACGACCTGGACCTTCTCCAGCTCACGTCTTGTGTTCAGAAGTTCTTCAGCCAGCGCATGCTTTTGTCTCGACAGCTGCAATATTTTTTTTATTTTAGTTACATTTTTATTTACATCTTGAAAAAACTTTGTATCCTTTTTTTGTCTTGACAGCTGCAGGTTTTTAAAAATTATAGGTGCATTTTTATTTACAGCTCAAAAAACTTAATATATTTTTTGTCTTGACAAATGAGATTTTAAAATCAAAAGTACATTTTTATTTACATCTTTTTGGCTGCAAGATTTTTTTTAATGTAGGTATATTTTTATTTACAGCTTGGGTAAACCAAATTTTGATTGTTTCCATTAAATAGGTGTGACAATCCTTAGGTTAAAAAATTAGCCTATATGTGAAAGTGTGGCTGAATCTATAAGTAATTCAGGCCTAGCCTAGCCTGATGCTTATCAAAGCACAGACACAGCAAATACAATTAAACAAACTGTTTTTTCAGGGAATTGTAGAAACAAAAGAACAGCAGTGTTCTGTTGAATAATTAACTCAGCATATTTGAACTTATACAAAAGGAAAACAAAAGAACATTTCACCAGCGGAGCCCGATGATATTTCCCTGATGTTCAACCTGATTGAGACCAAGATACTAAGACCCAGAAAACAAAAGCTGCCCCCACAGAGCTCCCATCTGCCACACAATCAATCAATGACCCACAGGATTTTATTGATTTCTGTTACAGGCACAAGTCACTTTTTCTATTTTTGCTTGATACTTGATACATTTGGCAACTTTTTTTTTTCTTTTCACACTCATTAAGTTAATTAACAAACACACATTTTTAACATTTGAAAACAAACAGAATGTGCCATCTATGGATAGAGAAGATGAAATTGGAGATCAAAGGATATGCTGAAGTGTGGGTCTGTGACTTTCAGTGCGGTGGTCAAAGTGTTGGGTTGTTTGGGTTTGTGGGCCACCAAGAAGGTGGTCAGTGTAAGGTTGTTTGAGTTTGTGGGCCACCTAGAAGGTGGTCAGTGTAAGGTTGTTTGGGTTTGTGGGCCACCAAGAAGGTGGTCAGTGTAAGGTTGTTTGGGTTTGTGGGCCACCAAGAAGGTGGTCAGTGTAAGGTTGTTTGAGTTTGTGGGCCACCAAGAAGGTGGTCAGTGTAAGGTTGTTTGAGTTTGTGGGCCACCAAGAAGGTGGTCAGTGTAAGGTTGTTTGAGTTTGTGGGCCACCAAGAAGGTGGTCAGTGTAAGGTTGTTTGAGTTTGTGGGCCACCAAGAAGGTGGTCAGTGTAAGGTTGTTTGAGTTTGTGGGCCACCAAGAAGGTGGTCAGTGTAAGGTTGTTTGAGTTTGTGGGCCACCAAGAAGGTGGTCAGTGTAAGGTTGTTTGAGTTTGTGGGCCACCAAGAAGGTGGTCAGTGTAAGGTTGTTTGAGTTTGTGGGCCACCAAGAAGGTGGTCAGTGTAAGGTTGTTTGAGTTTGTGGGCCACCAAGAAGATGGTCAGTGTAAGGTTGTTTGAGTTTGTGGGCCACCAAGAAGGTGGTCAGTGTAAGGTTGTTTGAGTTTGTGGGCCACCAAGAAGGTGGTCAGTGTAAGGTTGTTTGAGTTTCTGGGCCACCAAGAAGGTGGTCAGTGTAAGGTTGTTTGAGTTTGTGGGCCACCATGAATACTGATAAGAAAACCACCCTCACAACTGACTGATTCAGTACAAGGTAAAATTTTAACGTCCCTACCATGTTGGGCTGAGTGTCAAGGTCACCTACCATGTTGGCTATATGTCAAGGTCACTTACCATGCTAAGCTGTGTGTTAAGGTCACATACCATGTTGAGCCACATGTCAAGGTCACCTACCATGTTGAGCTGTGTGTCAAGGTCACCTGCCATGTTGGCTATATGTCAAGGTCACTTACCATGCTAAGCTGTGTGTTAAGGTCACATACCATGTTGAGCCACATGTCAAGGTCACCTACCATGTTGAGCTGTGTGTCAAGGTCACCTGCCATGTTGAGCTGTGTGTCAAGGTCACCTACAATGTTAAGCTGTGTGTCAAGGTCACCTGCCATGTTAAGCTGTGTGTCAAGGTCATCTGTCATGTTAAGCTGTGTGTCAAGGTCACCTGCCATGTTAAGCTGTGTGTCAAGGTCACCTGCCATGTTAAGCTGTGTGTCAAGGTCACCTGCCAGGTTAAGCTGTGTGTCAAGGTCACCTACCATGTTAAGATGTGTGTCAAGGTCACCTGCCATGTTAAGCTGTGTGTCAAGGTTACCTACCATGTTAAGCTGAGTGTCAAGGTCACCTACCATGTTGAGATATGGGGTAAGGTCACCTACCATGTTGAGATATGGGGCAAGGTCACCTACCATGTTGAGATATGGGGCAAGGTCACCTACCATGTTGAGATATGGGGCAAGGTCACCTACCATGTTGAGCTGTGCGATGATCTCCTGCTTGTCTTTGGTCAGCTGCCTGATCTCCTCCTCCACCTGTTGTCTGCTCAGCTCTGACAACTCCAGTGTGTGGTTCAGACCTGGGGGGTTCAAGAATCACTAGGGTTCTAGCTGCTTTAGTCTAAGGCAACTTACACTTAGGCAGGTTATGGGAGTTTTTAGTCTGGCTAACTTTACCAAGTCAGACCAACTCCACCACATCAATACAACTCCACCACATCAGTACAACTCCACCACATCAGTACAACTCCACCACATCAGTACATCTCCACCACATCAGTACAACTCCGCCACATCAGTACAACTCCGCCACATCAGTACAACTCCACCACATCAGTACAACTCTACCACATCAGTACAACTCCACCACATCAGTACAACTCCACCACATCAATACATCTCCACCACATGAATACAACTCCACCACATGAATACATCTCCACCACATGAATACAACTCCACCACATCAGTACAACTCCACCACATCAATACATCTCCACCACATGAATACAACTCCACCACATCAGTACAACTCCACCACATCAATACATCTCCACCACATGAATACAACTCCACCACATCAATACAACTCCACCACATCAGTACAACAACTCCACCACATCAGTACAACTCCACCACATCAATACAACTCCACCATATCAGTACATCTCCACAACATCAATACATCTCCACCACATGAATACAACTCCACCACATCAGTACAACTCCACCACATCAGTACAACTCCACCACATCAATACAACTCCACCACATCAGTACAACTCCACCACATCAGTACAACTCCACCACATCAGTACAACTCCACCACATCAGTACATCTCCACCACATCATCTCCACCACATCAGTACAACTCAGCTAGATCTACAGACCAACAACAAAGCTCTAATGCCAGCACTGACTGACCATGTTTCTCTGTGTCCAAGTCCATCTTCTCCTGCTCCACCCTGACCAGTTCCTCGCGGATGCCAGACTTCTCTTGTTCCAGGGCAGACTTCTCACCAAACAGGGAGGCCTTCTCCAGCTCCAGCTACATGACAGAAGATATGGTACCAGGTCAGGTAAAACAACAGGTGGAGGCAACAATAGACCCACCAAACAATATTTTCATCAGCACACTTTAAAAACATGAACATACCAAACACATTAGTACCTAAACAATTATGTATTTACAAGACTGAACACGCATGTATACAACACCTGAACACATCTGAATTTACAACACCTGTATTTCCCACACCTGTATTTTCTACACCTGTAGTTCCCACACCTGTATTTCCCACACCTGTATTTCCCACACCTGTATTTCCCACACCTGTATTCCCCACACCTTAACACACCTGTATTTCCCACACCTTAACACACCTGTATTTCCCCCACCTGTATTTCCCCCACCTGTATTCCCCACACCTGTCTTGAGACATGCACTCACCTGCTGGATGATCCTGTTCAACTCCATCTTGTCCTGCCCCAGAGCCTCGTTTAAGGCCTGCATCTTGAGCAGAGCATCTTTCAGTGTAGCCTCGTCTGTCTTCAGTTTGTTGATCTCCACCTCAAGTTCTGCCTTCTGGAGCTCAGATCTGGACAAACTGTCACCTGGTAACCATTAAATTCACAGTCAAAATTTGTCATGCTCAGTGGGTATGATCTACCATGTAGATATGGTCTAGTATATAAGTATGATCTAGGTTGTAGGTATAGTCAACCCTGTAGGTATGATCTAGTCCAGGGGTCTCCAAACTTTTCAGTCCGAGGGCCGAATTAACTATCAAATTTCAGTTCGGGGGCCAGTTTCTTCCAGGTATGTCTTTGATTTTTCTGGGCAAAGATCCTCAGCCATACCCAACAAACGTTTTTTCCGTGCACAAAAAGATCGCCGCGGGCCGGATGAGAGGACCTCGCGGACCCCATCCGGCCCTCGGGCCGTAGTTTGGAGACACCTGATCTAGCCCAAAGATATGATCTAGAATGTAGGTATGATCTAGTGCATAGATAGAATCTAGAATGTAGGTATAATCTAGTCTATAAATATGATCTAGAATGTAGGTATGAGCTAGTCCATAGATATGATCTAGAATGCAGGTATGATCTAGATCTAGCACATAGATATGATATAGCATGTTATGGTCTAGGATGTAGCTATGGTCTAGGATGTAAGTATGATCTAAGCCAAAGATATGTTCTAGACTGTAGGTAGTTACCAAGTTCTCTGGTCTGTCCATCCAGCACCTCCTTGTCTAACAAAGCTCGGCTCAGCGCCTCTTTAGTGGCCACCAGCTCCTCCCTCACTGTGGACATCTTCAGCTCCAGCTGTTCAATCACCCGTTGACTTAAGGAACAAAAGAAAAACACTGTCAAGTAGCAGATCATGTAATATCTGTTTTTTCTCCACTAAACTGTAGTTCCCTTATGATTTTTTTGAAATATTAAAAAACAAACATTTTATCTTATATTTTAAATATTTATCTCTCAGCTAGACCCAAGCAGCCAGTGACTCACCATCTCTCATTCTCCTTGAGCTGTCTCTCCCTGTCTTTGGACATGTCCTCCTTCTCGTCCTCCAGGGTGTCCCGCTGCCTCTGGAGGTCTCCGTTGATGGACTTGAGCTTCTCCGCCTCCTTCTGGAGGTTCTCAATCTGTGTGTTCAGCTCCAGACGCACACGCTCCAGCTGGGTCTTCTCTGAGCCCGTTTGATTCAGGGCGTTCTTGATACGGTCTCGGTCACGCGATGAGTCATCTTTCTCCCTGCGACTGGAGGATATATATCAAATATACTTATACGTTTTGTAAGTTCACATATAACACTACAGCCATCCCAGTAACACCCAGGAACATTAGAGCTAATACACTTTACATTTATTTTACCCAACAGACATGTTACACATTGCACGCAAAGTACTTACATAGCCTCAAAACACATACAATATCTCAAGACCAGATAGATAATACTAATACACATATACAATACTTGAAAACCACACATACAATACTTGAGAACCTGAGAACCACACACACAATACTTTAGCACCACACATACAGTACTTGAGGACCAAACATACAACACTTGAGAACAATACATACAGGACTTGAGAACTATACATACAGTAAAGTCAGACAAACATTACGTACACTGTCTCTAGATCTTCCTTCAGGTTCATGATGATAATCTCCATCCTCTTCTTCTCATTAACAACATCCTCTACAGTTTTCTTTAGAGACACTCCATGTTCCCTGGATACTTGCAGCTTGGCTCTCAGGTCAGAAACCTGCATGGAAATAGCACTATACTCACAATTCTTGTTGGGTTTTACAGGAACTGCTCTATATTTACAACTTTTGTTGGGTTTATATTCACAACTTTTGTTGGGTTTTACAGGAATTGCTCTATATTCACAACTTTTGTCTTAATCTTAACAATTTTTTTTTTACAAACTATAAGTAATTAGATTAAATGACAAGCATCAAAAACTAGTAACAAAACAATAAATCATATCAAATTTGTTTCTAGTAAAGTTGTATAGCATTTAACTGTTTACAAAATTGCATGCTGGGCAACAATGGAAGCATGTTGTTAAAACAAACCTGTAGTTGACGTTTGTTGACAAAATAATATGCCAAGCAACAATTTAAAATATTTTAGCAACAAACCTGGAGCTGACGTTTGTTGAGCGCTGCCTGGACTGCTGAGAATGTGGCGTCTGCGAAAGCGGGTGATCTGAGGGAACAATATCACAGCTGAGTATAGGACAGTGCAGGGATAGGGATGGTGGTACAATAAATAATCACTAACAGAAGTGTCTTAAGCTTAGAATTTCAGGATTATCCAAAAATAGAAGTAATTTTTTTTTATAGTTTAATATATAAGAGAACTATTTCAATGCCCGAGAAGTCTTAAAGATATTTTGGTGAGAAAAATGTTTAAATCAGGGTCACTGACCTAGACCTAGCTCTGGGAGAGGGTGAGCGATGCGGTGACCGGATGCGGCCGTAGGGTGACCTTGACCTTGTTGGGGAGACAGATGAAGCTCGAAAAGCTGGTGACATGCAGCGCCGTGAGACACCAGGCTCTTCATCTTCTGCTGACTGGTCGGCGTCGTTGATGACAGCCTCGGCGATGTTTCTTAGGGCAGAGTGGAGGGCCTCAGTTTCTTCACGCACCTGGGGACATGACATGGTGGCATGGCATTGTGACATGACTTAGGGGTATGACATGATGACAATAACATTGTGACGTGACATGATGAAATGACAACATCGTGACATAATATAGTGGCAACAATATGATGACATATGCCAGAGACAATGACATGATGACATGGCAGAGCCAATGAGATGGCAAGATGACATCCCTAAATTGATATGGTGATGCCAAAGAATGGCAACGACAACATGACAAGACAATGTCATATCATGACAGACAATGACCCAGTGATGAAACAGATCCCTGACATGCTACACTGACACCAATCAGATGGTAGAATCCTGACCTGTCTGACCCAGTGATGAAACAGATCCCTGACTTAACAACATGATACTCTGACACTGACACCAATCAGATGGTAGAATCCTGACCTGTCTGGCAGTATCTGTCTCTGGCAGCTCCACTGGCTTGTCCACGTGGCTGACTGACCTCTGGATGATGACCAGCGCCTTCTCCTTCTCCTCTAGTTGGATCTTCAGTCTCTCATTCTTCATTGTCAGGTCGTTCATCCTGGGAATAACAGAATCTCATGGTCAACCAGACCCACAGTGTTAAGACATGATACCAAGAGACATGAGGGGATGTGATGGTCAGCCCCACCCACAGTGCTAGGATGTGGTACCAACAGACATAGGGGACGTGGATGTACAACTTACTTGTCCTGTAAGTCGTGGATCTCTCTAGCCTTGTCCCTCAGGGTGGACTCCATGGCCAGTCTCTCACTTTTCTCTTTGTCCAGGCTGACCTGAGTGGGAGGAAAACATGGGTGGTATTAGACAGGCTCCTGGTCAAAATATCGAAGGGGTTTTGTCCAGGGGTTTATGACCGGACAGCCATCAGACAAGTGTAGTATTTTATATAGGTGTCATCTAACAGGTGTATGTTACATAAGTGTCATTAAACATGGATGTCATTATATAGGTAAATGTCACAAGAATGCCGTAAGAGTTTTATGTTACATGAATGTCAACAGAAAAAGTTGGATGTCATCACACAAAGTTGGATGTCATACGGATGTCATCAGACAATGTTAGATGTCATATAAGTCTTAATTTTTTACATTATATGACATCACTGATAAGTTGAATTTAAAAGGTTTTACAACAATAGTTTAAAAACTAATGACTGACTGACAAATGAGAACAGTAGACTACCTGCAAGTGTGTGTCGTCGCTCCTCATGTGTGCATTCAAATTCAGGCAAGCTGAGTGCATGGTGCGGGAGGCCTTCTGAACTTCACCCTTGACCCCAGCCAGATCTCGCTCTGTGGCAATCTTCATCTCACTGAACTGGCGACGGAAGGCAACAACAGCTCGCCACAGTGACAAGAGCCGGGAGTGCTCGGAGTTGAAGTACTCATTGAATGACTGGAGGACAGACATACACCCAGTAAAACAAAGATACATACTTCCATAAAACAAGTACTAAGTGGTAATGTCCTGATGTAGACAGCCTATTAGTTTTATTGATAAAATTTACCTCAAACACCAGTGGTCAGTCTGACCTCAAGCACCAGTGGTCAGTCTCATCTCTAGTACCAGTGGTCAGTCTTATCTCAAGTACCAGTGGTCAGTCTTATCTCAAGTACCAGAGGCTAGTGATCTACAGTACCAGTGGTCAGTCTTATCTCAAGTACCAGTGGTCAGTCTTATCTCAAGTGCCAGTGGTCAGTCTTATCTCAAGTACCAGTGGTCAGTCTTATCTCAAGTACCAGAGGCTAGTGATCTACAGTACCAGTGGTCAGTCTTATCTCAAGTACCAGTGGTTAGTCTTATCTCAAGTACCAGAGGCTAGTGATCTACAGTACCAGTGGTCAGTCTTATCTCAAGTGCCAGAGGTCAGTCCCACCTCAAGTGCCAGTGGTCAGTCCCACCTCAAGTACCAGTGGTCAGTCTTATCTCAAGTGCCAGAGGTCAGTCCCACCTCAAGTGCCAGTGGTCAGTCCCACCTCAAGTACCAGTGGTCAGTCTTATCTCAAGTACCAGTGGTCAGTCTTATCTCAAGTACCAGTGGTCAGTCTTACATCAAGTACCAGTGATCAGTCTTATCTCAAGTACCAGTGGTCAGTGATCTCAAGTACTATGGTCAGCCTGACCTCAAGTACCAGTGGTAAGTCTTACCGCAAGTACCAGTGGTCAGTCTTATCTCAAGTACCAGTGGTCAGTCTTATCTCAAGTACCAGTGGTCAGCCTTACCTCAAGTACTATGGTCAGTCTGACCTCAAGTACTATGGTCAGTCTGACCTCAAGTACCAGTGGTAAGTCTTACCTCAAGTGCCAGTGGTCAGTCTAACCTCAAATACCAGTGGTCAGCTTTACCTCAAATACCAGTGGTCAGTCTTACCTCAAATACCAGTGGTCAGTCTTATCTCAAGTGCCAGTGGTCAGCCTTACCCCAAGTACCAGTGGTCAGCCTTACCTCAAGCACTAGTGGTCAGTCTTATCTCAAGTGCCAGTGGTCAGTCTGACCTAAAGTACCAGTGGTGAGTCACCTAAAGTCCCAGAGGTCAGTCCCACCTCAAGTACCAGAGGTCAGTCCCACCTCAAGTACCAGTGGTCAGTCCCACCTCAAGTACCAGTGGTCAGTCTCATCTCAAGTACCAGTGGTCAGTCCCACCTCAAGCGCCAGAGGTCAGTCCCACCTCAAGTACCAGTGGTCAGTCCCACCCCAAGCGCCAGTGGTCAGTCCCACCCCAAGTGCCAGTGGTCAGCCTTACCTTCTCCTCACTCCTCCACTCCATCTCCTTGGCCTCCAGCTCCTCCCTAGCCTGCTGCCAGTCCTGGGTCAGCTTGTGGATGTCAATGGTCAGCTGCTGGTTGGTGGATGTGGCCTGGTCAAGCTGCTCCCTCAGCATGGTGTTGACATGCTCCAGCCCATTGCACCTGGACAGAGGTCAAATCTCTTACACACTTGGCAGTTCCCCACACCATCGTGTGTATCTCAGCCCCAATCACTATACACATTTTTTACACACTTCCCCACACCATCATGTGTATCTCAGCCCCAATCACTGTACAAATATTTTTCACATTCTTTCATAACTTTTTAACACTGTAGTAGATCATTCATTACAACTTTTTTAATGATAAATCTGTGCAAAGACAAGAACTCTAGAACTGCATCCAACTCCATACCTCTGTCTCTCCTCCTCCAACTGAACAAGGGCTGAATCCAAATCATTTGCACTTTCAGACTCTGCAAACTTGTACCTGTTCTCTGTTGATGTCTGGGGGGAGGGGGGGGGACATTTTTTAAAATTTTAATTATAAAACCATTGGGAGAAATTAATTCATTTGTTGACATAGTATAGCAAATGTTTATTAAAATAATTATTCACTGGAATCAAGGTTTTAAAAAAACATTTCTTGGAACTAATTAAAGACCTGGAAAAATGTTTTCTTGATGATACTATTACAAAAAAAAACTTTTATTCAACAGGTGAATATCTTATCTAAAATAATATTTCTTTCGTTCACAAGGTGTACTTAATTTTGTTTTTGGTGAATGTATTATATTTCATTCACAAGGTTTACCTAATTTTGTTGACTTTTGGTGAATGTATTAAATTTCACAAAAAAATGCCCCAGATTTTGTCCAGGTGGTGATGTGTTATATTTTAAAAGGTAGTTTCTCCAAATTTTTGTTTAACTGGTGAATGTGTAATATTTGACCAAAGATTTCCCCAATTTTTATTCAACCTGTCAATGTGTTATATTTGACCAAAGATTTCCCCAATTATAATTCAACCTGTCAATGTATTATATTTGACCAAAGATTTCCGTAATTTTTATTCAACCTGTCAATGTGTTATATTTGACCAAAGATTTCCCCAATTTTTATTCAACAGATCAATGTGTTATCTCTAGAGTTTGAAGAGCCACTCTATCATTTCAACAAACATAGCTCTAGCTGAATAAATCTCTTATCTTTATATTGGGCTCAACATGCTATCAATTGTAACCAAATGGCACACATGTTTAAGGGTGCTATATTTTCTAAGATTATTGGGCTCTCAGGTTGAGTAATTAGCCAAACCAGCAGTGAACGTCCTACTTGGACTTGTCAATATCCAATTTGATTTGTTCAAACTGTACTTATCACCTACATAAGGATAAAATCAAGTGTCTTGAAGATTTAACAAAACACTTCAACTACATGCTATTTATTTGTTATTGATCTAGCTGCAGGTCATGCTATATCTATCTCCTATGCAAGAGATCAGAAAATATTACTGGTATCAGAGATAAGCTGAATCAAAATCAATAAAACATAGGCATACTTATAATGACCTTATTTATGCTGAGAAAAAATATAATTTTTAAATCAGAAAAGTTTGGTTAAAACTAAGTAACTTTATTTTTTACCTAATGAAAAGCAATTGTCTTTCACAAGAAAAGTAAAAGTAGCCATTACTAAAAGGGAAACAATAGCTCAGAGTTGCCAAGAAAGTAGCCTATTAAATTAATTGCTGATACCTTAAAACATTGCTTACAACATAAGTGTAGTTTGCCAATTTTGATTCATATTGATAATTTAACTCTTTAAGACCGTAACGACGCTCCCAGCGGTCGGTCCGCCGGCCTGCCATACCGTAACGACGCTCCCAGCGTCCGATAAAATTTTCTCTATTTAATTCGTTGTTTTTCAGAATCCAAGTTTTTAATCGTAAATCTAGGTCATGATAACGCTAGAGCGGCCATTTTTCGTTGTATTTACTTCTTGTAGTTTTCTCGTTAGATCGATTTTGTATTTTATAGAATTTTTTTTGTAAAACAACTCGAAAAACGGCATTTTTTAACACTGCGGAATGCCGTTCAGCGGCCGCGTCTAAACGTTTATGTCGCCGCATTATAAAATTAACGAAAATTAAAGTATTTATACTAAGACTAATCCGATCCATGATTTTTGTAGATAAATGGACGTACTTTCGTTTTCTATGAATAAGAACTCATGAAAAGTTATTCTTATTATTAATTTTCCCGACAGACGCGTAATTTTTGCAAGAAAAAATCAACTCTTTATTTTTTCTTCTTTAAATCTAATTAATTATCTTTCTTCAATAAATAAATAATTCCTTAAAGTTTATATCAGTGTGTAGGGTATTCAATTACGATTAATGTTTATCAATAATGTGTGGGGTTTAAATTAACGGGTAAAAAGATATGGGTCATTTAGCCGCAGGGGTGCTGAAAAAAAATGAGGGAAAAAAAATAATTCCGGTAAAACGTGAAAATAATTACGGGCTTAAAGAGTTAAATTATTTTGGTTAACAAGTGAAAATGACACTACAGATATCTATCCCTTTAAATTTGAACTGATAATTTAAATAATCTTGCTTTCAGTATCTTTTTAAGCAGTATTTATCTGCCCCTTTAAACTTTTGCAGATAATTTAAATGACTGTTTAACAAGTTAAAAATGTTATCTTTTCCTTAAAATTTGTATTATTAATCAGTACAGTTAGCGTACGCTGTTAGATAGTAGTAATCTATTTACTTAAATTTCCACTGGATATTCAAATACTTTTAGTATTTAGTAAAAAAAAAACCAGTAGATTTTATTTTCCCTTTAAATCTGCATTGAATATTCAAATGATTTTGTTTAGTTAGTTAAAAACAACAGTAGCGTTATTTTTCCCTTTAAATCTGCACTGAATATTCAAATTATTTTCTTTAGTTAGTAAAAACTAACAGTGGTGTATTTTTCCCTTTAAATCTGCACTGAATATTCAAATAGTTTTGCACACAGAGTGAAACAGAATAAAGCACTTTTACTGAATGAATGTGTAGAACAAATGTATTGATTGCTTGATAGATTTTGTCTTTTCAATTTGCTTTCCCCCCCTGTACAACTTTGAAAACCTCTAGGAAAAGATTAGTGTCTGTGAATAACTTACCTGGTTGTTCAATTAGAAAATCAATACACTTCTAGACAGATCATAGATAGCTTTGACAACATTTGTTAATCACAGTGATCAATCACTGTCAGGGGGAAATCAAGAAAACATTTGCACACCACATTTTTTCTTGGGTCTACACCGGGCCTAATTTCTGCCAGCGCAAAGTTTCAAGGGTCTTTTCATTCTCAGGACCAAGGAAGGAATCAAAAACTCATTTACAGCTTTTACTTACAATGTCGGAGGTTTTTTGGGTGAATGGTTTTCTCTAGTTCTATATACCATTTAGATTATTATAGCAATTGAAAGTTATTGATTTTCAATAGTTTATTGATTTCAGTAAACATCATTAGTAGGAATTAATGATTGAAGACTGAGTCAAGATATAAGTTCATATTGATGTTAAAGGGAAAGAATACGTGTGTTGTTTTTGGCCAGGAGTAAGAAATCCTGTTTGGAACACCAAAACTCTATTAGGTTTAATGACAGCTTGTGTAATGCTGTGCCTGACTGCACAGAAGTAATTAAACATGTCTTAAAATGTATTACGTTTCACAAAATGTGCTAAATGGCATATTAATTAAAATAAATTAGATAATTTAGATGGCAAAGAAGAGATGATGGATGTAGAAAAGTTAAAGTAAAAGTACAAGAAGTGAAGAATTAAATCAAAGAAATAAATAACATATTTGTACTAAATTATAACATTAATTCCATGGCAACTAGTGGAAAAATGTAATTTATTAAAAATTACATCTACACAATATTATTACTGCGTTGTGTGATTACAAATTGGTATTTTATGTTGTTTGTGACAGGGACATAGTAATTGGTCATGATAATTTTTTCTTGCATTTGACACAAAATCTAATGTTTTAAAAAAGAAGTATTTTTTTATTTGTTAAGCTAAATATGCTCGCTGAATTTCAGGTTTGTATTATATTGCTCTTTTAAATGATTAATATAAATTTAAGAGAAATGTTATGTCTAAATGTTAAATGAAGATTTAATCTGACAATTTTGTCTGCACAATTGTATTATGTAGGTTAAATGTTCTTATTATCTATTTAAGGATGATTATTTTTCCAAAGATTGTCAGCCATAAAAAAAATGAAGTTAAAAAAATGTTTAATTCCCCCACCCCCCCCCCCCCCCCCACTTTATCAATCATTAACTTTCCCCATCATTTACCAATAGTCCAAGCCAGCCATTAACCAATAATGCAAAGTGTCCCATCCTGCCACTAAACAGTAAAACAAGATGTTCACCAAAATAGCTTACCTTGCTGTTGTAGACATGGTTGATTTCAATGTTTTTGGTGTGAAGTGACTGCTCAAGGTCCTGGCATTTCTTTTTATACTGCAGCAACTGTGTTATAAACAAAATGTAGTTGCTTATAAAATATTCATACTAAGCTGACTATGATAAAGTTATATTAAGATTAAACTATTAGTATGGTTCAGTTGTGTTAGTGAGGATAGGGGTTTACTTTGTCTTAAAGAAAAGACTTAGGATGAGAGGAAATGTTTGAGTTAAATCCCCTTGTCATACTTCCTTAAAGTATATTTTTAGGAGTGAAAATGTGTAGATACTATCTAAGTTGGGCTGTTATTTTGTAACTTTAAAAATACATGTGGGACATGAGCTTGCAGTTTAGTCAGTAAAATACCTTGGATTCTTGTGTCTGTATTTACTGACCAATGGTCAGTAACTTACCTTAACTTAAAGTTTCTGCACTAGTTGACCACCTCAGATAGTACTTACTGCACTATCTGACCACTGACAAATATCAGCTTGAAGGTTTTGCATTAACTGCATACTGGTCAGAGACATAACTTAGGTTATAGCTCCAGCACCAATTGATAACTGACATACTAGCTTGTAGTGTCCAAATGCCCAGTGGTCAGTGGCTTACCTTAGCTTGTAGTTTCTGCACCAACTGCCCAGTGGTCAGTAGCTTACCTTAGCTTGTAGTGTCCAACTGCCCAGTGGTCAGTAGCTTACCTTAGCTTGTAGTTTCTGCACCAGCTGAGCCTGGCGCTGCTGCCCCTCCTGGTATGCCTGCAGCTTCCTCTTGTAACCAGACTGCTCTTCTTCCAGCTTGCGCCTGAGGTCAATGTTCTGCTGGACCAGACTCCTGGAGGTCATGTCGCTGCTGGTGTCCAGTCCTGAGTCACTCCGCAGTGAATGCTCCAGCTGGGGACAGAGGAGGACAGTTTCAAATGCTGACCAATACTAGCAGGATTGGCATATAAGCAGCATACTAGCTGGAACTTTGATTCCTTGGCATAGAGGCAGCATACTTAATCGAAAGTGAGGTAGGCCTGCAGTGTAAAAGTGATCATTCCTACAGATATAGTACATAATCTCAGACTATGGAAGAACACAACACAGGAAGAGAGCCAGGCATCAAAAACAGCTCACAGAGTTTTAAAAGAAAAGATAGTGTTTCATTATCTCCATCTTAGGCCTAATGTGAAAGGTACAGCTAAACATTCTAATAAAAAAATAGCACAATATAAGACTAGCTTCATAAAAATACTGTACAGCATGACAGGAATATACATGCAAAAATACTTTATAACTATAAACTATACAGGACTTGCCTTGTACAAATAAAGCTATAAGTATAAAGACCTACTTACGATATAGCAATACTTACAATACTACTGTAGAGCACTATACTACAGGACTAACCTCACACAAGTTAAATTTAAATGTACAATACAGGCCACAATAACTAGCCTTAAAATGTAGGGCCTTACATACAATACAATAAAAAAATATAATCTCCACACAGTCTTTACCAAACCTTAGAAAGTCGAAGCTAGCTTCGAGCTACTGTAAGTCTGTGAAAAATTTCATAAATCCTGTCCCAAGATTATCGATAGTCCCGGGTACGGTGCCAAATATCAAGTGTAAGTCACAGAAGATTAGAACCCAGTGGAGATAACCATACAGTCTCGGTGTATCAAGGCCCGGTACTCAACGCAACTTTAAACAAAATTCCCTACCAACACCTTACGACCTCCTGAAGCAAGTAGGAAAACCGCGGGAAATGTTCAAAGGCTTAAAATAACACCAGGTAGTCAAACGGGGTATAAACGTTAACTTCAATGATCTTCAAACGATTTTTTTTAAACGTATCAAATTATTATTCACACATCTAAATCATACGACCAATAGAATAGGAGATTCCGGGGTAGATACTGCCATTCAATAGGAGTTGTGTGTGTGTGTGGGGGGGGGGGGGGGGGGGGGGGGTGTCTAAGAGACGGATCAATAGCTAATAAATAACGGCGGGAAAATGTCAACATGAAAAGATCAACAACAACTCGATGATCTCCCTTGATAAGTGACAGATCAATCAGTAAACTTGACGTCATTGCTTATACTTCGAATTCATTTTTTTGACAGACCGCTAGGTGTCGCTACTCAATAGCGGATTGTACCTAGCAGTAAAAAACGTCAACTATGACAGAACAAACAGACAACCAGCAGCGGGATTGACAGGGTCAAAAGGTCGGATGAATAAATTAATACAACGGTTTCCACGTGCAGGTCTAGACTAAACTTTGTACAATTTTTTTAACACAACACATTTTAAACATTCAACACTCAACTTTTACAACAAATTCTCAGCATACAAATTTTAAATCTCTGCGATGGACAAAGTTCACGTATGCAAATGTTCTTTTCATTCACTAATTGTTTAATTGTTTTAATGGTGCGAGATGGCGGCTGTTTTATTTATTTTAAATCCTCTTTGCGCATATATATTATAATATATATGTATATATATATATATATATATATATATATATATATATATATATATATATATATATATATATATACACACACATTAGTGAAGGTGTCTGACAGCCCAAGCATAACGAAAGTATCGTATGGTCATGAAATATTCAGACACGACAAGGGAGGCAAACAATACTAAGCAACAGGTATGGACGTGACGGAGAAAAACAACAGTAACTATTCATGGCTTTGATAAGACCCGCTATGTTCGACTGGTTCCTGTGTCAGCTCATGCTGATGGTGGACTACCATTGTGTTTCTAAGCTAACATCGACTTTTAAACCTTCAACCAAACGAAACAGGACTGCAAGCCAGAGGGTGTAGGTTTGATTCTCTCCCTCATAAAATGGTCACGGACTCGAGTTAGAATTGAGTTCACTCTGTTCTAATGAGTACCCAACGTAAATTCTGTAAAAGCTAAGCCAACTCTATCACATAAAGAAAGAGGGGGGGGGGGGGCGACGATTATATCGTCATATTGACCTTTATGTCTAAAAACTTGACTTTAGTTTTGACTTTCACTAGGTGACTTGGTGATTTGCAGTGACATTTACCTGAAGTCACAGATCATGAATTGTCAGCTGTTAAAAAACTTGATATTGAACACTGTGGTGTGACCTTCGGTGTGATACTGTAAACCTCCCACTAACGTTTTTAAACACCATTAAAAGTATGTTTGTTGTATACATCCTTCTATTCTTTAACCACAGTTCCCACAGCCGGGGTCTGGGTCTCAAGGGTAATCCGAAATGGCATTGGTCAATTGTAACACGGGTGTCACGTGACATCACTTGTTTGACAACTAACTTCTGCTGGGAGAGTTAATGTTTCAATGTGTCGAGTAGAAACTACAAAGGTATCAACTCACTTGTCTACCCACCACCTACAGGTAAGTTAAGATAAAATAGCGGTAAGTATAATCACATTATGTTTAAAGTAGTTAAATATAAATTGTTATATTTACTGTTTCGCAAGGTAAGCAGAACGCCCAACTACTTTATCAACATCTCAAATCAATAAAGCATGGTGTGTTCTGCTGTCAATTTAATTAAAACAAAACGTACGCATGGCGGCCTAAGCCTGGGATATTCCACCCCATGCTTGTACGGATACAAGCGGCGCCCGGGGGTGCGTACCCCTCCCTCCTCCGTTGGGTGTACCATAGAACAACGAAGATACAAGTTCCACAGAACAACGAATATACAAGTTCCACAGAACAACGAAGATACAAGTTACATAGAACAACGAATATACAAGTTCCATAGAACAACGAATATACAAGTTCCACAGAACAACGAATATACAAGTTCCACAGAACAACGAAGATACAAGTTACATAGAACAACGAATATACAAGTTCCATAGAACAACGAATATACAAGTTCCACAGAACAACGAATATACAAGTTCCACAGAACAACGAAGATACAAGTTACATAGAACAACGAATATACAAGTTCCATAGAACAACGAATATACAAGTTCCACAGAACAACGAATATACAAGTTCCACAGAACAACGAAGATACAAGTTCCACAGAACAACAAAGATACAAGTTACATAGAACAACGAATATACAAGTTCCATAGAACAACAAAGATACAAGTTCCACAGAACAACAAAGATACAAGTTCCACAGAACAAAGTAGATACAAGTTCCACAGAACAACAAAGATACAAGTTCCATAGAACAACAAAGATACAAGTTCCATAGAACAACAAAGATACAAGTTCCACAGAACAACGTAGATACAAGTTCCACAGAACAACGAAGATACAAGTTCCAGAGAACAACGTAGATACAGGTTCCACAGAAGAATGTAGACACAAGTTCCACAGAACAACGTATATACAAGTTCCATAGAACAACGTTTACAAGTTCCACAGAACAACGAAGATACAAGCTTGACCAAAAGATACCATCTGACAGAAGAAGAAAGATACAAGCTGGACCAAAAGATACCATCTGACAGAAGAAGAAAGATACTTGCTTCTTGCACTCGCTGACTGACGAATCCTTTCCGGGTCAACCCGTTCTCTTTGCTGTCAGACTCGTCCTCTCCATACGAACTCCCTGACACACCATCATTGTCGTTCACCTTATCCACAGAACTACCGCTATCCATAGTATCACTAGCACGTAATCCACTCACTGAACACCTTACACTACCAACTAACAATTCGTCCTCTTCGAGACTGATGCTCTGGCGAAATTCCCGGCGACTTTTCAAAAGAATCGACAGCCATTTTAAAATCTATTATTGAGCAGTGTATTGATCCCTCTTCAATAACTAACAAGCGATTGCGGACAATGGTGATAGTTAGAACATTAGACATAAAAAATAGCGCTTCAGTGGACACGAGTTTCAAATTATTCTCACGGAACAATGGACACGATGGATGGAGAGAGCGATGTGTATCAACCTAGCCGAGTTACTCATGGGTATATATGTTATATTACTTGTATTAATACACGACTGTAACAAAGCTATACACACGAGACTCTATGCATCAGCGTTAAGTTTGCTACGACATATAACACACCGTGTATTGAGAAAGGACGGCGCGTGTCATGACATGTCTAGACTGTACAGGATGTCAAGCAGAGACACATGTCATGACATTAATGACTAGGCTATACAGGATATCAAACAATGGCACGTGTCATGACATTAATGACTAGGCTATACAGGATATCAAACAAAGGCACGTGTTATGACATTAATGACTAGGCTATACATGATGTCAAACAAAGGCACGTGTTATGACATTAATGACTAGGCTATACAGGATGTCAAACAAAGACACTAGTTATGACATTAATGACTAGGTAACAGAAGCTAAATGATGGCACTATACAGGATGTCACCTGTCTGTGTGGCCCACCTTTTAACACCTTCCAGTCACCCCCCCCCCCCCCCCACCAACGACATCTCACCCTCAGCAAGTCTAACACTAATCTACAACTAGGGATGAACTTCACCTGAGTTATAGTCACACAATAGACTAACAGAGTGCCGATAACTGCAGAAGACGATTGACTATGGTATTATAAATATTTGTTAATTTCATTTAAGGGGGAATGGCTCCATACAAGATGTAATAACAAATCATAGCCCTACTAATCTATATTAACATTCGCAATGGAATCCTCATTAACTCAATATAAAATGTTATTTAATACTAACACTCTACCTTAATCTTAAGGCTAGCAGTGGACGACCCATTAGATCAGGGGTCTCCAAACTACGGCCCGCGGGCCGGATGCGGCCCGCGAAGTCCTCTCATCCGGCCCGCGGAGATCTTTTTGTCTAAGGAAAAATCGTTTGTTGGTGATGGTTGAGGACCTTTGCCCAGAGAAATCAAAGACATGCCTGGA